ACATATCAATGTCATATATACCTGCAATTACGATGCACTAATTTTAAAGATGGAGTTTGACACACGTAGATGCCCATATGGGCGACATCTACAATTCTAAATAGACATCTATTTTTTTTACAAAAGACATTATACTTAACCGTGAAATTTTAATAAAGAGATAAAAACTGATGTACTCCTAACTATAAAAAATATAAATCATGTACTCTTGTACATTAGACAAAGCTTCCTTATGACCCATATTACTAATTTTTTCTCTGATGCCAAGGATTCGCAACAACAAAAACCTGTCTTTCAATAAAACTGGTTTATAATATATTGCATACCAACCAGTATTCGCCAATTTTTATCGGTCGATGACGAAGTCCTTATATTTTTTCGTAGTCACTTCCGTGAACAAATTTTGATAAATTACTGCTTTAATTTACTTAATTCTAAAGTTTACATATTATATTAGAACTAGCCTTTAATATCATATTTTAGTAGTTTTTTTTTAAGATAATATTATACCTAAATCTTCTTTACTTTAATATACTTACATATACATAAATAATTTGAAACATAATCATATGCACCTAACGTGTAATTGAAAGTTTAAAGCTCTATTTTACATTTAACAAATGCTTTTGACTACACGACTAGAAGTTGTAGTGGTAAGAACATTTATTTTTTATAATCATGATATCGTTGTAGACGAACAATATCTAAGTATAAATAACAATATAGATACATAAGCATATGAATAACAAGCGAAATCATCATTTTCCTTAAAATTGCATAGTCTAACACCAAACTAGTAGCAATCGTAATAGCTACATATGCAATTACACAAATCAAAATAACGCCAATGCATAATGTAATGTCCGCATCGGATCATGCATTAAACTTCAATACTGCCGTAATAACGGGGCTCTTACGCAAAAGTGCCAAGCATATAAACGTCACGATAATACGAAAGCTCTATGCCATTTTAACAAACAAATACCTACACGAATAAGTGTGTGTGTATAATTAGTCTATCTAGTTTCAGTTGAACGGAGGTGGTGAACCTATAATCAATATCTTGTTGACTAGTATTTAACGCCATCTACTGTGAGTATTCAATACGATTAGGGAAAGTTTCTTCTGCTTATAAACACTGTACATGCTGCAGCAAAAGTGTAGGAATAATGTGTGAGCTTTCAAAGCTCCATAAGATAAATTTGATTCTTGGATTTTGTAAAAGATGTCACTAATGGTTAAACGGTAATGTGCGCTTTGTTTGTATAAGAGCTTTATTTTATAATTTTGCGCAAACATTTCTGCGGAAAAGAATATAATACTCTCACATAAATCGATTCTAATTATTTCAATGCATCTTAAATGGACTTATCTATCTTAAATTATATATTACAATGTTTATTATATAGCATTTTTCTTTAAAATTCAATAAAATAACTAATAATTCTTTATTGTTATCGATATAGGTAGGTTTTATCTTCTTCCTGAAAAATTTCACTATCAAAATCCGGAAACATTGGAGATGCCACGTTCGCTACGGATTCGGTATTTAAGGAGTTTAAAAAGTATTCAATAAATAAGACTATATACCTACGAATATAAATAATAAGACTATATACCTACGAGAAAAATATCTTTTTCTTAAAACATTTTTTAAGAATACTTTTTTATTTAATAATGTTATATTTTTAGGTAATGAAAAAGAAAGTAGTACCGGACAACTATAACTAAATTAATTCAAATTGTATTTCGAATTTCAGTAATTGAATTTATAAAAGAACAGTAGAATATATTTGTTTTAATACCATTCCATACCATGTAAGCCGTTAAATGTCCACTGCTGAACATAGGCCTTCCCTTTTGGGGTTTTGCCAGTAATTGTCACGATTGGCAGATGCGTTGGCAACCGCAGTTAGACTTTGGTGGTGTTTTAAGATGGACGCTGCTGCCTATCATTTGACCGTCAAGTTTCCTTGAAAGAAAGTTTCCAAGAAAAGGAAAGGGTGACCCATTCTATGCCGGGACCACACGGCCTAGTAGAATAATAAAATTAGTATTATTGTGTTATAAATATAAATATTTTCTTTATATTCTGTACAAAGTTTTATATTTTCTAAAGAATATAAAAAAAATTCAGATATGATAAAGGCTCAATTTTTGAACTTTATTACATACGTTTTTGAATAAAATTAATTACGAATTAAAAAGGTAATTACCTATATAAGAATATTAGCTATTTCTACACTGACGCCCAGTAGGCGTATTTTAAGGAAAGGGGGGGGGGGGGCGTGGGCTATGCTTAAGTTACACACATACAAGACAACAAACATACAGACAGACAAAATTTCTGATTATTGTTTTGGCCTGTACTCCTCATATTAATTTTTCTTAAATGTTTCTTATGTACAGACACCATCTTAATACAAGTAGTATATAGTAGTATAGCGTACAGGTTACAATGTTACTATATTAAAATAATAAGATTAGATATCATATATAAGTGTTGGAGTTAGGTAAAAAACCCTTCCAATTAAAATGTCGTATTAATTAACTAGGTAATCTATTTTTCATAGAAACTATAACAATAATAACCCTATTTTATTATCTTGTGTTTACACATTTTTATAATTAAACTTTTAAAATGTACGTAGTAAGAAGTGTATATTTATAACACATGTTCATAATATAATATTCATATTCAGATTGTTGTATTAGTATACTAAGTAAATTATCGTTATAATAGAATCTGAATAGTGTAATATAAAAATATACAAGTTAAGTAAGTACCGATTTACCTAGGTCATTTATTTAAATTATGTATGTTTAAATAAATATTGAGTTTAGAAATATTTCATTTCGCTCAACCACTTAGTGAAGCAGTACTCTGTAAATAAATATTTATTATTAGAATAGGTATTACAACAGACAAAAAACAGTTTAAACGAATACTGAATTTTATGCTTCTATACTCAAAGGACAATAATTTCGTTGTGTACAAGATGCCGATGAGAAATCTAATCGTAAAAACTTAGTTTTAAGGTAGGTATCTATTCAGTCGATTGAAATCAAACGAGACGCTGTGCAATAAAATAAAAACTTTTTTTACAAAAAAAGTTTAATATGGGGACTTAAAAAAAAATTTTTTTTTTTATATTACTGAGGTGGCAAACAAGCAACTTCTCTGGTATCTGTTTCAAATGTCTATGGGGTGCGGGAAACATTTTTCATCATCTGAAACACAGTGTTTTCGGAAATCTATAATTTTTTTAGAATATTTGGTCAGTAGGTGTTACGTCACATAATAAACAATGGAAATGAAATTCATATACTTAACACTTTCTTCGTTGTGAAATGAAAATTACTTAATAGGTATAAATAATATAAATTGACCTAATCACACTATAAAATGTACAAGTGAGAGTCTAGAGACTTGACCTATAGGTACTTCCATCTTATCCATCCTTCACATCTTAAAGATAAAAAGACAAACATCGTGGTTTCACTCATCAACATACTAAGGAAAAAAAGGTAAAGTTAAATATTTAACCACACTTATAATAGTAAGTTATTATAATTATAAAAAGTTAAATACTTGAATGATGGATTGTGCTTTCGTCTTAGAGGCACATCTAATAAAGTTAGATACATATTTTGAAAATTAATTTTCTTTCTAACGTAAACAAGTAATAAATAAAATTACCGCCTCCTCTGAACATATAAATATAGAATGAACGTAATACGAGTATAAAAATCTAAAACTTCTGGAATAAAAACGTCAATACTTATTTCGCTTCTTAATTCAAAATCAATAACTACATATATCAATGAACTAATTTCGATAATATTAGGTATAAATGTGAAAATGTGCTTTTTGTTATCACTTAGCCCTTCATCAGCTCAAACAAACATAATGCAATTTGGTATACATGTACTATTTGAGATGGATACGAGATTCTTATTATTCCTGATCATTTAAATATACCGGTAACACGGACGAAATTGCGGGTTAAAATCTTGTAAAAAATAATAACAAAGATAATAATATAATAATTTTATAGTTAATAAATACTATATGTACCTATATACTAATTATTTTAATGAGACGTATATATAAAATAATAAATTATTCTACCAAACGAAATAATTAACTATGTTAGCAACATTATATTAAAAAAAAATACTTAATATTTCATTATATTTTTTCTACTAATTAGTAATATAATAATTACTTACTAATTTCTATTACCTTTCATGTTATTACTCGATTGATTTTAAAGATAAAACAAATAAATAAACCTTTGAAAATGGCTGGAAAAAGCAACCGTTCCAATATTTATTATAATAATAATTTGTGTAAAATTACAAGTGTTTTTTCTGATATTATCAATATGTTATGTATTCAAAGTTTCACCAAGTGCTTATTATTAAGACAATCAAGAGTTTACTCTCATTAGGTTAAAACTTTTTTTTGTCAATATCATTGAATAAGGCAGTCTATAAGGTTCACAACTCAAAATTTTTAAAACTTTACCAATAGGGAATTAACAAAGTAACGTCTACAACTATAAAATACGTCATACTTTAGTCTTTTATTTTACCTGTCCTAATACAATTAAAGAAGTGGTAAATTGGCAGATATTATTTCCAAGCTGGATAGTTTGGGGGATGCTTGGATTAGTAGTAATACGGACTACCAGTACTATTGCTATATATGTATACTCTATCGATCAGGTCGATCTCCACGTGGTTTCCTCGGAAAACATCGTACTGAGTTCCAGGTGGGTCATCACGATGGGCTAACTGACCATTTTCATTCTCATCTATCATCTCTCACTGGTACCCCACCGACGTATAACGTTAGCGCAGGCGAGGTTACTATTTCATTATCATACATTAAATAGAAGCATGATAGCTTATACTAGCAACTTTTTTGTTTTAACCATGAAGCAACAGCACATAAGCTGTTCAGTTCGAAGGCTACAAATGTCTTCGAATATAGAAATTATATAATGTTTTGGATTATATAAATTACATAAACTAAATATCCTATGTATAATATATTGATCTAATCAGGAGGTCTTATTGTAATGTCTTGTTGGGATTTTAAACACCAACTACAGTAATGCCTCTTCTAAAAATTACGCTCATATTTTTTCTTATTATATCTTATTCAATTCAAGGTATTTTATATTATGTATCTACCTGGCTAGGTACATATAAAAATATTACATTTACCTTTATATTTTTTCAATAAAAAATTACTAACAACAAAGCTTTACTGTTTTGTCTATAGCTTATTAAGACTGGAATTAATGGTTCTTAACATAATAGAAACTGCAAATGCCACTGATTTCATAACCTCCCAAGGGAACCATCGCCTTTTCGCCCCAAAAATTTTCAAGTATTATCGCCAGGCGAATCTATACTTACTCGGTTTGGATTAAAAACTAATATTCAATGAAAAGAGTTAGGTGTTTGTCACATTTCATTGTCAAAGATAGACTAGGTGTATACATAGGATTCAATTTTCGGGGCGTGGCGAATCAAGCACCGTGACACAATGTATTAAAAACGCCAATATTCGGTTGGCAAAACTGCAGTATAAATTAGAAGACCTTTCTTCTTGCTCCTCACTCGTAATACTCAGTTGGATAGTGATCGACAGCCGGTCAGTAGGCTCAAATCGCGATAGTTTTATCGATTAATCAGTTACGAGTGCTCGGTGAACGAAGAATCAAAGTATGTTCGCCGAGGGTAAATATAAATGATGCATGGCATTGGCTAGTATAGCGTGATAGTTCAAAAGACGGCGCCGTCAATTTCACATCCAACCGTTTCCTAGCACATTTACAATCCACCCCTCCGTTGTTATTGTCCAATGTTGTTGCTGATACAATAATTGAAATACGTAACGCGGTGTAAAAAAATATTGTTTTATTTACGCTATAAAAATTCATCGTAATAGATCAATTCATTTTAAGTGAAATGTTTGGTTGTTGCAGGGCCGAGCGCCATAGAGCCGCGCTCGCCAAGCGCTTTTTCGTCCAACTCTTCCAGCATGCTACTGCTGCAGACACACGTGAGTATTAAAACGAATGTTTTTACCTAAAGAAAATAAATTCATATTCAGAAATCTCATTTCATATTTAATGTTAAAGAAAAATTATAAACAACTATTTTTTTCTAAAACTATCATCTGACTATGTCAATTAATATATAGTAATTACTAACTAAACTACTTACATTGTTATTGTAACATTCTCAATAGATATAATATAAAAATTATATATGGATGTCGTTGACCGTAAGGTGCGACAAATATTGAGCACGCCATTGGTGGGTCGTGGCCGCCCCAGGCGGCTACCACCGCCTACCGCTTCAACAACGCCTCCAATATTGATTGTCTTTTCAATTTCAGAGCAACTACGGTTCGTCCTTCACTGATTTATTATCACCGCAATATCAAGAAGATTCGTCTGAAATTTTAGAAGAAAACTTAGATCCATTTCCAGACGTAGAATTTCACGCACCTGTTCCTGTTGAAGTAAAATCACAGCGAACAACACCTGTAAGCGATCCATCTTCACCAACTCTAGGGCCAACACTGCCTAGTTTTGAAGAAACGTATTCAGTTCGCTACCCTAAACAAGAAATGGCAGAGTTTGGCATAAAAATGGATGAAGATTGTTATAATGTCAGCTCATATGCTCATCAAGGGCATACATCTACACAATTGTTGTATCCATATCACCAACCGTCTATTCCTTATGTTCCATCAACTTATTACGCACCAGCCCAACCTTGCAGTCCAACATTTGATACTGGTGGAATTAATCACACTCAAGACTCATATTCTCTGCCACCTTTTCCAAGCTCGGTAGACATTCACATATCTACAGATCAATCGAGACAACGACGGGCATCGCTACCAGTACAAAGATCAGAGTCTAGTAGTTCTAATGATAGTCCAAAACTACATGGTGGAAGAGTACATTGCATGCAAGCTTCAGCACCTAGTTCTGCTTCAAGTTCTCCTGGAGGAGCACCACCAGAAGGAATAGGTCAACGCGCAGCTCCTTCTTCCCCAAGTCAACTATGTGCCGTATGTGGTGATACGGCTGCCTGTCAACACTATGGTGTTAGAACATGCGAAGGTTGCAAAGGATTTTTTAAAAGAACTGTACAAAAAGGCTCTAAGTATGTTTGTTTGGCAGAAAAATCATGTCCTGTAGATAAAAGAAGACGAAACAGATGCCAATTTTGTCGATTTCAAAAATGTCTCGCTGTTGGAATGGTCAAAGAAGTAGTAAGGACGGATTCTCTAAAAGGGAGACGTGGAAGACTGCCGTCGAAACCAAAATGTCCCCAAGAATCACCACCAAGCCCTCCAATTTCCCTGATTACGGCACTGGTCAGAGCGCATGTTGATACGTCACCTGACTTTGCAAATCTTGATTATTCGCAATATAAAGAGCCAAATCCAATGGAACCTCCGATGTCAGATTTAGAAGTGATTCAACAGTTTTATTCTCTACTAACAACCTCGATTGATATGATAAAAGTTTTTGCTGAAAAAGTGCCAGGATATGGAGATTTATGCCCTGAAGACCGTGAACAATTATTTGCATCAGCACGACTTGAACTATTTGTTTTACGACTTGCCTACCGTACCCGCCCGGAGGACACCAAACTTATTTTCTGCAATGGCCTCGTGCTGGATAAGAGACATTGTCAGCGATCCTTTGGAGACTGGCTACATGCAGTACTCGATTTCAGTAACACTTTGCACTCTATGGATATAGACATTTCTACATTCGCCTGTCTCTGCGCATTAACCTTAATTACAGGTATGTAAAAACCAATTTTTTAAAAATTAAGTTAAACATATACATAATTTAATAATTATATATATGTATAATAGTATTCTATTGAATATTATCATAAATATACAATTTTTGTCAACATTATTCAAGTCGAAAATAAAAAAAAATGCAAATTTGTATTACATATTAAAGTCATATATTTCGATATCGTTTTCAATAATTGTGAACAAAGTTTGTAAAATTTCATTAAGATATTATATTATAAGAGAAATAATACAGGATTAGCAAATCTTGTACCCAAATAAAAATTACGGCATTATAAAATAATAGTTTTAAAAATTATTATACAATTATCAGATTAAATAAACAAAATAATTATAATAATTTAAAAATAGAAAGTTTAAATTATTCCATAATGAGTTATGTATAAGGATAACGTTGCATCCATCGTTGACCTAGATATTTGAAATAAAGTACGAGTATAAATAAATTATAATAATTACCTATTGTGAATTCGGTTCTAATCGGAATGAAACATTTGGGATCAAGTTAAACTTGCTTCTAAGTCGCCATTTATATTTATTAGCTAAACTAAAATATATTCGTTCTACTATTGAATCCAAATGTGTATAAGTAAATATACATACATGAACTAATCAAATATTATCAACAATATAATATCAACCCAAGGCTGATAAATTGACGATTTTTCTTATCATTCTATTTGGAACTATAGTCATGATAATAATATTATTTTTTATTCTGAGTTAGGGAATGCCTATAACTTTACCTACGTGGATAATAATTACAAATTGTTTTATGCTATCAGAATTTTATGTATGACTTTTTTTTATATCACGAAGGTGACAAACAAGCATACATCCGTCTGATGGTTAAATGGTCACTGTAACCTATGGACGCTTGCAACACTCATGTACGCGTTGCCGATCCTGAAAAAACCTTAATATACCCTTCTTGAAAAATACCATACTCTAGTCTCTAGTAATACTACTTGTATTAGTACTCGTAACATAATAGTCTTCCATGTATATCAATGAAAGTGAAAGACTATTCAAATATCCATTTTTAAATAACTTCATAATAGTAATAATAAAATCGTTCTGTTTGCAATTGATAGAGGTTCCTTTCGTATAAATTTGTCGCTGTTTTCTTTTTTTGCTGAGCAAAATCTTAAATTACATATCAATTACATTTCAATAACTCTTCATCTATGGTTTAATGAAAAATTAAAATGTGTTTAATATTTTGTTAACAGAGAGACACGGTCTAAAAGAACCCCATCGTGTGGAACAGCTGCAAATGAAGATTATAGGATGCCTTCGCGCCCATATGCCAGGCGGCGGTAGCGGTAGTGCCGGAGGAGCCCCCCACTTTAGTCGCGTGCTTGGCGCCCTACCTGAACTACGTTCCTTGTCCGTACAAGGACTTCAACGCATCTTCTATCTTAAATTAGAGGATTTAGTACAAGCACCTCCTCTCATCGAAAATATGTTTCGCGCCAGCCTTCCTTTCTAGGCTACCACGCTCCCCAAGGACCACTCCCGCCTTCAAAACACATTTTCCTTCTACTTTTAGAACCGACTCCGTTACTTTTAAGTGTTTAGATTGAAAAATATTTTTATAGTCTAATTGGAAGTTTTATAGATTACGATCTCCTACGGAATCGGTTCGTATTAAGTACCTATCAGTTTCAAATAATTAAGCGAAGAAGACAATTGTATTGCATAAGTACTAAGTTAAGCTTAATTTATTATAAATACTTATGTAGGTAGGTATGTCATATTTGAGTGTGATTTCGTTTAATCTTATAACATTGTGTACTTAGTCTGCATTTGAGTTACCGCTCGTGATCAATGGCATCTTGTCGTACAAATATTCCTATGTTATTTACTTGCGTATTATTTAGATAAGAAAAATCTAGTCACAAGACTTAGAAATGTTAAAAATTGGCTCGTAAATATCGGGCTTTAATACCTATAAGAAAAGTTACTTAACGAATGATTAAGACATTTGATGTCCTGTTAAAGTTAAGTGTGAAAGTGCGCGGAGCGCCACAGTGTCCACGACGCACATGCTGCGTGTTATGGCACTATAGATACTCGTACCTATGCCAAGGTATGTTGTGTCGGACCGAGCACACGATTGTTGGAAGTTACCTTTAGGTTTAAATTATTTTATAAATAATTTTAGACGCTAGGACGTTAACGTAATTTGTTATAAATAATAAAAACGGCTAGAGAAAAAGTTCAGCATATGCTAATATAACTCCTAAATCCATTGTGTCTTAAAGAGTACCTTTCTAGATAGGTAGTGTAGAAATTTTCTCGTGTGTGTACCTTTTTATATACTCATATACATATTATATATGTAATGAGTACCAAAAACATATCACTTCTAATATTTTTAATAAAAGTTACTGTACTTTATATGCCAATTGATAATGATAACTTTTATATCAATAGGTGTATGAAATATTGAATACTCGTAAACATTGTGAAATTAAACGTGATATGTGCCTGTGACTTGTCTAATATTTTAAAACAATGTATCATTTGCATTATACCTTTTCACATTACATTTACCAAAATTATACAGTAAGTATCATGTATTAATCAACAGGTACTCCCTTTTTTCGCTTCTCTATTTCGCGACTAAGCACTATTCTGTTTTTGCAATTTTGATGTTGTTGCATTTTAATATACACAGGTATAGTCAATACCTAATGAAAAGCAAATGAACACTAGTGAATCTAAGGCGTTTCACACACTAACCGCGCATCACGACGGTTCCCGCCCTCTGCCTATACGGCAAGAGACAGTCAATGTGTGAAGCGGCTTATTGCACTATAAAAAAAAATTAAAACTTATATAAAGTGTTCAAGTTATTGCGTTGCTTAATAAATTAATATCTGATTTATAGAATTATTTAGGCTATAATCACCTCACCGGACCAATAATTACAGCGTAGAAATATTTCAATATATACGTTTATAGGTGTGTTTGAATAACTCCACTAATAAATATATTTACTATAGAAATGGCCATAAAAGATTATTATTAACGGTTTTTAGAGAGTTATAATAGTAAACTAAATTAAAACCTTTAATACAGGTGTTTTTGTGTCAGGTGGCCATTTGTTCTATAGTATATTATTATAATAAAAGTATAAAAAATTGCCGAATGTACTTACATAATATTATATTTAAAGGGAAGACTGTTTACTCTCGATCACGATGGTGATCGAAATTTAGATAATTCATATAAAATATAACGTATTTAATATACTGAATATTCCTAATTTAAAACATATTGTTGCTTTTTCATAAAATTTCCTATCACAGAGAAAAGTTAGAACTTTTCTTTAGGAAGTAGATGTTAAGATATTTATAAAGACGCGTGAAATTGATAATTTTATACGAAATTGGTCATATTTTGATATTATATAAGTAATATTTTGGTATAAAATTCTACATGCTGGACTTTTTGCTCGATAGCCAAAACTCCTTTATATTAGTTAATTTTGTAGATTTATAAGTTGTAATCAAAAATTATTTCTCGTTACTTTAAATATATGGCGCGATCCCAATTGTTGTACCTTTTGTACCTACTTAATAATTTTCTGGTTGTGCTCTACATATTGTTACCAGACATTTGTATGTTATGAGACCATGTTACATATTACTCTCTTGATACACTAATGACTATAAATGAACTCATAAAATACCTATTAATATCCTTACATGATTATTTAGAATTTACACTCAAAAATATGGAAGGAAAGGCGCCACCGCGCTGCCTTTTTATCTACTATTTCTATGCTTCGTATGATTTAGAGAGTATGTACCTATATATTAGTCTGATTACTACAACCACTTATTAAAGTAATAATGAGAAATCTGAAACATTCTCTAAAAATCTAATAAAAATGATCTCCTCAAAGTTATTAACAAAAATTGTTATTCATCGATATTATATATAAAAGTCATATGAAAATCTGATTTGATTTCATATTACCATACAAAACTCATTTATTTGAATGTATTTATTTATAAGTTTATATAACAGAAGATATTTTTAAGGCTCGTACTATATAAAATGTGAACCGTTCTGATACAAATAATATAAACAAGTCCATACCCAACATCCTATGTCTACTTCTTTGTTTATAGCCTTTCTATGATTGTAATAAATTGCGTTTTTTATCTCTGAATAGGTCGATGTGCTTTTGTTATAATTTTCTTTGTAAATATTTCGTCAGAATATATTGATGCAAAAGCGTCTTTTGAACTTCGCCTCTTTCATTTAAAAATCATCCATCAATAACAACCCTCAAACTACAACAATATAGTATTAATAATTTCAAACTTTCTACTTGGTTAATGTTTATAATTCAATAAGTTATGTCAGTAACCTTCAACAGTAAAGGATAAGTATCTAATATTTTGGTATATTATATATAACATAACCTACCCTGGTCCTTTTGATATATATTCTTTGCTATATAATAATATAGTATAAAACACGGCCAGTATAATCAATAGTGGCCATGTAGTCCCGGCATAGAATAGGCCACACCTTACTTTTCCGTGGGTTTCGTAAGAGGCAACTAAATGAGAGCGAGGGATGGGCTGCAGAATCCCTCTTAAAACATCTCTAAAACCTAAGTGCGGTTGCTAATCCGCCTACCAAGCATAACAACTACTAGCAAGAAACCAGGAGAAGGATTATGTTCAGCAGTAGACAATTAAAAGCTGATATGATGATGATGATGATGATACCAAAAATGTGTAATTTAATGTTTATTTTTTTTATTTTTGTTATATTCAAGTACAATACACTTAATTCTAACTACCTTCCCCATCCACTATTTAAATAATGTTGTAGATGCAATTAATATTGATGTGAGCACTATTGCTAAGAGACTATGTTGATATTGTCTACCTAGATAGGACATGGACCTGGTACGAGAGGATAGAGAAGAGATTGAGCCAGTAACAGTTTGATGGATGGACAGTTTCATCCCCATAGGGATGAACTTCTGTAGGTGCCTGTGTGGAGGTAGCAATGCATGGATTTTTCGATTTAGTTCATTTATATAAAGACTCCATGATAGTGTCTGATCAATGACAATTACTAACATTTTAATTCTAGAGGAGTATAGAATTATTTTTCCATCATTTTTTATACCACTGAGGTGGCAAATAAACATATGGCCCACCTGATGGTAAGTCATACGTAACATTAAAAACTGCTAAATCACGAATTTTTAAAATAATATAAGAACTACCTATAATAATTGCTTGAGATTTAGTAGCGTTAACTAAAAGCCAAAAATATTTCTTCCACTAAGCATTTAGATCACTATTAATTACATCTACAGCATTTATTTATTTATTTACACTTTATTGCACCATTTATAAAATAGTAAATACATTTAACTGTAATAAGAAATGATACAAAAGGCGGCCTTATCGCTAAGCAACCTCTTCCAGACAACCTTTGGGTAGAGAACATTTTGAGACGGAGATTGTTGACACTGTGTGAAGTTTAAAAAGAATCCCGTAAAGGAGAGATAGGATATGTAAATTACGACGAAAACAGATAGGGAGCCACTTGAGTAGAGTACGAAATTGAGAAATGTGATCATATTTGCGAAGACCAAATATGAAGCAACTACATAAATAGAAAAGTCGTTTGCTTAGATACCTCTGTTCCTTCATGTTTCTACCGTGAAGCAGTTGTGTTTGCATGGCTGTGTTTTTTTTTACAACACAGGGGCCAAACGAGCATGCGGCTCACCTGATGGTAAGTCACTACCGCCGCCCATGGTCACCCACAACACCTACGGCATTGCAGGTGTGCTGCCGGCCTTTTAAAAAGGAATATGCTCTTTTCTTGAAGGTTATGTTGTCGTATCGGTTCGGAAATGTTTCGGTTTGAAGGGCGAGATATGGCAGTGAAGTGATAATATAATACTGCATAACTACATTTATTGTACTTACGCAAATTTAGAGCAAACAATACATATTTGAATGTAATAACTACCGGTGTAAATCAGGCTTGTGCACGCGTCACAGTTGCTTATGATCGAATCACGAATTGATTACGAAACTAGTCGAGCTTTCTCGATCTTACCACATGTAAGTTAAACCAATAACTTTAATTACATTAACAACATACAATAAATTAAAATAATCCGACTTTAGGGTTTGCAATTTAATTTAAAACTTGTTAGCATAGTAAAAGGCTAAAAAAATGCGTGATTTTTTCTTTTTCTAAAAATCATAATTCCAATTCTACTGAAAAATTAAATAACGAACCTCTTGATTTTATCGATTATACTGTTTTTCTTGGAATCACTCTTGATAATAAAACTCTGTGGAGACCCCACATTCAAAACCTTACAACTAAATTAAATTTTGCGTCGTTTACAGCAAACACAGAGTTAAACAGTATATTAATATTGAATCTGCCAGATTAGTTTATTTTAGTTACTTTCATAATATGCTGTCATATGAAATATTATTATGGCATAAATCAGCCAACATCCAAAGCATATTTGTACAAAAACGTGCTATTCGTACAATTTATTCTATGAGAAGTCGTGAATCGCTAAGAGAATAATTTAAAGAAGCAAATATTCTTACCGTAGCTTCACAGTACATATACGCAAACGTTTTGTATATACGCAGGAATCTTCAATTGTTTCTTAAAAACAGCGATCTCAATAATCTTAACATTAGATAAAAATACAAACTTGCTGTTCCGAAGTATTGTTTAAAAAAAGTTACTAGGTCTTTTATGGAAATGGGCATTAAATGCTGTATTAAGACACCGAAGGATTTTTACAATCTACTTTTTATTAAATTTAAAACTGTTATTAAAAAACATTTATTGAACAAAGCCATTATACACTAAACAATTACTTGAATGACAAACATGTAAAGTGTTAGTCGATCATGCATGGGCTTTTAACGACCATGTAATTTTATATGGTACATGTATATTTAAATAAATACACATAATGTTAACAGAGATTTAAAAGTGTAACTGTCAAATTTCTTACGGACTCTTTTCAACAGACAACAACTTTCCGAACCCTGCAGTAGATTTAAAAAATAATGACAATTTATATAAGTTACAAATACTTTAAAAAAATAAAACTAGTCTATTTGAATAAAGACGATTTGAATTTGAATTAAAAATAATAGTTAAGTGTGTATAGCAACTTTAAAAGTAATTTTATTGACTTCCGGTTTTATTTGTGTGAGTTAGAAAAGAAGTATACTTTGTGACGATTCAGATTAAAATATGATCTATCTAATTTATATACTTAGCACATAAGTTTCATTTAGCATTTTGTATAAGTAATCATCATGTGATTGACAAACAAAAAACAATCTGAATATCTAAAAAAAATTACAAATTTTCACATATTTGTAATAAATAAAATTTAAGGAATAAAACATTTTTTCATACATACCCGTATTTATTTTAATTAATTATACCAATGCAGAAAAATAAGCAACAAATAATACATTGTGATTGTCGGCACTTGGTTAAACTTTCAATACATAATTTACCTTATTTTTAAGCACTTGTATACTTTCCTTAAAGATTTCTTCATACATAGCATTTTCAAAGATTTACTTACAGTTGTCAACTTTCGTGATAAAATTAAATTGAAACAGGCAAACAAATATGTAGTTAATACAAAAATATAAAAACATATCAGGTAGTCTTTTAAAATTTAATTTTTAAAGACTACCTGATATTTTGGTAAATTACTTTTTTTAGTAGAGTAATTTGTTATTTATATATTCCATTCCATTTCAATAATTACAATTTATCTACAATAATTACAATTTATCTATAAAATAATTCGAATATTACGTTATATTTTAATAAACACCTAAATTATTCTGATTAGGTATGACACTTGCTTTTAGACTAAAATTTTTTTGTACTGATTTCGATTTTTTTATTCTCACCTATCATCCTTCATTGGTACCCCGCCGGCGTATACTGTTAGCATGAATAGGACTACCATTCCATTGTTATTCATAGAAAAATGTGTAAAACCAATAGCATTTAGTAGTTGAAATAGTACTATAAAGATAAGAAAAAGACAGACAGCAGAAAAGACAGACGGACGAACAGACAGGAACTTTGAAGAGTAATTTTAAGTGAATGTAACTAGTACATTTAATTGAAATTAATTCCTCTTACTTTGATCGTCAAATGCTTTTTGATTTTATATTTTTAAGTGAATAACCTAGATACTTGTTTATTCTAACTCCCACTATCTATAACATATACATACTCGTATGTTAGGTATTTTTTTATTTCCTTTTGTATTGTCAATTTATATTTTGAATATACACTACATTATACACCTTCAAATTTAAAAATAATCAAAATTTATTTTGTTCATAAGTACTTCGCCGAATCCTTTTTGAACTTATCCTTATTAATATTATATGTGAAAATGAGTTTGTTTGTTTATTGCCTTATAGCACCTTAATAGCTTCAAGAATTACTATGAAATTTGGTAAATACGTACTATATGAGGTGGTTCTTCTCCACCTCATAGGCTACTTTTAATGCCAGTCAGTAAATTAATTCCGGTTACTAATATATGTAAATTTTATCAATCGACTTCGAAAAAGGAAATAACTCTAAATTCCGTTGTTTTTTATGTTTGTTACCTCATAACTCCGTTATTTATAGTGATTTGGAAAATTCTTTTCATTTGAAAATAAATCCCATAGAAATTAATTCAAAATCGATTTAGTTGCTTAGTTTTTTAAATTAAAATAACTGGTTTTATTATAATTGAAGTCAGTGTTTTTTTATAGAACAAAAACTTAAATATTTTTTTACTTTTGCGCTGTCATCTATATTTTTACTCTATTCGCCTATTCAGTGCTGTATTCTATTAAAGTTGGGTAGCAATAGTATACTACAGCTATCTGTTTCTTTTTCAATATGTAAAAACAGAATGGTAGTCCGTCCGCGCTATCGATATACGCTGCTGGGGCACCAGAGAGGGATGACAGGTGAGGATGAAGACAGGTGAGTTGACTGACTGTGACGAATTCACATGGAATTAACCATGATGTTTTCCAGAAGGGACCGCGTGAAGGTCAACCCAAGCAATATACCCTATATTGCTAGCAAAGGGTCGCTAGTCCCTATTACTAACAATCCGTTCGCCCCGTGAACTCGTCACTCGTGTTAACATAAATTACTAAACGCTTTTATTCTTTACTTTGCACTCTTTATCTTCAACTTCTACATTATTATCTTGCAGTTTCACAATATCTCGTGCAATTTCATAAAGTAATAGTAGTATAATAATAATAAGTGTATATTAATTTAATTTATTTATCTAAACTTTATTGACAAATAAAATGTAGTACAAAGGCTGTAAGGTCCGGTCCTCCGCCTTCCCTAAAGTTCGCCCGCTATACTCCATTGTATAATATTTGTCTAATTCCATTCCACTCGCAGACTTAGCATTATATTATCATTAGTGTGGTAAGCTGTACTCTGTTTTATCTATATTATCGTCGGCTGTCAGTCTGCTGTCATTCACTCAAGTGAGTCAATGTGTGTGCCTGAATTGATTATGTTGAATTCACAGCTGCGTGAAGAAATGCAAAATAAACATTAAATTTTACCTTAAAATAATGGGAATAGAAAGATTAGCATATTACAGGTATTGTTTAGATTTTCCTTAAAAGGTTTGCGTAACAATAAATTAGTCAAGACAATGGCGGACTCAAAAAATATCAATGTTTTGGACAAAAATTTGGAAGAATGTGAAATACAAGAAGTACTTAGAAATGGCACAGACTTACGGGAATATGCATTGCAAATAGACAAAGGTATAAAAGAAGCGGAGAAAAATTCTATCGCGGATTATTTAAAGGAAAGTGAGAATATAAGCTCACTCCACAACCAAATTGAAGAATGTGATGGCATTCTGGCCCGTATGGAAAGTATGCTCATGGTGTTTCAAGTGAGTATATTTATGTTTTTGTACATATATGTTATTAAAATCAGATGCATTTTTGCAGACATACAGTCATGTCTTATTAGCGTATTTAAGACTATTTTCCAAGTGGAATGCGAACCTGACCATATAAGGCGCATGTGTCATCATCATCATCATATCAGCCTTTAATTGTCCACTGCTGAACATAAGCCTACTTCTTGGGGAGTTTGCCAGTAGTTGCCATGCTTGGCAGGTGGACAGTTAGGTTTTAAAAAGGATGCTGCTGCCCATCCTTCATCTTCCCTTTGTCAACTCTGACTAGACCCACCGGAAAGTAAGGGCTGGACTATACTATGCTGGGACCACATGGCTAAGGCGCATATGTACCCTCAGACATTTGCAAAGCGTTGCTCATATCCTAGGGTAAAAATTACCAACTTGACCTCTTCCTTTCAATATGCTTATGCATATGGAGTTCTTAATTTAGCACTGAAACCAGTTTAAGATAATTATTGTATAATGTACAATGAATACTTTGTTTCAGAATGATTTAGGAAGTATTAGCAATGAAATAATTAGCTTGCAGAAACGCTCTGTGAGTATGTCTGTCCAATTATCTAATAGACAAGTCTTAAAGGGTCCACTCTCATCATTTATTGAAGACATGGCTGTTTCAGAAACACTCATTTTGTAAGTAAATTTAATTAAAAATAAAATATATTCTTTACTTAATTACAATATTAAAATTAATCAATCAATAACTTATTTTGTAAAATCACTTACTAAATCTTATCTAATAAGTATATTTAGAAATTAAGTACCACTTTAATTATTATACAGTCTACAGATGTTGACTAATATTATAAATGTAAATTTGTTTGTTACTTTATAGCACCTTAATGGTTTAACTATAATAATTGATATACACATATTATATGAGATGAGAAACATATAAAAGCTAGCCCAAATTATAATTGAAAATATCTTTGTTTATTGCCTCTTAATGCCTTAATGGCTCAAAACTGATGTTAAATTTGATGTCAATATAATATTTGAAAAAGAGACAGAGATACTGCTTTTTATCAGCTCAATTAATATATCACACTTATATGAATGAAATCATAGGTAAACACTATTTCAAACATAAAATTGCATACTTTGTAAATAAACCTATTCTTTATTTATTTACTTTATTTGACCTTTATCTGTATAATTTATTTTGTGTTTTCAGTGGTATTAATAATGTACCTGTAACTGACAAAGAATTTATGGTCCAACTTGCAATCTTAAATCAAAAATTAAATTTTGTCAAAGAACAAGACTTTAAAGAAACCAAAGCCTGTCATGATGTTAAAGATGTTTTAGAAAAGTTAAAAATAAAAGCTGTATCAAAAATAAGGTCATACATTTTAGAACAAATTTATAAATTTCGCAAACCAATGGCGAATTATCAAATCCCACAAAATGCTATGCTGAAATATAAATTTTTCTTTGAATTTGTCCTTGCTAATGAAAGGAATGTGGCACAAGAGATATGCAATGAATATATAGATACTTTAGGCAAAGTATATTACTCTTACTTTAAATCATATGCTTCCCGATTAGATAAATTAAAATATGAAGAAACACCCACTAAAGAAGATTTAATGGGAATCGAAGATGGATCTAAAGGTGGATTTTTCCAAAAATCAAATCTTAAAAACAAAAGTACAATATTTACTATCGGAAACAGGGGCGATGTTTTAGCACAACAACTTGAAGCTCCAATTATAGTCCCACATGTTCAACAAAAAACGAAGGTAAGGCTAGACCGCTTACATATGTTGATGTAGATCATGATACATTACTGAAAAAAACATAACTTTTTTATTATCTCAAGAACAATGCTTTAAACTTATTTAAATCATATTTATCGAACAAAATTCAAAAAGTTATAGTAAATAACGTAACATATTTTTTTACTTGATAATAAAACTTGCAACTAAGTTTTTGCGGTGTATCTTGTACGCAGGGTCAAACTGTATACTAATATTAAGACTGCTTGATTAGTTAGTTTAGTTACTTTCACAGTTCAACATCAAAACAGTTCAATATCTAAAGCATATTTGTATTTCAAATATCCAATTGCCGCGATTTATTCTATAGGAAGTCATAAAAACAGAAATTCTAATAAGCTTCACATTACATATATGCAAACATCTTGTATATACGCAGGAATCAATTCTTCTATTTCAATAACAAATTCTAAATTACCGTTGCGAAGTATTGTTTAGAAAAAGTTAATAAATGTTATAAGATAGGGGATATTATGAATCTACCTTTTTATAAATTTAACTGTGATTAAAAAACATTCAACATTGTGCACACATGAAACTATTATTTGAGTTACAAATGTGCGTGGTATTAGTCGATCATGCACAGGCTTTTTAATGACCATTTAGTTTTAGATATAGTACATTTAAATAAAAACATATAATGTTAACAGAGATTTAAAAATGGTGAGTTTCTTATGGGGTTTTCTCAGCAGATAACAACCCTGCAGTAGATTGTAAAATAACAATTTCTGTTCTACTATAAATCTATAGTCTATTTGAATATGAAATCTATACTTATTGTTTATTATTCTGAAATGGTTTATCCACCTCAGCCCTAATTTGATATTCTAACTGTAATATATACCTTTAATAGTTAACCTGTAATTATAACCTTTTTAAGCTTAATATCAGCTCCAGACTTCTGATTTCATCATATTAATGTCACTGACTATCTATTTATTTTATACCATTTATTTACAGTATTCCTATGAAGCATTGTTCAGAAGTCTTCAGTATGCTTTAGTAGATAATGGCTGTAGAGAATACTTATTCACTACTGAATTCTTTCATGTAAAAGGCAGCCATGCACAGGAACTGTTTGATAGAATTCTTGGAAAGACATTATCATTACTTGTGGTAAGTATGGCTATGTTATATGATACTGCAATGTGCATAATCAATATACATATCTTAACACTGTAGAGGTCAAATATCTGACAAAGAAAAAAAAGCGCGTCAGGAGGATGTTAGAAATGAAATAGAACACATCCAGATTTATTTCAAATTTTTCGTTTTTCTATCTGTTTATCTGTTTGCACGGGCTAATCTTGTTATATTTAAATAAAACTTATTTAATTGCAAACATATTTATTAACATCAAGAGAATGAACAAAGGTGAGAAAGCAACCGGAAGATCCGCTAGTACATACATGTTAACTCATGTCATCTGTCAATTAAGATGCGTTCCTTTATACATATTTAAACTAGGTACGTTCATCTTACACCTCCCCCTTCAACTTTAAAACAAAACTTTTACAATCAATTACAAAATAAAAAAACATTTTACAAAATTACATTATAAATTGAGTCTATCTCTAGGTTTTATAATTCTTCCACTGCGAGTGTGACATGCTTTATGAGGGATATTTGATTGGTTACTATTTTCAGATACAATATTTGGCACATTATTACTAACTTTGTCATTTAAAGAATAATCAAAAAAATCTCTCTTAAAACTATGTGTTTTTGTGTTTGACCTCTTAATGTGATGAGAAGTGCGCCTAAAGGGCTTACAATTTTCTCCCCTACTGATCCAATATGATCTAGGTTCTTTAGACTTCTTAATAACTACTCCTTTTTTCCAATAACTATCATGACCTGTCCTATAAGTTACATTTCTCCTTCCTTAAAATTTGTTTCACCCTTCCTTATAAATCTATCATGAATTTTTTTAGTTATAGATTGTTTCACAGTTAACAATTTATGAATATTTTTCTCTATTTTAGGTTCTAACATGCTTTCTGTAATAGGTACACAAGTTCTCAACTGTCTACTCTGTAATATTTGAGATGGTGATACTTCTAAACTAGATAAAGGTGTACAGTTATAACTTAATAGAAAATCTCTATAATCTACATTATCCTCCCTCGCTTTCTTTAATAAATTTTTAGCAATATTTACTGCCTTTTCTGACATGCCGTTACTTCTAGGATAGTGAGGGCTACTGGTAGTGATACAAATATCTTTAGATTTATAATACTGAATACATTCATAAGATTTAAATGGATTGTTATCTGCTATAATTTCAGTAGGGTAACCAAACCTTGTAAATACTTCCTGAAAAGCATTTATAACAGACTTTGAACTTTTATTTATTATTGGTATAATTTCCAACCAATGTGATAGATAATCCACAACAACAAGGTAGGATTTCCCTCCATACTCCATAATATCAGAACCTACTTTTGAAAATCTTAATTTAGGTATCTTATGCATTAACAATGGTTCATGAGTATTTGCAGATTTAAATTTCTCACAAGTTCTACATTTAGATATAAAGATTTGAATATCCTGAGACAATTTCGGCCAATAAAATAGCTGTCTAGCTTTTTTAATACTTTTACTTATGCCTGGGTGACCAGAATGAACTAAATTTAATACATATAATTGTAAAGATTTAGGAACAATAATTTTGTTAGTATAGAACACTAAACCTGATTCTACATAGATATCCTCTTTAAATTTAAAATATGGTTTACATTCTTTTAACAATTTATTTTCTTCAGGCCATCCTTGATAATAATATTTTATAATTTCAGATAACACTTTATCTTTGCTAGTCTCAGATCTGAACTCAGACTTTCTTTCACTACTCATAGGCAAATGCAATGAAACTGAATGAACCATGTCTAACATTTCATAGTCCTTCTCTGTTGTTTTCATACTACATCTAGATAACATGTCTGCAAAATGAATGTCTTTACCTGGTATATAATTAAGATTTAATCTATAATTTAATAATTTAAGACACAAACGTCTAAGCCTTGGAGATCCTACTTTAGTAATAGGCTTTTTAATAATTGAAATCAATGGTTTGTGATCTGTTTGTACCTGAATATTTTTAGCACCATATATATATTTATGGAATTTTTGTGTACCAAAATAAATAGCTAATAATTCCTTTTCCGTTTGACTATAGTTTAATTCACAATTGTTCATTGTTCTGGATACACAAGCTACTAATCTTAAACAGTTATTGTTATCTTTTTGAAACAAACAACTACCTATTCCATTCTGAGATGCATCACACTGCATTATAATTTCCTTTTTAGAATCAAAAGCACTCAAAGCTGGAGCCTCTGAAACTTTCTTTTGAGCTCTGAAAAATTTTTATCATGTATTGGTAACCACTGAAATAAAACATCTTTTTTCAATAATTGACATAATGGAGCCATAAGCTCAGCCATTTCTGGTACATATCTTCTAACATAATTGAATGACCCTATAATTCTTCTTAACTCAGCTATATTTCTAGGAGCTTCTAGACTTAATAAAGATTTGACTCTATCCTTGTCCATTTCCATACCCTTTTCACTGAATATTTGTCCTATATATTTAATTTCTTTTAACTTATATTGCAACTTGTCTTTATTAAATTTAGCTTTTATTTGTTTTGCACGTTTAATAACTTCCCTAACAGTTTTATCATGAGCTTCCTCAGTTTCTCCCATAACTAGTAAGTCATCGAACCATGTTATTACATTAGGTATATCGCCAAAGTAATTTTGAATTTGATCTTGAAATACATCAGGTGAATTTGAAAGACCATACGGTAAAACTAAGTATCTATACACTCCAAAAGGTGTCGCAAAACAACATTTCCATGATGCACTTTCTGTTAGTGTCACATGATGAAATCCTTCCGATAAATCAAAAACTGAAAAATACTTTTTACCTTTTACTTTACATGCTATCTCATCTACAGTTAATAATACTTGGGGTTTTCTAATTATTTTTTTATTTAACTCACTGGGATCTAAACACAATCTTATATTTCCATTAGGTTTTTCTACTAAAACTAGCCTATTTATACATGCTTCTGATCTTATCTCTTCAACTTTAGTGATAGCTTTCCTCTTAACTAACCTATTCAATTCACACTTCAAAGGATTATATAATTTATTTGGTATCTTAGGTGCCGCATGACAAATTTGCTCATGTGGTAATGTAGGAATATCCACTGGTTTAGGAAAATTTCCATGACCTTCAAAAATTTCCATATTTTCTTGTATAAACTTAAATTTCTCATCATTACAATTTAAATTTACTGTATTAATTCTTTTAACTAAATTCAATGCAATACAACCTGGTAATCCTAGTAACATTGATTTACAGTCAACTACCATGAAATCTTCATAACATTCAATTGCTTTATATTTACAGTGTAAATTTACCATACCCACTGGTTTAATTGTGGAGCCTTGAAAGGCCTCTAAACTTTGGTTACATTTCCTAAGTTCAATATTACTTCCTAGTGACTTATATATATTTAATGGCATTATACTCACATCTGCCCCGGTATCTAATCTACAGTTTACATACCTGTTCTCAATTAAAATGTTCTCTGTCCAGTGTGTCTTTTTATTACCTTTTACTTTGTTTCTCGTTATACTGCAACAATACAATTTAGAATTAGAGTCACTGTCAGAATTACAATCTACATTTTGTACCTTTTTCTTCACATTACAACTAACTGCAAAGTGATTCTTTAATCCACATTTATGACATCTCTGCCCAAAGGCTGGACACTCCCTCGGACCGTGGTTTCTCTTACAGCGCCTACAATTAAATTTTTCTATATATTTTGTTTTATTTTCTTGATATGCATGCTGCCTTCCTTTATTTTTCTGTTTCCTATTATATACTTCTTTATTTCCTTGATATACTTCCTTTTCCTTCTGTTTTAAACTATTTCTTTTCTTCACTATATCTATTTCTATATTTGGATTCATCTCTTTTGCCTGCTTTTTACTAATTTCACTTGTACGACAAAAGTTGGTTGCCTTCTCAAGTGTTAAATTGTCTATTCTTAGTAGATTCCTGTAAGGACTTGTCGTATATGCCTTGCACTATTTTATCTCTTAATATTTGGTCCTCTAATGATTCTTGTCCTTCTACATTTTTATACGAACAATTAGCAAGCAGCTGTTTTAAATCTGTGAGAAAATTATGAAAACTTTCGCCTTCTTTTTGTTTCCTTTCATTAAATTTATATCTTTCAAATACTTGATTTGCTCTTGGACTTACATAATTATTAATAGCTCTTATAACATTTGCATAGACTTGCGATTCTGTTTCCGTAATCGGCAATGTATGTAGCAATCTTGCAGATTCGATTCCCATCATATTACGCAAAAGTGATAATTTTACTTTGTCCTGCGAGTCATCTTTTCCAATGCTCACTAAATAATCCTCGAATGCCTGTATCCATACCTTCCACTCTGAGGCTGCATTAGGCGATCTTATGTCGAAATTTGGAGGCAATTTAACCGATCCTTCCATGATGGCGTCTGCTTGGCTGAAAAACTTCTTTACGATATTTAATACTTGATACAATCTCGTTTACACTTTGAATACGATAATTGCAACTTCAACCATGACTACTACTTCGAATACCGCTACGACTGCGCCATGTTATATTTAAATAAAACTTATTTAATTGCAAACATATTTATTAACATCAAGAGAATGAACAAAGGTGAGAAAGCAACCGGAAGATCCGCTAGTACATACATGTTAACTCATGTCATCTGTCAATTAAGATGCGTTCCTTTATACATATTTAAACTAGGTACGTTCATCTTACAAATCTCCGAATGTGTTAGACAGATTCAAATGAATTTTTGCATGGTGGTACCTTACATTCCCGGTCAACATTATATATATATTTTATCATGGAAAGTTAGTGTTCCCGTGGGATAGTTAAAAAACTATTGTAACTTATGGAGCTAAGTACACAACCAACTTAAGTAAAGTCATTTTAACCTAAGGCAAAGAGTGAGATTGAAACACGTCATTTGTTAATTTTAAAGCAGTATTCCACAGATATAATAAACAGGTAGGTACATACATCGATACGTATTAAAGAGGAATAAACGATACCATGCGGACAAAGTCGCGGGCATCAACTAATTATAAATATAATTTGTCCTTTTTAAATGATATTTCCTATAACTACAATTTTATTACTAGTTAGTTCTTTTTTATTTCAGAAAAATGTGGAAAACTATGTTTTAGAATGTTATGATTCCCTTGCATTGTTTTTATGTATACAACTTATAAATAGATATAGATGGATGTGTCACAAACGAGCTGTAGGTGCACTAGACAGGTAAATATTTTTATAGTAAAACTTATCATTATTATATTCTTAATTTTAGTGTTAATTTTAGTCTGTTTGTTACTATCAAAATGTGACAATCATTTTCTGGTATTTATTTTGTGAATGAAATAATTTAAGATTGTATGTCACAAAAAATAAAAGTGACTTCAGTTGTGGCAAAACCAGTTATTTTGATTTCGACATTAAACTATTGAACCGATTTTGATAAAATTCTATGAGACCAATCTGTAAGTATATCCTTTCAGATAAAAAAGAATTTACCAAAACCGCTTTCTTTTAAAAAAAAATGACAAGTGAGATCATTCTAAATATAAATGTGAAATTAAGTTTGTGGTAAAAAATTGTTGCTTTAAAAGCTCAATCAATTTTCATTAAACTTGATTACATATAGTCTTTGGAACATAAAATTTGGCCGTTTTTATCTGTTAATGAATGTGTCCCCGTTACTCGTAAGTAGTCACATCATATAGCTAGTTCTAAATTAATATGCTTCTAATTTTAATCACAAATTTTAATAAGGATTTAAGTGCGTGTGCGTGCGAGTGCGAGTGCGTGCGCTTGCGTGTGTGTGTGTATATGTTTGTATGTAGGTGTGTGCGTGCATGAGCGAGCGCATACGCGTGCGTTTGTGTGTATAATTTCTATATAGTCCAATTTCAAACTTTTATTCATCTTTACAGCTACTGGGATTCATTACAAAGCACATTGTGGCCAAGGTTAGAATATGTATTAAAACTCAACATTCAAAGTGTAAGAGAATGTGATCCAGCCAAATTATCTAACAAGGAATTAGGACCTCATTATGTAAGTTGTCTTCATTAAAAGATGATTCTACCACGTGCAAATACTTTGACATTATTATATATATATATAATATAACTTTTAGTTAAATTTATTGAAACATGTCACATTTATTGCTTTACCGATCAACAGTTACATCCTTATATAATTAACAAGTGAAGTGGGCAGCTAAGAAAGATCTAAAAATTGAATGTAACCCGTCTACTAAAAATAATAAAATGTAGTTGAATAAATAATATCCATGTCTACTTGCTAAAAGATGTCAACTCATCTCTTACAAAAAAATATGCAGGCCATAAACTCTACCCCTACATTACTTTATTATACTCATTATTGATTATATGGATTTAACTTTCTGTCACTATTCATATTTAATGTGTATTTGTTATGTGTGTATGTGTTATATGTGTAAATATACGTAATGTATATGGTTTATTTATTTCCTAACTGTTCTGTATCTTTAATGTGGATATACTTTTAGATAACACGCAGATACGCGGAGTTCTCAGCTGCAATGCTTAGCTTAAGTGAACAATTCCCATCTGAAGAACTTAGTAATCTCCTTTTAGTTCTCCAAGATGAAGTTCATTGTTTTCTTCTGAAAATGGCAGCAGAATTCCCACAGAGGATACAGCAATTAATATTTTTAATTAACAACTATGATATGGTACTAAGCATTCTAATGGAAAGAACTAGGGATAACACGAAGGAAGCCGAAACTTTTAGAGAACAATTGCAAGCAAGAAGTTCTGAATATGTTGAAGAAATACTGAGCCCACATTTTGGGGGGTTGATGCAATTTGTCAAAGAAGGAGAACAGTTGGCTGAAGGGGACAACAAAACTCAACTGGCGGCTATGGAAAAAAAATCTTTGTCTTTAGTAGCATCATTTAGCACTGGTTGGAAACAGAGTCTTGAAGAAATTCACAGAGAAGTTCTTGTATCATTTCCCAATTTAGTTACTGGGTCAGGATTGTTACAAATGGCCCTAACTAATTTCGTTCAATACTATCATAAATTTGTCAAACTATTAACACCAAATGCCCGTACACAATTAGTTAACATTCATGTCATAATGGTAGAAATAAAAAAATATAAAACTAATTTCTGAAAGATTCATAAAAATAGAGGAATACGAATTTTATACATTTCAAATCAATTTTACTCGGCAATAAAAAAGACCAACTTTATTAATAACAAAATTTTGATTAGTTTCTTATTGGATTTAAAATGTTTCTTTCTGAATTAACATGAAGCAGTAATGAATACATTAATGTATTTATTACACGACTTGAAATTAGTTCAAAAACGACAGAAAGTGCGTTTTTTCTTTATTTGGAAGAAAATATGAAAATGTTAGTTATTTCTATTCACCCTAAATTGGGGTTTAAAAGAAACTGCATACAGGAGAATAGAAAAATTGATCAAGTATGACATCTTTAAAATAGCATAAGCAGATTTTATTGTTTTAAAATTAAAAGTTCCCTATTTAGATCATTAAAACCAAATCTATAATCCTTGTCTAATTGAAAATACACAAAAATACTGCATGAAATGATTAACATACATTTTTTTTTCCTTTTGTATTTAGTAATCAATAAATTTGTAACATATTTACCGCCCATTGTTGCCTCTTTATCTTGCTTTTATGTATATATTTTTTTTTGTGTACTTTTACTCTTAATCTTTATATTCATTTTGTAATATTCTTTGAAGGGAACAATAAAGAGTTTTCATTCATTCATACCTTCACATTTCATTAAATATTGAGCTCGTTTACAAAACTGTTGCTGAATTACTAAAGAAAAATTGATAATTTTTTTGTCAATTTTCATTTTACCAACTCCAAGAAACTTAGGTAAACTATTTTAATTCATTTATTTTATTTACATTATTATGCCATCTATAAAAATAATAAATACAGTAAATTTTAATAAGAATCGACACAAAAGCGGCCTTATTGCTAAGCAATCTTCTAAACAATGACAAAAAAAGACAAAGGATAATATATTATACACACTTAAAAAAAGTCTAAGCAACACATAAATTTCAATTTTACAATGTGTTTTCGCATTAAATCATTAGTATTTTTTTATTTATATATTTTTTTTTATATTAACAATTGATTTTTTTTTATTTATTTTTTAATAATCTTAATTAACAATAACTACGAGTAAGTACCGTATGTACGTAGTAAAAAGTAAGGTGCCTAATCAACTAAACTTAAACTAAAATTAAATAATTGTACAAAAATTGCTTAAAATTAATACAAAGTATGGCGAGATTGACTTCTTCCCGCTTGCAACATCCCTTTAACTCTGCATCTCATCTGCGTTCAAATGACTTCGCTCCATGACGTAAAAAATGTCTCAAAATCCAAATATATTCAAAACTTTTTCAAATTATTGTTTCAATCATAAAATTGATGCAGAATACTAAATTTTAATAAGCAAAGAAAACGCTATAAAATTCAAACAAATGCATTAATTAATTTTAAATTTAATTTGTGAAAAAAAAATGATACTCGATTTTTTTTTACAACCAGCCAGTATGTCCTCTAGATCAAAAAAATTTACATAGGTATTATCTACTTGGTAAGAAATGATAGAATAATTTATTAATAATTTAAAATAGTATGTGTTGCTTAGACTTTTTGATGTGTGTATATACCTGTCCACTGCTGAACATAGGCCACGCTTAGCAGCCGAATTGGCAATCACAGTAGCTTTGATGATGTTTTAAAAGGGACGCTGCTACCATCCTTCGACCATTATATATACACAAACAAATATATACATAAAATACACATAAATAACAACAAATAGCCCTATTCAATATAGGGGAGAATAGGGCAATGGCGGTCAGTTAAGGAATTTTTGCAATAAAATCCAAAATATAAATCACAGCTTTATTAGGAACATAACATCGCAATTCTACATTAAATGACTATTATAATGTGAAATCAAAACAATAATCTTTAGAGTTTTCATCTAATAAATATAAAAATAAAAAATAATAGCTTTGACCACCATTACCCACAAGTGAGGACAATAGTGGTTATGATGTTAACAATAATGATCAAATACTTCTAACATATGTCACATATGTATCCTGTAGCGGGATCCCAACCAGTGCAAGCTGAGTGAGCCCAAAGCCCACAAAAAGTGCACCGGTACTATACCTCGTTCTTTCGGCCGAATGTTCCATTAGCCATAAGCCTTAAAGTCTTGTCTAATGTCTCTGAAGACCATGCAACCTTCTGAGTTTTTCTGGGTCGATTTTTAGGCATCTAAAACAAATTGATTAGATTTAATTAGATTATGACAGTCATAAAAATATTGCAATGGTGGTCGGTTGACCACGATTACCCACAATGGACTTTATAGAAAAAAAAATGTAACACAAACAAATGCATATTTTAATTTCAAATTTACATTACAACATAATAATAATAAACAGTTTCAAATAATAAGACAACGTTTACGTCGAATAAAAAATGTTTCACAGCTTACCTTGTTAATTTGTTGCGACATAAAATTATATCAAGTTGACGCGAAAACTACAGAAACTTACTTTGTGCGAACGCAGCGTGCAGAATGACGGCGGGAGGCGATCCTCGGTCGCGAACAATGAGGAACGTGACGTAATACAGTGCACACGTGTAAATGACCATTCATGCATTAGTTATGTGCGTAACCACCATTGCCCACTGACCATCATTGCCCTATCTTTCCCTACCCCGTTTTATGGTACAAAAAAAAAGATTAAAAAATCAGTTGAGATTTAACATACATATTAAGAACTTTCTAAAAATTGCTTCAAAATAGTATTATAAATAATATGTCCTTTATTATTATTTATATGAAATAATGTCTTTTAATGATAAACAAAGTCAGTTGTGAACTATAGAATAATTAGATCATATAAGAAATAAAAAATTTAGTTATTAAATTATTTCTTCAATTGGAACTAAATAATTCACACTCCAAGCGTTCTTAGTTCGATGTATTTAATTCTAGCAAAATCGTCACTTATCACAAGTTTAATACTATTGTATCACATTCAATTGTAGAGAATATTATAAATACTAAATTATTAATTAATGATTATTATTTGTAAATAAATAAAATTTTATTGCAATTATTTAAAACTTAGTTTTATTAAGAGGAATAAACTCCGCTTCCAAAATGAAGCGAAAAATATTTACATCACAGTTCTTGTAATATTGATAACATAGTACAATTAACTTATATATACTAGAATGACTCCAATAATATATTACTAATATTAAAATGTAAACCATACTAAAATATTGGCCTACTCCACTTGTGTCTAACAACTTTTCGCCACTGGAGGGTGGAATTTTATTCCACTTATTTCCACTGATAAAGATAACAACTTTTTTAATGGATAATAATGAAATGGTAACCCTGCCTACGTCATCGGTATACACTGGCGGGGCACCAGTGAGGGATGATCGGTGAGGATAAAAAAAAGGCAGATCAGTTAATCCATTGTGACGAATTCAACGATAAATTTGTCACAATGGTTTCCAGGGCGAACCGCGTGGAGGTCGACCTGATAAGGGATAGCAATGGGAACTCACAATCCCTTCCCCCGCAAGATGACCACTTATTCTTTACAAGTGCACTTTTGTACATAAATAAATATATAATAACCTCCCTTTTTTTTTCTAGATGTCTAGTACAAATAATGTTTTACAGCATCCTGAACTAATAAAATCGCTTGGAATATGCAAAACAATAGCATAACTACTTTAAAATTATATTACGTAGATGGATGGATGGATTTTACATTATTTATCAATTTAAAAGTTAAAAGTGGAAGACAGAGACGAAATTGTTTTCTCTAACTGCCTTATATAACAAAGGAATTAACTCGGAAATGAATAACTTTTTCATGGATTTTTATAATAAATTTTTTAGGACTTCTGCATGTATACTAAAGGAAATTATTTACTTTTTAATTTGTGTACTGTTTTAATCTAATTGGAGATTATTATTATTATTTTATAAAATTTACATATAAGTAAATATTAGGTTTTGATGTCGTAGGTCATCATTATTAAAAATTATGCATAAATAAGAATACACTTGTAATTTTTTGATGAAAATTCAAAAATTGTAATTAGTAAACCAAATTTAAAGTTGTAACAAAACCGATTATTTTGGTTTGAAAACCAGACTACTGAACAGATTTTAATACAATTTCTATAGAACATGTAAGTATATTTTTTCAGATAAAGACGGTTTTATGAGGTAACAAACATAAAATACAACTGAATTGAGAACCTCTCAATTCGAAACCTCAACCTTTTTGAATTCGATTAAAAATGAGAAAATAGGAGCAGTAAAATTGAGAGTAATCTATTTTCGAAGTCGGTTAAAACTAAATGTGACAACGCTGTGATGAAAACAGCATTTTGCAAAACTAAAGGATGTATGTATATGTATGATTACTCGTTACACTGTGGTATCGAACGGATAACTTTGTTTTTATTAATAGTTTTTTTAACAGACTACACTTATTATTATCAAAAAAATATCGGTAGGGAAAAGTGGCATTATTATTCCAATTATTCCTACTGAACACACAAGGGTAGGGGCAGGTGAAAAAAAAGTCTATAACTACTCGGGGGAAAGTTGGTAAGAACAAGTGGAACTGGTTAAAATATTGGTGGAAGCGTAAACAACATAGTTGACACCAACAAAAATTTCTTCCTGTAAACATCATTGTTCAAGTAATTTACAAACTCAATGATAAAAATTAAAATGTTGAGATGTTATACTGATCGTCGCTGATTAGTGATATCTTTGATAAAACGGTTTTCCATATTTTCGCTGATTTATCTCTTACAAAATCTCGTAATACTTCTTCGCATTCAGGGGACACAGATTTAGGAAACCATTGTAACATTGCATGTATAACACGATTTTGATTGTGTTTACTCATATATATTAAACTTGTATATATTGCTTCTTGCATTAGTGGTGAAGCTGAAACAACATCGAAATATTTAGATTTTGGTTGGATGCAACTCATACATATTACATGTTTTTGTGCAACTAAAAATGGCAGGCAAGCCGACACTGCGCCTGTTAGAAAGTAGTAGCCGTCCCCTATAGACAAACATCATCGCATATTGCACTGTAAAGCCCACCATACGGCCCACCTGATGGTAAGTGGTTACCGTAGCCTATGAACCTGCAATATCAGAAGTATTACGCGTGCATTGCCGACCCTGAAGAAACCTTTTTACCCCCCTTTTGAAGAATCCCATGCTGTAGGCTCTTGGGAAAACCTCGGCAGGGAGCTCATTCCATAACCTGAGTGTTCATGGGAAGAAACATCTTTGAAACCGCGCAGTATGTGACCATTGAGGCTGTAGGACACGAGGATGAACACCCTGTCGATAGCGAGCCGTACGATGTTAGACAGTGCCTGTGGGCACCATATTCAACAATTCCTCTGAGTATAATCCGTTGTACAAGCGGTAGAACACGCAGAGTTATTTTTATTATTATTTACTAACTAACTTTTCTACCGCTACTTTAGACGTGTGGTGGTAGAAAAATCAATTACATATACCACTTCCAGATGGTGTATCAAGATATAATATACACTAAATTTGAAATTAGATCTGCAGGAACATAACTGTGGAAACCGCATCCAATTTGGTTCAGTAATTTTTGCATGATACCAGAACAAATATACATTTCTAAAAAAATATATTGGTTTCTATTGCTCCTTATTAAGACACATCATATTTTTTTAAAAAATATCTTCCATATGCAGACATCGTCTTGTTGTAATTTTATTAGATTAATAATATTCTTTAATGACTACATTTCAAAAAATATATGATAATGACACACACTTAATGCTATATAGCAATATCTCTCAGTCGATCTATTTGTTATATGAGTATTAAAAAAACTAGCTACTTACGGTTTTGATTAAGCATGTCTAAAAGTTGATTCATGACAATTTCACAATGTACTTTCATATCTAATGGATAAGGTTTCATAAGTGGCCCTAACATTGCCACGCAGAATCTTTTTATTCTCTCTGGACCATCCATCTCTATAATTGGTTGTAAAATATTTGTAATTACATGTTTCTGACACCATCGAGGACCTTGACGTTTTGCTATAATTAACAAAGATAATCTAAGAATTTTCTTTTCCGCTGAGTTATCTGTAAATCAATAAAGTTAACAAGTTAGCTCCTTTGGATTAGTATGTAATTTTACATGTTTTTATAACTTTATATCTTGACTAGCGTTTTGCCCGTTCCTTCATTTCAAAAGCAGGAAAACAATGAAATAGACCATTTCTAAATAGCGTATCAAAATAAAAATGAAAACCAACTTTTAAATTAGACTTTCAGGAACACAACAGTGAAACCCGCATTCAATTCGGTGTTGTAATTTTTGCGTGATGCTGGAACAAACATACAGAAAGACAGACAAAATTTTGTAAAAATTATATATGTTCTTTGTTGCACTTGTAAAAAAAAAAATATTTTTATTGTTTTGGCTTCTATCACTTATATATTATTGTTATATATTATACCCCTTACATATCTCCCATGTACATTGTCCAGGTATAATTTTATTATATTAGTAAGATAAACGGTATGTTCTTCAAATTTTTACGTCAAAGCATTTTACTGTTATATATTATATAGCGATCCAATCCTACTTCGCTTGGGTAGATAGAATTTTCGAAAATAATATATAGCCTATATTACTCGCTAATAATATAATTTTCTATAGGTGAAAGAATTATCAAAATCGGTTGAGCAGCTTTTTGAGTTTATCCTTTACAAAAAACCACTTTATAATACTAGTATAGAAAATCAAAGTGGCCTGATATAAAAACTGGATTCAAGAACATAAAATACAACCAATAGTAAGAACAAGCAATACCAAATAACGAAATATGCAAAGCTCCGCCAATGATTTCTTCAAAAATTATTAATTTATTTGTAATTGTTATTATAGAATACTATTTATTATTATTATAATGTTATTTATAACTACTCATTTATAGACTAGGAAAAAATTATTTAATATATTTTTACAACTTTTAAACAAATTAATTTTTATTGTTAAAAATTTCTAAAATAAACTTTTCAAGTAGTAGAAAATCAAGAATATACACTACATATATAAATAATTTACAATATTTTCTTCCAATCTCTCTCTCTCTCTCTCTCTGGTATTATATTATAAAGAAAATGTTTTTTTCTACACTTTTGTATTTTATATTAAGGCCGGCTTCGGAGACTCGCCGCGCGAAGTTTAGATTTTTAGCGCTACTCTCAACGATCGAGGCACTCGCGCACCGCACACACCCACACATACTCGTATACACAGTGGATCGCTAGATTGTAACTGGATTTTGTTACCAAATATAAAAATCGTTATGTCTAATATATTTCATCTTAATAACAGTACCTACTAACTGCTGGCCAGAACTTTGCGTGGACACGTTTTTCCGATAAAATGTTTTTACGCGGGTGGTTAAATGTGGTACTTTTTTTGCACATTTGATATAAGTCAAACTCCACAGGGACCGCATCTTTCAAAGTAAGATACATAAAATTATAACCTTATAGTGTGTAGGCATCAAATAAAAACACTATAAATTTCACAACATACGTTTACTAAGCGCGCGAGCCAGTGGGTCGCGTAGAAAAACTCCAAGAGCCAGTTCGAAACTGTCTTAGCGGCGACGACGCCGCTAAGCTAACGTTAGCGCACAGGAACGCGACGCGCGCGGGGAAGACGATCGGAAAGGGGACTTACTCGCGGCCGTTGCGCGGTGGCGATTTTAGGGACCCGCGTTACAACCTTAATTTATTCTAATAATAAGATTTAATTTAATTAACCTGTGAATATGACAGTTGCAAATAATATTCAATATCGATTTGACACCATAATGACGTCCTTTCCTTACAAGTTTCATGATGAAAGTAGATTTTCAAAATGCTAAAAAAATGCACGAAAACCGTAGGTATAATTACTAATTACAAAATTAATAAAGGCTTGGGTCTTTTTTATGATCAAACCAAATATAAAAAAACAGAAATACATAACAAAACACTGACTTAACTAAATACATTAAATTAGTAATCAGTCTACAGACTGCACTAGAGATACCGATAAAATTAATACATAACAAATGCTAAAATATAAGTGATCACATCTTTCTTTCATACACAAGAACGCTATATTATAAATGACGGCTTTTCAAGAAGACATTAAACAAAATCAAATAAACTAATGTAATGTAAGTGTTAAAATTTATAACTGGCGGTATGGAAATGTATGCAATGTACGCAATATTTGCTAGCATTTGGACAACTATGATTCTGTGATGTAAACAACTGTACACTGATTTTGTGTAAGTACACGGTACGATCGCGATCTGTCAAGGTGGCACAGAGCGACATGATATTACTTCGGAGGCGCGTGGCTGACTGAACGCCGGAACCGCGAGCGATCGCAAACGTGGTCGCACCGCTTCATAGTAATTTGTATGAAGTCTAAGCGTGAATATTGGGTAAGTTCGTGATTGTTTTACACAAAATAAGAATATATTTAATATGAAATGGAGATTCTACAAACTAGTTTATAGTTCTAACTTTATTATTTGATAAAATTCATTTAAGAATTCTTGATACTTATGACTCAGTTGTTACTATACAGGAGTGAAATTTACACGTTTTTATTGATTTTCTGATTTTTTTTTTTTTTTACATTTATTCATAAGCATTATCTTAAATTCGAATGTTTCAAGAAAAAGTAACATTCATTAGCTATATATGTGATTGTTTTCAAGGTTATAGAAAATAGTTTTCTATATAATTCTCTTACATTCCCGACCCTTGGTTGTCAGACTGTCCTTAAAACTAACTGATCTGACAAACATTGTTTTGCCACCCACTTTCCATTTCTTCTCTTATCAGGATAACAACTATCCTATCAGGATAATAAGTTTCAAGTTGGGGCATACAATACAAAATTTCATCTTAAATAATGTTTTAAAAATTAATTAGTGTCACAGGATTTATATATATTAAGATATATGTTGAGTACCATACCTCTCAAGTCTTTTATTGCATTTTTAAACATTTCCAGTATTTTCGTTTCATTCCATTCCACCATTTGATATGAGTACTTCCTATTCAAAATAAATCTTATATCTCTCACTCTATTGAAGGCGTCTTCACACTTGTAGAAATGCAATACATAGACTAAACAAGTAACCAAGGGACTTTTGGCTGAAATCATATAAAAATATTGGTAAATATTAATTTGAAATTTTAATTATTTTACTAATAACATTTTAACAAAATTCAATAATCACTTACCAATTCCCATATGAGCTAATGGTAAAATATGCATCCAGACATCCAAACACTGCTTAATGAGTGCAATGGCTTTATACTGCATACAATATAGAGCATCTATTATAAAAACTCGTAATCGAGTTTTTAATTGAAAATATCTACATAGTATTGCATAAAAGTGGGATGTACTTTCAATTACATCAAATTCTGGTGTACGATTTAATTTAAACAATAAATATTCCAAATTATTTAAAATGCAATTCACTATATTCATAGATGGCCATGCACTACTCAGTTGTGATATTATATAAAGAAGGACTTGTTCCTGCTTAGTCATAGGTGGGGCTGGTGGTGTATTGACTTTTGAAAACAATTCTATTTTTCGCTGTGAATCCTGCATATATTTCATGAATCCGGCTAAAAATTCTTTTACATCAAAACTCTGTAACTCATCTACGAGTTTATTCATTGCATTTTTTGCTTCAATAGAAGGTAAATTTATTATTTCTGCAGTACTGGTCTCAATCATTTTCCATATTAAATTTGTTACAGAATCTGAAAAACATTATTATTATTATAAACATGTGTTTCAACCGTAAAGCAGTTGTATTTGCATGTCTGTGTTCCGGTTTGAAGGATGGGATATGGTGTGAATTCACAGGATATAGAGGAATAAAACCTAAGTCCATGAACAGGAATGGCAACGCATGACGGGTATCATGGGCGAAACAGTATACTCTGTTATGTCCATGGTACTGCTCATGTCTATAGACGACGGTTACCACTTTCCATCAGATGGGCCATCAACTTATTTGCTTTGCTCTAAGTTGTATAAAAAAAAAGAAAAAAGAAACAACATATTTGTGAGATTTCAATAAATAATATTCATTAATTGATTTAATACATACCTGATACTTTTTTAGGTTGATATTTTGTTACTGAAACACTATATTTATTTATCATAAGACACAAAATGCTATTCTTAGGATGACTTGTGCTATCTGATTCTGTTTGTGATACTGATTTAGTTTGGGGTGTTTGAACTTCACTTGACGCTTCAGTAAATATTTCCAAATCCTCGTAATTAACTAATTTATTAGATTCAGTAACTTTTGATTTATCCAAATGTCGTCTCTTTTCAACTTCACTGATAATATCAGGTAGTTCTGTATTGATTTCTTTATGTGATTCATTTGAAGCGGATGTTTTATTATCCATACCGAATTGACGCTGACTACTACTACGCAAAATTCTTTTGCATGCGAAATCTGATTTGTCAACGGATAAACGTTTTAATCGTTTTCGTCTTTCTTGTGAAAGTACTTCAAATATTTCATAGTTGGTTTTAGAATCAATACTGTTTCTCTCTCTGTCTTTTATAAGATTAGGTTTTACAATTTGTGAATGTCGGGCATATTTACTACGACTACGAGTTGTTCTATCTAAAGACCGCGGGCTGTTGTTATTATCCGCTTCATTAGATTTCTGTTTCGTACATTTAGAAACTTTATGAAGATCACAATTTTTATTCTCCGTTGGAAATACTTTCTGATTTATATCGTTGATATCTATTTCATTGCTTTTCTCTTTCATACATTTAGATACTTTCTGAAAATCACAATTATTCTCTGCTTGGATTGTTTTTTGATTTATATTATTGTCATCCATTTCATCGTCTTTCTGTTTTACACATTTAGATACTTTCTGAATAGCTTTCTGAGTTATACCTGATGTAAATTTGTCAGGTTGTTTAGATTTTAATTCAGACATAACTTTAACAGCATTCTCATATACTGTTTTATCATTTAATGTTAATGAAGAATCATTAATGTTACTCTTTCTTTTATTGGCTAATATTGACAGATTATTTTTTCGGATATTTTTATAATGAATTAATCGTTTTGACTTAAATCGAGACTTTATAGGCTGTCGCAGTTCCATTCTAATCTTACTTTTGGGCAACATCTTCCGTCTAAGTTTATCTAAATTAGTTAATTTACGAGCTCTAGCTATCTTCTTATGACTCTCATCGCATGGAGATACTTCTACGGAGCCGTTATTGTTATTTATTAAAGCATCAAATGTGTCTTCTGAATTATGTTCACTCCTATTATCTAAATGTATGTCTCCCGTATCATCGTCTCCAAATGTCGCTACAGGATCTTCAAACTGTAATTTAGACAAAGTAGTGTTATGTGATTCCATGACAGAATCTTCAGTTATTACACAAGAGTCTCTGTTTTCTTCAGCCATGTCTACTTGATTTTGTAAATCACTTAAAGTTTCTTTACCATCTTTTAAAGATGCACATATATTTGAAGTGGGACTTTCACTTTCTATTACTACTACATATTCTTCATAAGTATTACTGTGAACTTCATTTATCTCTTTAATATTACTGTGAACTTTATTTATCTCTTTAATATTACTGTGATCTTCATTTACTTTATAAGTATTACTATTATTTTCATTTACTTTCAAAAATCCATTCTCCATATCACGATTTTCAACAACTGGCAATGTTGGATGACTTTTAAGTAAACATTTAATCTTCATAATTTCTTTAGCAAGGTCCGTAATGTTGGAATGTAAAATTTTATTTTCTTCTCTAACTTTTTCAGCTTCGTGACATATAATTCCCCTACCATGATCAGTTTGACTAGCACAAGAAATATGCTGCGTTTCTCTGTCGTAACACTTTGCTGGTGTTTTTGGAATCGGAGTTATCAATTTGTAATTAAATCGCATCTCATTGAAAATTGACTCTATTTCACAATCCCTCGTGTCATCATCGTTAAAATTATTGCTACTGTTAATTTCTAAACACTCCTGCTGCTGAATCATATGCTCGTCATCATGTTCGTTACCATATGTTTTATTATTTAAACTGACATCTATTGAATTATATTTAGATGGCATTGGAGTTATTAAATTCCTAGCTCCTTGTGTAGTAAACTTAATTGGACTTAAACCTTTATCAACTGTTTCACGAGTATCAAAAATATTATTTGATAAAGCAACTGGAGTAGTTGTCCTATAACCAAGTTCTTCAAGTGGTATAGGGCTTGTTGCTACATTTACTAAAATCTTTGTTGGTTTGTTTATAATACATTTTATAGGATTGTCTATTGAACAGTACTCTGGACTATTAAAGCATTTTTCGCTATCAGAAAATGCAAGAGATGAACCGCGACCTGTGTCTGCACTTGGTACTTCGTTGCTATAATCGGAACATCTATCAGTATCATCATTTTTATAAACTGATTTACCTAAAATACAAAAAGAAATTATATTTATTACAAAACATTACACATGTCTTCATAATGCTGATGAGTACAGACACTCGATAGAATTTCACATAAAACTATTATAGAAGATCAAAAAAATTTATAGCGTACAATTCCCATCTATATTTTTTAACGGTGTTGTGCATGCTGTGTGGGTTGCATATTAAAATTTGTAATTAGTTATAAACATAATAAAAGCGAATTATTTACAAACAATTCTGTGTATTGCAATTATGATTTGTGTACATATGGTGTAATTAAAAAACTATAGTAATACGATATTTATACTGCGGTAGTATTCATGAAAACATTTTACCAGTGATATATTGTATATATTAACATACAATTTAACAAAGCATATATTACCAAATTTTAGATTACCATTCCACATATGGACAAAACAAAAGTTAAGGAATTTTATTTGAACAAGTTCATCGTAATTTGCTTGTTTGGGGAAATAATTGTGAAAATTTGAAAATTCAAGACGGCGACCGAATTAGGGGTGACTGAAGTTATAAATTTTCGGAATATTTTCGAACTCATTTTTGGGACACATGGCAACCCTCTAGCTATTCGACTATTATGAAGCGGTGATGGGGACTCGGTGTGAAGAAAATATTTTTTGACATTTCAAAACAAAGAGTAATATAATTCTATCTACTATATATAATATAGTAATATAAATCACCCTCTTAAATGTTTTATAGGGATTTTACCAAAATTACTTAGTAACTCCAAGAATTAGAAAGAAATCCAAAATTGGGGAATAATTTCAAAAAACAATATTCATAATGGGTACCAACAGTTTCAATTGGCAGAATCGTTGGCGGAAAAATCCAGACTCCAGGAAAGTTTTTGAAAAGTTGAAAATTTAATATGTCGGCAGAGTTGGAAGTACTTCTGTTTCAACAGAAATTTTCGGAAATATTTCAAACTCACTTTTAAATAACACGTTAACCTTATAGCGAGTTTCCTTCTATGGAGAGATGATAAGTTTTAATACATAGTATTGCTCTTGCTAAAACATTTCCCCGCTTTTGGATTAATTTCTAAGAAAGACCCAAAAAGTAAACAAACTTTTCTGACATTTTGATTTAAAGAGTGACAAGATTTCCTCGAAAACCATCCCCTTGATGGTTTTAGATAGTTTTATCCAAATTAGTTCGCAACACTTACATTTCATCTGATAACGTTTACGTAGGCCATTTTCATTTTGAATATCATTTTTGATTAATTTTATGATTCAATTAAAAAATTAGAATTTTAATGGAAATTTTTTAAAATTTATTGATTAAATTGAAAAAGTATTCGGTGTGTGAGTAGATCGAATGCATATCTCAGCTATTTTATTAGTCTAATAGAAAGAAACGTCTTTCTTTAAAAAAAAAAGGAAAACTATTCACAGGCCTCTCGATAATCTCTAGTACAAATATAAAATGACAACTTACAATTCTTTCCTGTGCTTAACTCGTCTCCAGTTGGAGTTATAGTGGATGATGATGGAGCCTGCAAATGATAAAAAATACATTGTAATTATTGTAATTGTTGTAATTGTATTGTAATTGCGAATTAAATAAAAGTTTTTATTCATGAGCGCAGTTCAGGGCTATGTCGCGAATAACACTGCATGATCAATGCGCTGTTAGTAGCTGCGCGTTTGCGGTTGGCGGAAGTGGTAGTGGTAGTAGGGCCACTGGTATTGTATAACACCATGCAGTCACGAGAACGCGACGCCAGGTAACGAGTTAAATTCGTGAGTCGCTTCATTGTTTGAAGTTGGGGTATCAGTGTATACCATAATGAATATGTCACACAGCAGGCTAACATTTCGACTCATGTTCGGTGCGAGTATTAGAACTAGTTTCCAAGCACGGAGTAGCGTCCAGTCATTGTCTTTATTGAAATTTGATCGACGGCAGATCTCGATGGGCTCACGTAATTTTCGCGGGATGAAATATTTCTCTCTCGTTAGTACGGATGTCTTGACGAAACGAATAACGAATGTAATGGGCCGTATTTGTATTACAGACATATTCTGCTACAGTTGAAATGCTGGTGTCAAATTTTTGGAAACTTCGTATATACTCTTTGAGCCTAGTTACAACATTTCGGCGGGTTTCCCAAATATAACTTAAACCACGGTCGCCAACATAAATACTTATAATACACTACGACTCACGTCAGATATTACTCCAAAATTTCATTATTACAGCTACACATTATGATACTTAAAACATCACAAAAATCTAACTGTGGTTTCCAACCCGCCTGCCAAACATGGCAACTACTGGCATAACCCCTCCCAATGGTAGACACTAAAAAGAAATGATGTCTGTTCCCCAGCGGCACCGCTATCCTTGACCAAGGTAGTGTTCATGGTAACGGTAGAGCAAGGGGTACTAAGAATCTCCAGGGGAGGATATGAAGATTCTTAAATCCGGTAACTTGTTCTACCATCAATCGACAATCCGTTCCATGGTTGTATCGGGTTCATCATCTGCAAGTCCCTCATTAATAATGTCTTAAAGATCGAGTGTGTCGACAAGGGTACCTGGTGGCATACCTGGTACTCAGAATTACCAATATGTATTTTCTGAAGGTTATACAAATATATGAGCCGACTGTGATGTTCCGATGATGAAGTGGAGGACATGTTTGAGGGCATTTCAAGCTCCATACATACCTCTAATACTCAATATATAATATTGATGTGAGATTTCAACGCTAAACTGGGCAAAAGGAAAGATGATGAAACGGTAAAGGGAAACTTAATATCAGGGCAACGAAATCCTAAGGGACAGTAATTAACTAACTCCACGAAAAAGCAGCAGTGCCGTGCAGTTCCGACTTAGACCTCTTTCTTTCCCGTGGGTGTCGTAAGAGGCGACTATGGAAGGACGATGGGCATCCGCGTCCTTCTTAATAAATCTCCAAAGCCTAACTGCAGTTGCCAAACTGCCTGCCAAGCATAGCAAATACACGCAAAACCCGCCAGGGGGGAGGCTTATGTAGGCAGTTAAAGGCTGATATGATGATGATGGAGAAACAAAGACTCTTTATTATGAACTTCTTCTAAAAGCGGCCACACAAAAAATGAACCTGAGCCAGCCCCGACGGATACACAATAAATGAAATAGAATTCATCATGACGACTAATCATCATTTGTTTAATAATGTCTCAGTGATCAACAGGTTTAAAACCGAAAGTGATCACCGAATGGTAAAAGGCACATTGAATATTAGGCAGGTAAAGTTGCGTCAGATAAAATCTACGCTTCGACCTTCGTATGCCCTTATCGAAAACCCTGAGCATTTCCAACTCGAATTGTCAAATCACTTTCAGTGCCTGGTGAACTATGAAACAGCAGACGATATCAAATATAAACTAACAGAAACTATCCAAAAAGTGGGAGCAAAATTTTGCAAATTCCAATGCTTAAAAAGGATGCAAAAACTCTCTGATCGCACTCTAGATCTTAGGAGGAAACGGCGTGAATTGTAGTCTCAGTTCATGCCCGAGCAAAGAGCTTACGCTCGACACCCACGCCCGAATCCCGTGAGGGGAAATAGATGACCCAGTGTGTAAATAAAACGAAAAGTTTGATTTTTTGCGATCAAGAGGACATACTGTAGCTGACTATACTGCCAAGATACCAAATAATTATATCTTAAGTTCTTATTCTTATCACTGATACACTCGCCGATCATCAAAATTCTAACAATCTCAAAAACTACAAATTTTCAATTTTAATTAGTATAGTAATATAGTTATTAAGACTATAAAAAAAAAATCCTGAAATTTTAATATTCATTTTCATTAAATAAAAAATAATGACTATTAAAAATTAGATTCTATCATTTAACTACATCACACTTGTAGCTGACAGACAAGATATATTATCAGAGAAAAAAAAAAGAGTATGACATACAAAGAGAAATGAGAGCCCATCAAAAATATAAAATATATAAAACCACAATTATAACAGAATAATACAAAATTTATTTTTTCCATTACTAAGAAAATCAAACTACACTTAAAAATATACATATTCCATAGACATTGACTTACTATTACATAAGATCTCATAATTATTTTGTAATAGAATACAAAATACGCAATGCAGTTTGCGTTGCGTTATTTTGTATATTTTTTTTTATATTTTATGTTTTTGATGGGATAGTTATTTACATATCTACATTAAATATACAGGGTATTGATACGCTATAACTAAATATCATATTAAAAAGAGTAGTACCTCTTCAGGGCTTCCCAAGTCATCTTCAATCTCATGTGGTGACATTAAATTATCATATATTTCATTATCACTACTTTCTTCTTCAGATAAATCATCAAAGAAATTATGATCTTCCTTAGAATATTTTTCATAATTATGTAGTAAATCTTTACGTCTTTTACTAAGCTTTTCTGTAAATTAGATAGATTTATTATAGAATTAGTAATTATAAATTCTAATTTTAAACTGTACTACAATTACCACAATTATATTACATGAATATTAAAATATCTTTATATAAAATATGGAGGTGCATGCGTAAATATGCAAATGTAATATATGTCTGATCTCTAAATAAATAAATATTAATTTTGGTTGATTTTTGTGTTTCAAAGTGCACATGAGAATGAGATAAGTTATATTTCTGAAATTAAGAATATACACAAAAATGCTTTCCTTTCAATAATTAAATGTATGAAGGAAAGCAAAGGAAAAAGAAAGAATGGAAACTACTTGAGTAGTCTCTATTGTAATATAAAAAACTAAAACCATTATCATAATTTTTGATAATCCTATTTAATAATAATAATGATTAAAATTGGAAGTTTTAATCACAATATCTCCTTTTATATAATGGGACAAAGAAAAACTTTACAGCTACAAGTATCCATTTGTAGAACAATGCAACAAAAATAAGTGGGATATTTTAAAGTATTTTAAGTCATAATAAAATCAATGTGTATCATAGAAGTTTAAGAAATTTGCACATTTCACTAGATGTTACATTATGAGAGTGAAAAAAAAAATAGATATCAGATTCTGTGATCAGACATTGAAAGAAAAGTTTCCATTGCAAGTGTTAGTATTATAAATATAAATTCTTATACTCACTTTTACCCAATAATACATCTTTAAATATACTAAAATATTTATGAAGACAGTTATTTTCCTTTTCTAAATAAGCTAATTTTTTTTCAGAATTTTTAATGTTGGATTTATCTAACTGACTTTCAATTTTTAATGCTTCAATATGTGTTTCGTGTTGTTTGACAAGTACCTGTAACATATATAGTTTTATTATAATAAGTCTAAATATACAAAAGTTTCAAATAAATAAATAAAGCATATACTGCATGTAAGGAATCAGGCATAATTATCCAAATCCAATAACAGTAGAACAACTTTCCCTTTAGATAAATTGATACTTGTTATATATTAAATAGCCATTTCTTCTGGGTATCCCAAGAAATATCACTGTTTTGAATTAAATTAATCATATTTAATTGATCATATTTATTCTTACTGTTTATGTCATTATAAACATTATTAATCTTTATTTCCAGCTGTACCATTAAACAATATACTTAATCCAAGTGATAGCAGTACAACCACCATCAGCCACATTTAATTCAAAATTAGTAAGGCAAACAGTATTAAGTATTATACATTTTGTTGTTTAATGAATTGTGCAAACTGAGTACTAACATATATCTTCATTTTAATAACAGCAAATGAATAATCAATGAATATCCTAATTTAAAAATAAGAAATCAATAAAATATAGTATATGTCATCATATCAGTTGGTAACTGAATGCTGAATATAGGCCTCCCCTATAAGGGGAGTTCTGCCAGTAGTTACCATGCTTGACAGGCGGTTTGGCAACTGAAATTAGGCTTTCGGTAATGTGTTAGAAAGGGTGACACACAGGGTGGTATCACACAGCAATTAAAATATATATAATTATGAAATTAATAAGCATTATACCTGAAGCTGATTCGCATGTGATTTTATAGCATTGCATTGATCTTCCGAGTGTCGAAATTTCTGATCAAGTTCATTGTTTTTGTTTTCTAAAATCTGAATATCCTAAAAAAATAAAATATAAATATAAAAATATATTTAACAAAAATGATAATTGTAAAATATTATAGCACTCTCTTTCATCACGTTTAATCTATGTGTATGAAAAAATTTTAATTGAAGATTTTTTAATGATTATTTAATAGAAAATAAAGATATATTTATATTATTGCATGTATTTTATCTCTATATGTATATAAAAATAACAGAATTTTCATCATGCCTATTATCAAACAGTCTATTCCTTTCCATCCAAAAGTTGCCTACATGAAATTGCTTTTAGCTACAAGGCCACCCATTGTTGTCTTAGTGTGAACATTTCTTGAAATTATTTGCATCTATTTATAATAAATTTATTACTGTAATATTTTGAAGGAAACAATAAAGAGTATCTATCTATGTAGTGAAATAAAAGTTTTGTCCGACAAAAAAGCCTTATTATACCTTATAACTTTTTATTTGGTAAGTAAAGATATTATTTTATATTTACATATCCTGTAGTAACTTACATTTTCCAATTTTGAACATTTTTCCAGAGCATTTTGGTAATCTATGCATATCTGTTTGCACTCTTCTTTAGAATCGAAAAGAGTTTTTTGTGTGTGTTCCAATAATTCATTCTTGTGATAATATTTTCTTATCAGTGAACTGAAAAATTATAATATAAAATTATAAGCACAAGAATATTAAACTATTCAGAACTGTACCTTCTAGTCATCTTTTATCAGATCCAAGACAACCTATTATCACTGCAAAATTAAATATCAATATTGTAATTTAGGTCTGATCTAATTAAACGCAATAGATGTAAGTACAGTTAAAAAACATTAATTTAAAATAAAATGACACATTCCAAAGTACTTACTCTGTAGCAATTGTCTTCTGTTTTGCTATTAAAATTGCTTTGTGCTGTTTATCGAGCTTACTTTGAACCTGTAAAACATATTGTAAACATTATTTAAATCTACATATTTTACTAATATGTTAAAATTGTAACTGGTTAATGTCTATACATTGCAGATTTTTAAGAAAACTTTATATGAAGGTTCTTAATAAGAGCAATAGAAACCAAAACAATATTTTTTATATTTATTATATTAGTTTATTAGTATAATAGTTATATTAATATAAGACTATAAATAAATAATAATAGCAATAAACAATCGACATACATTCTGATGCATTTATACCTTAAACTATGTACCTTAAAAATGATAACACTTTAAAGAATAAAAATTGGACTGTTAAAAAAAACATTGTACAATAGATATAAAAATGAGAATGTGTAAGTATCAGTTTAATATAAATGTCTTCGTTTAATATTTTATTGAATTTAGGCTAATAAACTCATTAAATATCTCAAAAATACTATGCAAACCTACATGCTTTAGGAATCTAACCTACAACTGACCGTATTCTTTGATGTTTGATGTAAAAAATCAAGATCAAAATTTAAAACTGTGTCTTCATATGTTGATGCCATTGTTTATGAAATAAATATTATAGCTCTAAATATCAAAAATTACATTTTTACAGTGAATTGTAAGGAAAATAAGAAAACCCGGCGCGTAAAGCGAACTGTCATTATTTATACCCACATAAAAACAGATCAATCGGAATTGCAGTAGTTTTTTTAATAGTTTTTACGGCACTGGGTTCTAGCTCTTTATAATCTGTCTTCAATTGTAACTGAATTAAAAATATTTTTAGTCATATTAAAGTTACATATAACTAATTTAGTAGTCGTATTACGAAATTAGTAATTACTTATTATTTGAATAACTAAATCAGTCGGACTCGCGTATCACTTGTTGTCATAGATAGAGCACAGTTACTACAGTCTTCAATCTATATTGTTGATTATATTTTACTGACAGTGCTGACACTGACAATGACATCTTTAGAAATTTGAATTCCATATTAAATTCATTTATTGTTTTTATTTTTTTTATAGTTTATAAAATTAATTTGAATAACTGTTCTATTCTGTAAGCGTACCATAGTCTAGTCAGCCCATGGCATCTTGTATTCGTCTACATAATTTGTCCACTGTATTAGTAGTAATTTAACAATAGATATTTCTGTTCTTTAGATGTAAAATTAACACATTGGTGTTTACATCTCGTCATTACTATTCGTCGCTAAAATTTTGCTCTTGATAATTTCAAGTTCAAGGCTTATACGGTACGTAACCTAAACCCTAATCAATTATCACCGTTATACGCTTTTTATTTACTTTTTCTTTATTAAAATTAAACCTTATGTTTTAAATAATTTGTTGCAGATGGGTTTAAAAAGCAATGAAATCTCACAAACTAATTTATATGATCGTGTAAAGAAGTTATTAGTATCTTTAGAATGGAGTGATTGTAAATTTTCAGTGTCTGGAAAGGATTTCAAAGCACATAAGTTAATTTTAGGTATAAGTAGCCCTGTATTTGAAGCTATGTTTTATGGACCACTGTCAAATAATAAGGATGTTATAATAACAGATATAGAACCTGACATATTTCAATTAGTACTTAATTATATTTACACGGATAAGGTTGACATATCTTCAGTGGAACAGGCCTTTGAATTATTGTATGCATCAAGGAAATACCTTTTGCAATCTTTAGTTGAGATATGTATAACTTTTATACAAGAAAATATTAGTATTGACAATGTAATTGAAGTTCTTAATTATCCAGAATACTTACAAGACAAACAGTTGATTACATACTCTTTAAAATTATTTTGTGAGCATCCTAGTTATTTATTGCATGAATATAAAAATATAATAACACATTCATGTATGAAAATAATACTTGAAGCTGAAGAAATAAATATTAAGGAAAAAGATCTGATAAAACATGTTTTTGAATGGACTATTTGCCAATGTAAACAAAGTAATATATATTGTACAATAGAAAATAGACGTAACATTTTAATTAATAATGGTATATTTAAATTATTGAGGTTCTGTGCACTAACTATAAATGATTTAGAAGAAATAGTTAAAGATACAAACAATCTATTGTATCCATTCGAAACTGAATACATTATGGAAGTAATTAAAAAATCAGAAAATATAACACACAATAATATAATTAATTTACTTAGTTCAAATGATATTCCGAGAAGTTCATTGAAACCACAGTGGTATTTCTGTCACCGCAGTCCTTTAAGATCAGTTGCACCTATTGTAATAGATATAAATAATTTTATAGTGCATACTAGAATCAAAGTAAATAAACCTATATTTGTTAATTCACTATGTATACCTACTAGAATGGCACCTGCAGTCACATTTAGGAATAATACTCCAAAATTGTACTCTGAGCAATTGTCTATTTCTGTAGTATCAGAATCAGATAATAATGTAGTTAAATTCACAAATTTTATGAACACTGTTGAATATGACTCGGTTGTGGATATAGAACTAAATGAGCCTTGTCTTATAAAAAAGGACAAATGGTATAAAATCAGTTTCATGTGGACACACAACAGATTCACATCTTATTCATATGTTGTGGAAGTCAGGGATAGAGTGTATAAAAGTCACAAGATCTTAGTGGAATTTGATGATTCATTAACAACAAATGGAAGGTCGGGTAGTTTCTTAGGTGGATTAAAATTTTGTTTATAAATTATAGTATTTAAATAATGAGAATAATATTTATTAAATAGTATTATTACAGTGTGTACTAAATATATAGATTTTAAACTTATTTAATCTACACAATTTATAAAAATATTATGTTTAAATAAAGCAATATAACATAAGTATACCAATATCTGTATATTGCTGTATATTTTACTACTCTTTGGTATTGTTATATTAATTGGAAGTTTATATGTGACTTATATAGTTCATCATTTCATCCATCATCCGTTCACTGCTGGACATAGACCTCCCCCCATAGATGACTAATATAGTTATTAAAAATTCTATAAAAGTCAACAAAATGCCTCGAGCGGAGTACTATGTTGTTTTTCAATTTATGGTAACTATGTAGATATCTGTTTAATCTGGTGTTTATTTTTATTAGGCAAAAAATATAATTATTAAATGATTATTTATTTATGTAACTATATACTTATTTATGTTATTAAGAATGTAAGATTTATTTTGGCCATATGTATGATGTTGGACAATGTTATAGGTAAGCATACAATAAAATCATATTTATTAAAGTCTGTACAAACAAGTTTTTTTTTTTTTCGAAAAGTAAAACTAGAATAAATAAAGAAATGTCGCCCAATAAGTTATCTTTGGTTCCTAATGAGAAAATTACTAAACTTTTATAATTTTGTTAAATACTATAAAGTACTATTAAACAAAATTACAAAACAAAAGTTATTTTTTTTAAATTTGATTTTCAATTTTTAATCCAATGGTTATCAAAATTGAAAACCGAATAACTAAATAGAACAAATTAAATATAAATTGATACCTCCAAATTAAATAGTGTAAAATATAGAGATATTTATTCGATGGTCACTTTACCACATTAGGTTTAGCAGCCCGCAGATATAACTTTCCTTCATATAAATATTTTAAATTTGTATACACTTGAATATACAAAGATACAACTAAGTCCGTTTTTTATCATTAACAATAAATACTTACCTATATAATATACAGCAGTGTAATTCGATTAAGACAACCTCAACCTACATCATGTTCTACATTTTTTGTTACCTTTTTAAACTCGTAACATTGCCTGTAAAAAAATAATAGCCAATACTTGTTGAGCCACTATACATATAAAAAAAGGAAACTTGACTGTGTATTTTGTATGTCATGCGATTCATCAAGTCTGAACCAATTTTAATTATCCTTTTTTTTCTTCAAAAGACGCCCGTATTTGAAAACCTAACAGTAAGTAATTTGGCGCAATGGCTAATTTCTTAAATACGTAAAAGGTTATTTTTCAAGTGTAATTCCTAAAGAGAGATGACGTCAGGCAGGCGGCCAGCCGTAAAACTAAAAACCAAATCTTTTTGTAATATGAAGAAAAACAGATTACGCCGACCCTAAATAATAATTGGGATAAGGGTAGGAAGATGATAGATAAAGTGATCCACTTCATTAGTCAATTTACATAAAGAAGTCTTATGACGTCCTAGATTTGAAATTAAATGTTTTTTTTTTATCATTGCGAATCAAGAAAACATTACAAACTGTATTCGTAAGAAATATGAATAAACATTGAATTGTATTGAAGGACATTGCTCTTAACAACGCGTTGCTATTATTATTCTGTACGCTGTGAACTAAATTGACGAACCATACAGTCGGGTAAGTTTGAGCCTCAAACGAGTTTAACTAGTTAGGTATGTAGTTTTGTTTTAATATAAAAGAAGACCACATGGTAGAATAAAATACTATCATTATGTAGCGCAGGTACAATCCTTAATCTATGCTTTATAGATATACGCGGCGACTTTATGCGCAAATTGTATTTCTCTTTTCGCTGTATCAATATATCCGATACACGATAAAATACTAAAATAGATAGTGCATTAACAACATAAAATCCATTTTAACTACGATGATAATATTTGTGAAACTGAACGGTATTCATCTAGCTATCGTTCGTATGTTACATTAAGATTACATTGTATTTTAAAAGATACACTATAATATTATAACAATAATCAGTATACGAGAATATGTAGAATGATGACCATTAGTAATACAACCATATAGGTTTAAAAAAATTATAATTTTATCTCAACGAATGTTCACTATACAATACTTGATAAACGTTTCAATTATGAAAATAAATGGTTTCCATTGAATGAAGAGTTGCTGAAAAAAAAACCTTAGTTCCATTAAAATATACACTTTAAAACATTTAAAATATACATCATCACTATATATCTTCTGCAAAAGTGTAATAAAGATATAGGTACAAAAAAAAAAATACTGAGTATAATTGATATTGTTAGCATTCTTTTAAATGAGTATTCAATCAGTGAAACTGAACATTTTCACCAAAGAAACATAAAAAAGACAAAAAGTTTTTACTTTGTAATTTCTTACGGCGCGTCTAGCTTTTAGTGCTTATAGGTGACACAAAATTTTTTAACGTTTCGAATTTTTGATTCCAGAAGTTTGGATCTTAATATAGATTCTTAGTTTTACGTATAGCTAACAGTTTCGATTTTACCGTGTAGTTAGAACCATTTTCCAAGTCCAAACTAATATTATAAAAAGGAAAAATTTGTGTGTTTGTTTGTAAGCATTTTGTAATGAGTAAATTAAAAAAATACTTAACAGATTTAAAGTTAATTAGTATCGACGATTAACATAGGCTCATAGATTGTTTAGATAGAGCATCGAGCTTAAAAAATGAGTCAACTTTTTGTCAGCTAATTCTCAAATTAGCGGACTCTTTTTTTTATTAGTGTTTATATTACTTACGCATAACATGTATCTAGACGTATTATTTAACAAATAAAACGAGTGTTTACACATTAAAAAGATGCAGAAATGATAACACAAAATAAATATAGATGTTACAAAGGAATCATTCATAACTATTTATCGCGCAAAATTGTATGAAAAATTTGACCGTTTTTCTCGAAGTACAGGGTGGCCCATCAGTCCTTTGAAAAGTAAAATTTGAATATAATGAAAACGTCGCGCGTGAGCGGTGTAGGGGAAGCGGGGGCAGTAACTTCGGTTTCTGGGAATTTAGTAGCGATGGAGCGTTTCACCGTAGCGGGTTGTGCGTTTTGTGTGCGCGAGTTTTATCAAAACAAAAATTCGGCAACCGTTGCGCATAACATTCGAGAACACAAAAGATTATACAACTTTGACGACACTCCAACTCTTCAAACGATTAAGAACTGGGTTGCTAAATTCGAGGAGACCGGTTCGACGTTAGATAAACCACGGTCGGATCGCCCAAGAACATCATGTACGGAACAAAACATCGACACAGTGGCACAATCTATTCGTGAAAATCCTACACAGTCAACTCGTAAGCGTTCCAGTGTATTAAACGTACCCAGGACATCGTTACAACGGATTTTGAAGAAAGATTAACTTATGCACTCTTATAAAATTCAGTTGGTGCAAGAATTAAAAGAAACTAACGCTATTCAGAGAGATAATTATGCGAATGAAATGTTGAATCGGTTTACTTCGTTCAATAACATAATGTTCTCTGATGAGGCTCACTTCCATCTTAACGGGTATGTTAGTAAACAAAATTGCCACTATTGGAACTCCATCAATTCAAAACTAAAGCATCAGAAGCCTTTACATAGTCCTAAAGTGACAGTTTGGGCCGCTATGTCAGCCCATGGTATCGTAGGGCCTTACTTCTTTGAGGACGGCAGAGGGCGCGCGGTTATTGTTACTTCGGAGCGATTTTGTGGCTATGATCGAAGAGTTTTTCACAACAGAATTGCAAAACTTTCCAGGCTTTAATACCTGGACGTGGTTTCAACAGGATGGAGCTACTTCCCACATCTAACACTGCTATGCCCGTTATCCGTCAACTTTTCCCTAGCAAAGTTATTTCTAAGAGAGGAGACATTTCCTAGCCACCACGTAGTTCGGATCTGACTCCGATGGATTTTTTTGTGGAGCTATCATAAGGCTAAAGTATACGACAATAATCCGTTGTCAACTGATGCCCTTAAAGGATAATGTCCGCTGAGAAATGGCAAGCATTTCAGCAGTGACGTACCGCGCAGTCATCGACAATTTTAGAAGTCGTTTGCAAGAGTGCCGTGATCGTAACGGATTACATTTAGAAGACGTTATTTTCAAAAAATAATTCCCGTTTTTCAAGCTTTATTTGTAAATAAAAATATAATTCATAATGAAATTAGTTTTATTTTAATTAATATTTTTAATATCAAAGGACTTGTGGACCACCCTGTATTTCTATGGAGACACTATCTATATATTCTAAGCATGGGCTGTATTTTATTTAAGAAAACCGTGCAGAGCTGAGGCAGGTTCTATCTATATATAGTATCTATACCTATACTAATATTATAAAGAGGAAATATTTAATTGTTTATAATGGATGAACTCAAAAACTACTTAACCGAATTTAATATATCTTTCATTTATAGTAAACAGCATTATCTGAGAGTAACATAGGCTATATATTATATTTTATCATGGGTAGATAATAGCCATAGCAAAGCCGAGGTGGATCGCTAGTAATATTATCTATAAAGAAGAAAATTTTGAATTTTGTATATTTGTAATGCATAAACCTAAAAACTACTGATTTAAAAAAAAAAAATCTACTTGTAGGAAACTACAATATCGGCAAGTAACATAGACTATATATATATATATATATATATATATATATATATATATATATATATATATATATATATATATATATATATATATATATATACCTATTATTTTCAAAAATATTATAGATCTCTATAAAATTTATAATAATCAAAAACAAGATATCAGAAATTTGCCTATTAAAGCTAACTTAATAAAAAATACCATATGCAAATGACCAATACACGAATAAAGACACTTCCTTGTTACACATTATATTTATCTTTGCATTATACATGTTTACATATTTTTTATAGGTGATTCACATCAACAATAAACGACTCATTTGTAACATAAAATACAGTTTAAAACATGTTGGTAAACAGACTAACGTGGGGGCCCCTCTAATTTTTTTGTAAGTTGTATTATACGTTCTGCTTCTCGAATTCCACTGATTCTTGCCCCATGCACTGTTGCAAAATATCCAGGGACAGTTGCTTCCCCTGCAAACAGAAGAATCGGCGGCTGTGAATCACAAGGTCCTGGTACTGGTGTACCTAGTTCACACTGATGACTCACTGTAGAACAGCAACTCATGTACGAATAAGCCCCACAAAAATGAGGATCTGATGCCCATCGGGAACGTAACATCATTTGTGGATAGGGGAGACAAGGATTACCTGTGAATCTTCGTAATAACTGTGTTAACCCTTCAGCAACATCATTGTCTGTCAAGGTCTCCATAACTGCAGCTTCTTGTCCTGATATCCAGGCACATAGTACATGTTTGCTACCAGGCATTTCATCAATAGAACACACACCACGAGTCCAGTCACATCTACACTGCAATTCTTCAGCTGACCAAGCCAATTTTAAATTACCTTCGTGACACACCCAGAATGGTTCAGCATATTCGAGAAACACTTTATCACTGAGTCCAAATCCTAAATTACAAATGGCATCTAATTTGCATACAGGTAGAGGTGGAGCAAATAACTTATCTGCTTGACATTTAAGACATCCTAGTGACATTGTAAATATAACATAGTCGGCAGTCAGCTCTTCACCATCGCAACATTTAACGAGTACACGACCCGCGCCTGCCTGGCCTGGACCCCAACGAATTACGTTTACTGGTTTATTATATCGTATACAGTTATCAGGAAGACCTCGTAGCAATGGTGCCATTACTCCAACAAAACCTAATGGTACTCGAACACTCCCGCCTGGTAATTCTATATAACTGCCGTATTGGTCAGCACTAATAAGAGACAGATCATCTCCACATTTGTTTCTTAAAATATTCGTAAGTCCAAACATTACGCGAGCAGCATCATATCTTTGATCTTCAGGGAAATTATGTAATTCTTGTTGTATACGTAAGCCAATAAAATTTAATAGTGTGCCGTGTAGTCTTTCACCCCCAAGTCTAAATAAATTAGCTGCTTGCTGTTCTATTTGTCGAAATGTATGATAAGCTGTTATAGTAACTGGAAAGTCTACAGCTCGACCTTCACTAGTACAAAATAATCCACGGGATGCATCTAGACGAGGTAACGGTGTCTGTAGAAGTCTGTCCTGAGATGCGAGTGTATATACAGAATTGGGTAAACAAGCGCCGTGTATCCATTCTGCGCCCATTTCAATGACTGCATCCCCCAACCAACATGAATGGATCCGCCCACCTGGTCTGAAAATAAAGTACTTTAATTAAACTATACCTATAAATATAAATGAAATTATTTAATTAATAATTAAATTGGTATACATTACGACTACCTAGTGGATACCTACTACTCCTATACTATATAGACTAAGCTACATAGCTTGATCTAAAGATTTAATTCTCCAGTTCCACTAGCTTCGTTTCGGAGTTTTTATTTATTTAAACTTTATTAATACATGATACAAAACGTAATAACATTTTCATACAGCCAACCATCGGGAGTTACAGAGACGACCTAAAGATATGTTTTTTCTGAAGCAATTCTACACATTGGTGTATTTAATATTACGTTGCAAGGGGACTTGTCCCTTAAAAAAGGCGCATATTATGTACTTTTAGACATGTCTTTCCCCATAGCTAAAGGCTCCGCTCCTAATCCTAGAGTGGGTACAGCCCGCCCTACCCTCCTCCATAAATACGCCTATACATATATCCACTACTGTAATGGCTTAAAAACTACTGGCAAAACTTCCCTTGTGGGAAAGGCTTATGTTTAGCAGTAGACAGTTAACAACTGAAATAATGAAAGATTGTAAATAAGTAGATATGTTTTCCCATAAATACTGTTTTTTTTTTTCAACTTTTTAATTATTTTGAATTTGGAAATTTCTTTTGATTTCGCACCATTTCAGATATTTTTTTGTGTTCATTAATCAAATTACAATATGGAATGGGGTGTTAAAAAAAATAGGATTGCAATGATCGCCTTGCACAAAGTGGGTATAGAGGCGTCGGTCATATTCCAGACACTTCAAAAGCTTGGTATCAGCAGTATGTTCGTATATTGTACTATCAACAAATTCAACAACACTTCCTCTGTCGAAGACGAGACAAGATCGGGGCGACCGCGTGCTGTTAGTACTACAAAGGCTACTAATGCTGTTAAAGCCAGAATTCCTCGAAACCCCATTAGGAAGCAAAAAATCTTATCGCGAGAAATGAAGATACCCGCTAGGACTCTGTCGCATATTATAAACAAGACCTGAAGCTCGGTGCTTAGCGTCGATATACAGGACATACCCTAAATTAATGTTTACAATTAAAGAGAGAAAATCGCCTTCTGTCGCGGTACGCATGTGAAAGACAGAAATATTCTCTTTACCGATGAAAAATTTTCACGATTGAAGAACACTACAATAAGCAAAATGATAAAGTGTACGCTCACAGTTCTAAAGAAGCTGCTCAAGCGGTCGGAAAGGTACAACGTAGTCATCATCCTGCGTCAGTGATGGTTTAGTGGAGCGTATCTTATCAAGAAGTCACAAAACAAAATTTTTGTGAAAAAGGAGTGAAAACTTCAGCCAAAGTGCATCAAGATATAGTCTTAGATCGTGTTGTAAAACCTACACTTTTTAAAAATATATAGTGGACTTTTCAGCAGGACTCTGCGCCTGGTTACAAGGCACAAACTATCCAAGCCTAACTTGAAACCAACGTCCCAGACTTTATAAGAGCTGAAGACTGGCCCTCATCTAGTCCAGACCTCAACCCTTTAGATTCCAGATTATGGTCAGTTTTAGAGGATATAGCCTGCTCTGTCTGCCTGAACGACACGGCAACATTGAGTCTCTTAAAAAATCTTTGGAGCAAGTAGTGGCGAAATTTCACTTGGAAACAGTGCGTAAATCCATAAATTCGTGGCCAGACTAATTAAAGGCCTGTATAAAAACCAAAGATGGCCATTTCGAATAGAATATTTATTTAATTTTTTGCTGCGACTTTTATAAATATGTAGGTATCAATTTTAGTAATATTACATTACTTCATAAAAAAAAATCATTTTTATTTGTAACATGTAATTATGGCTGGACTAGATATATCTAACTGTATAAGTTATATCCAACTTGCCTTTCTTTTGCTTCGAGAACCACGAAATTCCGAATGCCACACTGTGTAAGACGATGTGCAGCTGACAGTCCCGCCATTCCAGCACCCACAACTATTACCCTTGGCTCCTGACAACTTGGACTAATACTACTAGAATCGAGAATACACTGTTCTTGTCCCGCTCTGCTTACTACACTGCTAAGTCCACGGCGTACTATCATGGTCATTTGCATTACCATGTTTATCTGTGGTGCGTAGATGTAATTTAGTATAATCCGAGGACTCCTTTTCCATATTGTTTTCATACGTAATAATTTCATTTTGATATATTGTTTGCATACAAAAGTAGCTTTGCTCCCATTTACGCTAGAAATATTACATGTCACTTTCCAATTTTGGGATCTATAAAAAATTTGTACGACAATTCACAACAGCATAGAGCAAACAGAAGATATTTTCTGCTTTTAATTTTTAAGAAATTTAATGGCTATATGTAAATGTTTATGCACCTCCTTCGTAGGAATGTACCAACTATACTTATGTTATAATCTATACTCAATATTAGTTACTTATTCTTAGATTCACAGAAAAATTTAATACATGAAATGCATAACTCTATAGTGAAACTAACCCCCCTAAGGCATTGAAGGTGTGAATTCATACCTCGGCCATATCGAATTTTTTTCAATTAGATATACTTTTTTTGACGACCTGGTGATGTAAATTTTACGTGACAAATTTTATTACCGTGTTGGGTCCATATCTACTAATTTTCTATTAATGTAGTTATTTTTCATGATACTATTTGTCTTAAATTATGGATATAACCTAATAAATGAATTTACTGAGTACAGAGGAATAACACCTGAGTCCTCAGGAATGGCAACGCATGGGGGGTATCATGGGTGAAACAGTATACTCTGTTATGTCCATGGTACTGCTCGTGCCTATAGACGACGATTACTACTTTCCATCAGGTGAGTCGTCAGCTTGTTTGCCATTCTAAGTTGTATAAAAAAAAAAATAACACAGAAAAATAAATGAAACAACATTATCATATTGGAATACTCCATATAATTCATACAATAAATAGACAATTAGATATTTATAAATAATGTATAACTATTTTTTTTTATTATCTTTTACCTATTGTCTCGGATATTTCACGAATATTTTTATATAAATGTGTACTTAGGTAAATTTATAATAATTGGTCAAAACTTATCACATAAGTAATAATTTACAAACTAAATATAAAAATTACAAGAGAAGTTTATTTTACAAAATAAATCACATTTGATCATCACAACATAGTCATCAGTAGATGTACTCTGTGAGTATATCTACTACAGTACCTACATATTTAAAATTTGTTCCCAAATTGCAACGATACGAATAATAAAAATAATTATACTTGAATACTTTATCACATTAGTGTTGAAAGAAACAAGTCCCACTTGTATTTATCCACTGGTCAACAATTTTCGCCCTTGTATCGCAATAGCGTAATAAAAAGAATTATTTATTCTTGTAGTAATAGTGAAGGTGTTAATAGAATCTATATATTCACATTAGAAGATGAAAAGTGCAACTACGAGTACAAAGACTCATGTAAGCTAAATTTACTATTTAACTACTAGGAATTTTAATTCTTTCTACATGTAGATTCGTTATAATAATAATATATTAAATGTAAATAATATGTAAATTTTAATATAATGGTACAGTAGATGTCTATTGAATAATATTATGTTATGTAATAATGACAACACCAAGTATATTTTAAAGCTAAGTTAGTAGATACAAGGCAATAACCATAGTAAAAGTACATACCTAATATAGTCAACATAAGTCAAATTCACATGGCATTTAGTAAATCTATATAGAATCTGTCTTTTATGAATACAGGTAAATTAATTACAACTAGGTAGTTGTTTTATGTTGCCAAATTGAGTTTTAAGTAAAAAAAAATATTTTATTAGAAGAAGGATATGTTATAATTAGGCATCTACTTTTTAAATTACTAGGTGTATTCTCATTAACTATTAACACACGAACACACATATGTGCACATATAATCACTAATAAACAAATAATAATAATTAGCTCTATAACTTGTTGAGATTTGAGGATAATTCTGAATTTTATATCATTGAATTTTTAGTTGTCGTTCTAATAATATTTGTTTCAAATTTCTTATTGTTTCTTATGGCTTATTGTTTTTGAAAGTTTTCAAGACTTCATCTGCTGATGATTTAACTTCCTCCCAGGACACTTGAATATCACTTTCTTCAGAAAATCGAGAACAAACAGCTAATCTTAAGAAATAGACATCATCAATTTTTGAAGGAACAAGATGAATTTTTCCCCGCCCATTAATACGTCGCAGCAACTCTTCATTTAGTTCGTTGCTCCCTTTAAGTCTGAAGCAAACTAAACCCATTATTACCTCCTCAAAAATCTCGAATCGTTCATCCGAAGTGCACAGCTTCTCAAAGAGATGAGCCAAAGCAACATGTTTTCTGATGTGTTTTTGCAGATTTTCCACACCATATAATCTCAAAACGAACCAAAGTTTGAGAGCTCTGAATCGACGTCCAAGAGGTATTTGCCAGTGTCGATAATCAGGCGCCGATCCTTGCTGGTCATGCTTCAAGTAAAGTGGATCTACATTAAAGGCATCAACGATCCACCGTGGTTGTTTCAACCACATTGCAGAACAGTCAAAATTCACTAACATCCATTTATGGGGATTGAAATTAAAAGAGTCTGCTTTCTCAATGCCTTTCATAAGATAACGAAATTCTGGGCAGATGAATGCAGATCCAGCATAGGCAGCATCCACGTGTAACCACACATCTTGCGCGTTGCACACTTCGCCTAATTCATCCAACGCATCAAAGGTGCAAGATGATGTTGTACCTAAAGTGGCGACTACCTGCAAAATAATTTTTGTAATTTTAAAATTAATGGTACCTCTTTAAAAACATCTAATGTCGTGTGGTAATCATAAGGCACTTTTAACATATAACGTAACATAACGCTTAGATAATCGGGTCGATTCTGAGATGCCGTTTTCCTAAACTTATCTCTTAAATTAAAATTCTAATTTAATATCACAGTAAAATCTTTATTGTAACGATTAATATAAACTAATTTTCTAATAGCTTGAAACACAAAATGTTATAATGTTAGTTTATGATGATCCATAAAACAGTTATATCGCAAAATTATCAAATTAAAATATTAGGTCAAGAGACAAGTTTAGAGAAATGACACCTCAAAATCGGCCATTATATCTGTAATAAATATTTTTCATATTTAACACAAGGAGTTTTATTAAATATACCAATAGATGCCAAAACAATATTTTTTAGAAATCTGTCTGTGTTTGTTCTGGCATCACGCAAACACTACTGCATGAAGGTGAAGGAGGTTTTTACAGTTGTGTTTCTTAAAATCTAACTTAAAATGTTTGTGTATGTTTCTTTTTGATACATCATCTAGAAGTGGTCTATTTAATTAGTTTTCTATTAATGAAATCCATGCGAACGAAGTAGTGGACAAAAAGCCATTTTGGATAGAAAATTACAGTATGGTAAATTATAAAAGCATTTAATGTCTATTTGAAATAATCATAGATATCTTAAATATAATAATATTGGTGTTCTTTTTCCAAAACAAGGGATTCAATTCCTGCCTAAAAATGTAAATATTCCAAAACCTTCGACTTTCAGTAATATTTTTGTTATTCTTGAGAAATAAAAAATACTTACTGTCTCCAGGTAATTCTAATTTATCTTTATCCCTTGAAGTGGAAAGAAGGCCGTATAAGCGCTTACAATAAACTTACAATAAAATAATACTTACATAAAATGGAATAAGCCCATTGCGTATATCTTCTTCCATGGCTTCACGTAATATATCACCACGTAGTCGCCGTTTACAATCCGGCTTCAATGATCGGAGTTTTACCCCACCCAAAAGACCAGCTCTTTCCACAGATGAATGTGCTTGCTCTAAAACATCATAAAAAGTAATAAAATTAAAGGATTCAAAGTTTGTTATGTAATTATTATTTTTTTTTTTTTTACAACACAGGGAGCAAACGAGCATACGGCTCACCTAATGGTAAGTGACTACCGCCGCCCATGATCACCCACAACACCACCGGCATTGCAGGTGTGTGGGTGATGGCAAATGCAATATATATTTATACTTATTTATATTTATTTATCATTTTTCTATTAAGGTGGACCGATATGTTTTTCTGTTTTTTTTTTACCTTCCATTATACAAATAGCTTATAACAGGTACGTAAAATATATATATTTGTTCCTGTTATATTTTTATTTTCGGAAAAAATCTTTTAATACTTAGTAAAACAATTTACATAATGAATATAAAATCATTAGCATTCTTTTAAGGGATTGTCTATAAGTAAAATCAAATACTTTTCGAAAAGAAACAGGGATCGCAAAGCAATTAAAGATTATAAAATTAATATTACTAAGAAATTCTGACATTGACGATAAATATAATGATCTTCGATCAATGTAGAAGAAAGCATTAAATGGAATTAAATGGAAGTGATGTGAACTTACTATTGCAATATCCGACAAGTTTCGAAAGTATTTCTGTTTCGGTCCATTCAGGATGTGACTCCTTAACACGCTGCATCATCCGAGCCTTGGCACCGAGCAGCGCAACGAGTGTAGCCTCGCTAGCCGTACCCTGGATAACGCCTCCGGCTTCTCCTCCAGAACGAGCTAAAAACGTCTCTGGCAGCCCCAACATTTGGCCCAACCAGTCTAGCATCACAACCTCCAGCTCAGTACATGCCGGGCTTGCAATCTGGAAATTGAACATAAACAAACATAATAATAAGGCTCTCTCGTTGTAAGTATCCAAAATAGTTAATTTTAAACTTACTTAAATACACAATCATAACTTAACGCGATGAAAAAAACTTTGCAGGTAAATAGTACCTATTTAATGTCGACGTTTCGATATGAATTGCACCATGTCGTAGTCACAACAGGACATAAGTGTATAAAATAATTTTAGATCGTTTAAGAGAAAGTTTACTTTTAAATTGCTTTAAAAGGCGACAAATTTATCTATTAGACTCTACTTGGGATATTTTCGCTCCCACTTCAGTTCAATACCAATTTTATCAAGACAAAAGTCATTTTTATAAAATCAAATAGAGAATTATAGAATTTAGACATGTTCATGCCGGTTACAGCTTTACTCGATTATTGTTTTGAATCTACTGACAATTGTAATTAATTTTAAACTTTCGCGTTGTTTACACAAATTTTAAATACACTATCGGGACTCCTAACAATAAAAAAACTACGTACCTAATTAGACACAGATACCAGTGTAAATATTATTATATTATATCTCTATTAATTTATATATAAGGTATATTTAAAATAAATAATCTATGTAAAGCGCTAATGAATTAACATCTTGGATAATTAAAAATTGCCAAATGTTTTCGCCTATTACAATCAGCCAGTTTACAAAATAATTTTTTAAAGGATGTATTATTAATTATATTAATTTATTACCTTGTTATAGATAGTGTTCAGTGATATAATAGGTACTAGGCACATAACTTGTTTTCCTTGTTCGCATTTCGAGACAAGTGGCATTGACAATGACATTGGTTTGCAGAAATAGCTACTAAAGTTCAAGCAAGTTTTATTTTACTTATTTCATTCATTATTATCATATCAGCCTTTAACTGTCCACTGCTGAACATTTTCCTTGGAAGGGTCTTGCCAGTAGTTGCCACACTTGGCGAACGAATTGGCAACCGCAGCCTAACGCTTTGGAGATGTTTTAAAAGGAACGTTGCTCCCATCCCTCGTTCTTCTTTAGTCACCTTTGCGACACCCACGGAAAAGGAAGGCCTAGGCCTAAAGGAGGTGGCCTATTCTATGCCGAGGCCACAAGGCACACACACTTATTTCATTAAATTAGCAAAATAAAAGCTGTTTCAAGCAGCTAGAGAAGTTTCTAGGACATAAAAACACAAAGGGGCAAATGCTTAGTATACTTAGGTATATAGACCATAATAAGATAGAAATATATATATATATATATATATATATATATATATATATATATATATATATATATATATATATATATATATATATATATATTAGTATTAGAACTTATCCATAAGGCACCTATTTTGGATCGTTTGTTGTTTTCTTTACGATTCTTTTTAAAACTGAACAATATATATATATATATATATATATATTTTTTTTTTATATACCATATCTATGTTCTGCTTATAAAACGTATTTAAATCATATTTTCCCAAACACCGACATACATTTTCACCGCTGGTAAGCTTTCTTGTCTCTTTGTTAGTTATGTTACAAACTATATACTTATCCACATAGAATTTAACACAAGTTTTACACATATTGCTTAATAGCAAAAAAATATTAAAATCTTAAAATTCTTTTAATGATCTGTAACATTTACCATATAAGTAAATATAACTCCCAAGTTATTCGTGTTTTAATCGAAAAGCAGTTGTGTGTGTATGGCTGTGTTTCGATTTGAAGGGTGGGATATGGCGTGAATTTACAGGGTACAAAGGAATAACATCTGAGTCCTCGGAAATGCCAACGCATGGGGGGTATCATGGGTGAAACAGCATACTCTGTTATGTCCATTCATGTCTATAGGCAACGGTTACCACTTTCCATCAGGTGGACAGTCAGCTTGTTTGCCATTCTAAGTTGTATAAAAAAAATATCAAATCAAAAAATGTTTTAATATTTTTTCCTGCAAAATGTCAATTGTAATGTCTACACTTTTTTTCAAAGAATCTAATGCAGCTTCACATGTTTTAATACAATTAACGATAATTAAAAAACAAATTTAGTGACACATACCCATGTAAAGCCGATGCAGGCAATAGCACCGCTAAGCATATCGGCCACGATAGACGGATACGAGTTAGCCGTAGGGAAATAGGCGTGGAACCGCGGGGAATGCCAATGCGTTACCCCGGACATAACCACTCGTTCGATATCGGCCATGACAGCAGTCCATGGCTCTGGTTGATTGGGAGCCTGCTCTGGTACGAGGGGCCTTAAGTAGCCTGGCTTCACTGATGGTACTACTTGCCTGAAAATAGACGATTATTATTTTAAAGATACTTCAGTATTTCATTTCTAATAGTTATTTATTCGAAAATATCAAAAATGGTTCGTAAAGAAAATGAACATTGTAATTTCAAAACCGCACTACACTTACAATGGTCTGAGTTATGATGATGCATTTAATTAGGTAGGTCGTTTTGCAAATTCGATTTCTGAGATTGGTATTTTACTGAATTTAACTATTCGCAAACGGTAGGGTTCATATGTTTTACTGTTTTTGAAGCCACGTAAACTCAACGACGGTAGTTTAACAGGATAACATAAATAAAATAAAGATACGAAAATTGCTTTGTATTTGCTCTACTCATCTCATAGATACACATTACTTACATAAACTTTTTTAGTACAAACTCTTGACAGATTAAGTTATTAAACTCACCTATCTCTTATGTTTTCCAAATATTCTGCTATGTAATCAGTCATAGCTTTGGCAAAATCTTTAAAATCTCCGGCTTCCATCGTCTCTGTAATAGAAAAATGCAGAATTTATGAAAGGTGGACAAATATTGTAACATAAATACGTAATAAACGTAAACATAAAAACAACGAAGCTAAAGTCAAGCAATCAAATTATTTTATTTTAAAACTTAAATTTAGAACAGCAGCAACGGTTTCATTCAAAATCAAAAACAATTAAATGCAAAATGCATAAAAAAATATTTCATAAAGTCATTGAAAAATATACAAGATAGCTTTACAAAAATAATTCTAAAGCGTTGATACCTATTTAATACGTAGCTATCTACATGGACACTGAAAACGAAAACAACAGTTAATAATAATACACTTTTACGCATTAAATAATTTTTTAGACATTCTGTGCGAACTATAAACAATGCCATACATTTGTTATGACTGAAACTGATAATCGTTTAGTAATAATAAACATGTTTGTTCAACAAATACAACAAATAATATAAAAAAGCTATATATACATTTTTAAATTTTTATTATTTTCATCAAGTGGCCTCTAAACTAGTTTGTCGTGCTAAATTGCATAAAAAAAAAAAACATTAAAATGAATAAAATATTTGAAAATTAAAATTTATGCACTAAGATACCATCACATATAATATATTATTTATTATATTTAGACTAAAACGAACCAAATTTCAGATTCACATCTGGATCCGCCATATCGATACCTAAAAATTACGTCAAATGTATTAGCAATTTTATTTACTGAGTCTTTTAAACTTCTTGCTAATAGATAGTATATTTTTAATCGAATACAAAAAGATTTCTCTTTATTCTTGTTTAGGTATATGTAAAGCGATATCTTCGCCGATTCTGTGCCGATTTTGATAATTATTTTTTTGTGATAGGTGGTCCCACTTGTTTCGAAGCAAAATACGGCACAATTTAAACTCTTTTAAATTTAATTATATATATATATATATATATATATATATATATATATATATATATATATATATATATATATATTAGTCTATTTTACTCGTTTGAAAATAAAAATAGTAAAATTACTAGCCAATTTTAATTTTGTCGCTATTGAAATTTTCGTTTTTAACGGAGCAAAATATACATTGTATAACTTAACTATTATAACATTTGAATTCTAAATCTCATAATTTATTTAACATGTTGACTGCCACGATAATTTTCAGAAATCTGACCTAAAATAACAATTTTATTCATTGACATTGTATTATTAAAAACTCTAATTCTAGTACATAGTTATCACCAAAATGTATAAAAAAAAATACAAAGAAACATTAAAATATTATTTTCTATTTTGATTTTGAATTAATTTATTAAAAAACAAACCAAAAATATAGTTATAAAAACTATATATTTGGTTTGTTTTTTAATAAATTTTCTGTTCTTGCAAGCTTGCATTGATTTTTTTGTTCTTTCCCCAAAAGCCCCCTATCGACATTAGCAGTAATATGTATCGAATTTAAATTTAAAATTTAATTATAGCTGCACAAAAATGACAAGAAAACACCGGACGAATTATCTCGTAGTTAGCAGTCAACGTGTTAAAATAGATACTAGAATATAGAGAAAATGTCTCACAATTACATTATAGACACAAATATATTCCTGTAATATAAAATGTTAAATAAATCTATTACCCCATAGTATATTAGATAGTAACTATTATGGAATTAAACCTTGGCAAAAACTTCGAGCCTATTGTCTATAATATCCTTGATAATTCTAGAAAATTGTATCTATTCTACCTACATAATTGCGATCTGTAACTTTCCCATGACAGGCACTGACTTTTAACCTTTCATTTAAGAAAATATTTTTTTTTAATTCATAAAGTATTATTATTATATACAAGTTGACTCAGTAAACGATTATTGCCACCTACCGGATTCATTTCTTCCTATCGATATAAAAACTATCCTATCCCTCAAGATGAAGCAAACAATACAATCACAAAGTTTCATTAAAATCGGTTAAGCGGTTACAGAGATTAGCGTAAACGAACATTAAGATTAAAAATGTGATCACAAACATCTCAAATATCTAAGTTATAATTAGAACGTTTTTCAATTGTGTTCCAAGTTAGTAGCACTTAATTTGGTCACATTTAGCCGTAGATATATATCATCGGTCAGATATTACCTAACATATTACATTACTTTCACAAAGGTAACGTCAATCTAACTGCTGGATTATTCAATGTAAAACTAACCGTGACCATGGATATCACTAAAAGAAGAAACATTAAATAGCTGACCTTACCTACTTTTTTTTTTATTTTACCTATTTCAAATTTCCAAGTTTTATAAGAGTTTAAATTCTAACTCTGAGTGTTAATACTCGTAAAAAGTTGAATATAATTTTATTACTACAAGTTTTTCATTTATTTAGTAATTCGTCTCTGTTGTTTATGTTGTTTACAATTACAAAATTTCAATGAGCACAAGAAATATTTACTTTTTGAATTATAAGAAATATTATAAATCAAACATATCGAGTATACGTAAGGCTGACTTAAGTCGTGTCGTTTGAAATAAGTATAGACAATCTAATAGATTATAACCATTTATAGTTTTTCAAAGAATTCTCCGCGAGTTAACGCTTACCTTTGATTTAATACGTTGTGTATCTGATAAAAAAATCAATGCTTTAACAATTGCGAAGTCATTATAATTATTATATATAAATATTGATACGATCACGTATCAATATTAGACATCTTATATATCATACAAATATTAATAGATAATTGCTTAGATAACAATTTATGACAAAGTTATGGAACAAGTCAATGGGCTTTAACTAAAATAACTGAATTGATTGTATATGAGATTTCACAACTTTTTATAGTGTCACAACTGTTTAAAGCACTTGCCTTTTTTACATTTTATATTTTTAATGGAATCTCATTTCTTTTTGTAGGTCATCCTCCTTTTTCTTCTTAGGTAATATATGTACATATTATCGTGTGGAATATATGAATACCACATAGAATAAATAAAATCCCTTCCTTTTCCGTGGGTGTCGTAAGAGGCGATTGAAGGAACTTAATGGTCAAGGGATAGGCTGTAGCGTTTCTCTTAAAACATCATCAAAAGCCTAACTTTACAAAACCCATAACCGAGTCCTATGTTCAGCAGTGAACAATTAACGGCTGATATGATATGCATGTGTATATATATATATATATATATATATATATATATATATATATATATATATATATATATATATATATATATATATATATTATCTGTCAGCTACAACCGCAATACGTTATTTGAATAAAAACAATTTTTTATAATAGTTATTTTTCATTTAATGAAAGTGAATAATGAAATATCGGGATTTTTCACTCATTTTCCTTCCTCTACGTCTTTATAAATGCTAATTAAAATTTGAAGTTTGTAGGACTGTTAGAAGTATCTTCGAATTTTGATGATCGATGAGTTTGTCAGTGGCAAAATTGAACAAATTTTACTAACGATAATTCGTAAACTATAATATATAATTATTAGATATATCGGTTATATAGCTATAGTATATTCTCTTAAGCACTAGAGATTCAATTCGCTTTATGCACAATGAAATTACAGATTGGCCAAAAATCCCGTAAGTCGCTTCAAGAAAAGGATGGTACGGCTGTGTTCACTTAGCGGGGGTACTGCCGTCGTGCCCTCTGATTTATATTTCTATCAACCCGTACGAAACCGTGGCGGATCAATAGTATTAAACAGAGTACAGAATTATCTTTTATTTTAATAATTATTTCCTCACTCTCGTAATTCTTAATAGCACTAAAATATCCAGAAACATATAGAATAAATAGAAATCGTCATTTTTTATAATTCTATTGCAGGTTTTGGATGTTATCTGCTAAAAAAAATTACCAACGCAGATAGGGTTACTGTTATATTTTTCTATTTGTTCATAAATAAATTTGCTTGATTCTACACACTAAGATATCTTAGATCACTTAAGATGTCGATATTTTTCCATTAAGAGTTAATATATAATTCTGAATTAAATTTAGCCATCGATTGAACTCTATATTAAGTCTAATTTAGTGGCAAAAACAAATATTGTACATGCAGCTGTGGAAAATATTTCTCATTTACAATATCTATAAAAATATAAGTGTTAAAAACGCTTTTCTACCTAGAACTAATGCCAAGGGTCCATTAATTGCTTGTTTCTTTACCCTGCCACAATTTCCAAGACTATATAATTATTACTTATACCTAAATATATATATATATATATATATATATATATATATATATATATATATATATATATATATATATATATATATATATAATATTTTTTTAATTAGGAGGAGTAAGGTACGACATACATAGGTAATATTGAAAAGTAACATAGTAATTTTATTACAAACTCTACCATTACTGTATTAGAAAAATTACAACGGTTCATTATACGGCACTGTTTCTGTTGTTATCTCAAAGATTTTTTTATCGCATTACAATAAATTCATATATAATAAAATTAACTACTACTAATTGCACAATTAACTATGTATGTGTGCCAATCTCTACTATAAGAAATATATTAAGAATTAGTTAACATCAATTCCCAAAAATTTGTATATCCCTAAATACAAAATATATTATGGTAGACTTTCAAATGACAAATGATAATAGAAAAGGTGGAAAAAAAGATAAAATCAATTAATCCTCGCTCACATTTCTAACTCCTATTTTTACAGTAGATATACTAGAACATCACAACTTAAACATGGTGAACATAGGTTCCCAATTTGTGGTTCACGTTCAATGCCGAGAGAACGGCGTGTGCGACGGCGCTTTCGCAACTCGCGGTGAGCAAGTGGTGCGAGGTTATTTGCAGACCTCGTAGCCACGACACGCCGGTTACAATCAACGGAACTTTAAACTAGTCACAATTGTAAGATTTGTTTTTGTCAACAATATTCAGCATTATACTGTTAAATAACATCGAGTTTTACGGAACCTCCTGTAAAAGTTAATGTTACAAAAATGGACATATATAGATATCGTTTATTTATCTTATGTCTTTATCTTTTATTTTTCGTAACAATTTTTTTCTAATTTATTATTTCTTGACAAATAAATAAATATTTTTGTAACATCATGGTAAATAGTTTAATTACTATTTATATATTTGGTTACGGTTCATTGAAAGAATACCTAATAGGTAAATACCTTTTCTATCTCTACAGTTCTAAAGGCTGTTTCTATGCATAAATCGACATTCCTCGTGTATTGAGTAACTTACCGATTAGTTGGAACTTTACCGATTGGGTATTAACTTGTGTATACGAATAAACGTAGTGTTTATTATAGAAAAAGGTTTCTACTATTGCATAAACAATTCCGTACACTATTTTGAAACTGTCATGTCTATTTTCTGAATATAATTAGGCCCATATATTCATTAGTTCTTCTTATAGGTACAACACACATATGGAGATAAAATGATTGAGTTTTGTTACCTAACGTAAAAGTAAATATATATCACTATTCACTGTCTTACTTAAATGTAAAGGTCATCTATATCAGTCTAAAAATGCTTTATTAGTAAACTATCAATCCCAAGCCATATAGTTATGGTAAAACACTTGTCATTTAATAACCAATAATTTATAGATTCTTCCAATTGCTGATTTTAATAAAAAAAAAAAACTGTAACAACCTTTTCGTAAACAAAGTAAAAGAGATGGCTAGTTATTTTCATTGTGGAATTATATTGGAATTTTTAGCTGTACTTTAAATTAAAAAATGTTTTCATTAGGAATATGTTCAACACGCTAGTCAATACATAGTTCTAGGAAATTGGGTTTTTTCTTGTATGCGGGAAATAAGAGATTTAGTTGCAAACTATTTTTCCTCTCCATATTTCTTAAACTATAAGTACTAATTACTTGGTTAATAGCTTAGAATAGACTGATCACTTATTTATTTCTATGGAAAACTATAATAATGCAAAAATTTTAATTACCAATAATTCTGACGTAATAATTTTTTTCCACTATTTTTTTCGTAACCGACACATTACAATATTGTTTTTACTTACTAACACAGCGCTTCGCAAAATAAAGAAAGGCCCAGTAGGGCCTTTCTGGGGCGAAAGGATTTTTAGTAATGAGAGCTACCAATCACTTTGCTAGCAATATATCCTGTCAGGTCGACCTCCACGCGGTTCCCCCTGGAAACCATGGGCTAAGTGACCTATTCTTTCATTCTCACCTATCATCCCTCACTGGTACCCCGCCAATATATACCGATAACGCGGGCATATCATATCATTCCATTATCATCCAATACAAAAAAAAAAAGTAGAGCCTTTCTTAATTGCACAATTTACATAGGTAAATTATGCAATTGCATACCTCAATAATAAGTTTAGTTTAACCTTTAAGTTTTAACATACTTTTAACGGTTTAAGGTACACAGAAACACAGTTGCGTATTTCTTTTTTGTTTGTATAATTGTATTACTCAGTTTTGTGATAATAATTTGATTTAATGAAGCTATGTCAAGGTGAACAAAATACACGCGATCAAGCACTCGGCTCTATTAAATCTTAGTTGTTTAACAGTTATTATTGACAATAGATAAATATATTTCTAATTTTGATATAACGAACTAAGCTATAAATATAAATAATATTTCCAAAACTACAATTGATTACAGTATACAACGACTAAATCCTCTACTAATCATCATAAGGCATCGACGCTTAGTGATAGACTACATAATGATACATTAAGTAAGTTTTCAGAAAAAAAAAACAATATAAGCATTGTTACTACATAATAGACATAGCTAAGAGATGACTGCCTTCAGACATATTTGTAAACACCTTAAAACTCTGTCATTCAATAATTAAGATTGTGTTCTACAGAAAAAACCGACTTCAATTGTGGCAAAACAAGTTATTTTGATTTAAACACTAAACTACGTAACGTTTTCATAAAATTTCTATGAGAAGAATCTGTAAATAAATCCTTTTACGTAAAAAAGAATTTTCCTAATCAGTTTACAACCGACGAAGTTATGAAGTAACAAACATAAAAAAAAATAGAACAAAATTTAGAACCTTCGTCTTTTTAAAGTCAGTTAAAAAATAAAACTTGGTAATTAAAAATCGGTAAAATTACCATAATTATTTAACGGTGCTCAGCCACGTGCGTCTTGATTCCTGTCACATGACTCTCTACAACACATTTATAGTAGACTCTCCATTAATTTCAATCGCCGGTCTAATAATAGACTCAGAACTTATTCAATCTTTTATTTCTAACATATCTAGTTTTAATATTAACTTCGCTACTTCTGTATTTATATTATTGAACATATTTTAACTCCACTACATACCTACTAATAAGAGTACCGTGTGTATCATTCTAAACTTAATCTGTATTAATTTACAATAAACTACTATCATATGTAATAACGAAAATAAGTTCAGGAAATTTGTTAAATTATTTAAAAAAGCTTCTTCCAAATAAGGCCTATTTATTATGTAAAAGAGTTTCTCAGTGATGTAAACTTTTAGTCTAACCTAATCTTACTATGATTACAATCCCTAAGAGGTACATATGTGTATATTTTTACTATATCTATAGTATCAATCCATATGAGAGTAATGTAATAAATAAATATACGTACACGTACTTAGTCGTCAAAAATAAATACAGATTTTTTACATACTGTTATAAGTATAAAGTTTTCCTCCATTTCATTTTTATTTGTAATTATTATGAGGAACTTTATTCATATATATATATATGACTAACTTTTTGACAGCTACTTCGTACATGTAGATTTCAGAAGTAGGAAAACCAATGAAATAAATTTCTAGATATACATCACAATAAAAGAAACAATCAACAATTGTGAACACCACATTCAATTTGGTGCAGTAGTTTTACATGATCCTGGAACTAATAAATAGACAGACAAAATTTTTAAAAAATATTGTTTTGTTTTTAGTGGCTCTTCCCACACCCTTCATATAAATTATTCTTAAGTATATCTCATATACAAATATTCTATATACAATTTTATTATAGGTAAGTATTAATAAGATAAGATTTACATACATATAATATAAGTAAATTTCTTTAAAGTAGATAACAAAAAAGATGCATTACTCGTATTAAAATTCATATTAGCATTGACCCATTATAATCATATGTAGACCAAAGATAAGTATATCTATATATACCGAATATATCTTGCTTGAGAATTATTATTTTATTAATGTTACTCGTAAAAAAAAATTGAAAAATATATTTTTTTGTCTTACATTGCAAAATAATTACGTAAGTGGAAAATTATATTACTTTATTTTATACTAGTTTTTGCCTACAATTTCGTACGTGTGATTAATTTAAACAAACATACAAAAATTCTAATATTATTATTTTGCCCCATATTGTTTTTATTAGAATTATAAGAACAGTGGAACAATAATCGTTGAAGATAATGATAATGACATTTTTATTTGTTGTCTAATTAAAAAATGTATAGCTAATTATTTTTTAATTATATCTTCAAGTACTTTTAGAACAATGACGTATATATACTGTGTTATGCATGGTATTTTTACAAATATTATGTAAAAGTAAGTTTGTTTGTTTGTTACCTCATAGCATCGTAATAACTTAACCAATAACATTAAAAGTTGGTATTTACTCATTATATAGGATAGAGAAAAACATGGACTACTTTAACACTGGTCAAAGGACGAAGTCGCGGTTTAAAGTTAGTTAGAAATAATTGTCTAAGTTAACATAAGCTCCTTCATAGAAGAGTTTTGCCAGTAGTAGCCATACTTAGCACACGGATTGGCAACTGCAGTTAGGATTTGATGATGGTTTAAAACAGACGCTGCTTGACGCCTTGATCCCTCGACCATAAAGTTCCTTAGTCCTTAATTCCTTAGTCACCTTTTACGATACTCACGGAAATGGAAGGGATGGCCCATTTTATGCCAAAACCAGACGGCGCAATTATTTCAATAAATGTTTTAAATTTATTAATTTCCACATAAACATCTATTTACCTGCAGCTAAAATTGTAATAACCAATCCTCAGTGATATTTATGCTTAAATAAATATACACTTATCCTTAAATAATGTAATACTTATACCTAATGTAATAAAATGCAAGTTTTCCTTCTACTAAAGCTTACTTTCATTTCCTTCATATTTAAATAAAGTACTTTGTAAATTTTAAATGGATTGGTAATACGAGAAATCGAGTCAGCGGACTTTACTTTTTACAAATAGAAGGAAAATTATTGTGGGCATTCCCCATGTTGTCGTCAGCTCAAATGACTGCTGTCATATAATATTTATACTAAGAACATGATATACTTGTCTTTCAAATTTATTATTCAAAAATATAGTTCTGAAATAATAAACTACTAGGTAAATACCTCTCATATATTTAATTAATTTCATAAGGTCCACTATAGAAGTCATAGAATCTCACAAAAAAAAATGTAGATATATTATTATGTAGATATATAATCTTATAAATAGTACTCTTTATATTTTATGTTATTTTCTACGTAAATACAATAAGGTGCATATACCTAATCAATTTCAATTATAATACATAAATAAATAAGACAATAAATTTAAATCTACACTGTAATATAAATATTGATAACAAGACCTTAAGACATAATAATACGGAAGTAAATTTTAAATTAATTATTTACATAAGTACCTAACCAATATTATAGAAATCATGTCACCAATAAATACGACTTTTCGAATACTTTATTTACAAAATATAGAAAATGTGTATAGGCACTTACCTACTTATCAAGTATCATATTTATTATATTAGATAAATTTGCACATAGTATAGATAATGAGTAGAATTAAATTTCAAGCCAATGTAGAACAACACTGGAATTTATTAAATTCGCAATATCTTATGAAAATATTAACAAAAATTGCAGAATTACGTACTTACCAATTTGATGTTGCTAAAAAACTTTAACACGAAAATCTAAAACCACACGGCCACTTCAATAGGTCGTACTAAAAACTAAATGAACTAAATTAACGATGTATAAATCGTATATTTCACAAGAGGCCACGTTATCACGTTACGTGCAATACAGTGTATAATTCGGACTGGACTACGCCCGCCGCAGTATTGTAAGCTTTATATATACGTAGAAACAGTTCACTAGGTGGCCAACTCCATTAGAAGATTAAAAGCGACGCATGAGCCGTCCAGCTGAACACTGAACAGAAGGTTCAAAATCTGTGAAAAGCTGCACAAGATATAGGTACCATAAATCCCTTTTGAGAATGGGAGAGCATAATCCGCTTTTAGGAATTATATTACACTACAATTGCCTAATAAAATATCTACCTATTACTTACATTTTAAGTTTGAAAACTTGTATATGCCTAATGATTTTTCTTTGTATCTTATGTAAACGAATTCAGTTCATGTATAAATGAAATCTGTCTGTTTACTTGCTACACGCCGGTCCGGTAGATCTTACCAAATTTCCAGATTTTGAGTAGAGTTAGTTTTTTATCTAATATTACATTTTTGCAAATCCATCGACTTTAAATGTGTTCTCTATACTGTTTATATATTTACTACGTTTACCTACTTAGTAAAAAATGCTATGCAAATGTAAGATTTGAATTTTATTTGTATAATATGCTAAAATAATCGCTTGTTTGGTTTTAAAATATTGCATAAAATAAATCTATATATTTTGTTTTAGTTTAGTATGAACCTTATGTTTTAATAAAAAATTAGAATAATTTGACAATGAATGATGAATAAACCAAATTTTATAATGACTAATGCTCGTAAATGAGAAATAACCGATCTCATTAGCCTTAATGGCTTAACCAATCACTGACATTTTATATACATGTACTATATAGGATGGAGAAGTATATAGGCTACTTTTTCAAAGGTAGAATACTGTACTATCAAGCAAGTCTGATAATGAGAAACATATCGTATTTATACTTGTTTTCTTTTTTAATTTAAATGAGACTATACTATCTCTAATCGATTGTTACTTAAAGAGCCTTTGGAATAAGTACTTATTATTATATAGGCTTTTATTAATTGTATTCGATATACAGAACATCCAGTGACGTTCTGCTCGGAAGGAACTTGAGTAATTTTTCCTGAGGACACCGATATCTATGAAAGGCACTGAGGACCATAAGAGATGTCGACGCCGAGATGTAAGAAAAACGCTGTAGGATCTTAAAGTATCGCATCAAATTCTATCAGAGGAGTGTACTAAATCTCCTTGATAATTGTTTTTTATTGTCAATCAGGGGATCTTTTGGACACCATCAATACTTTACTACAAGCCACCACGGTAAAAGGTGGTGACATTCTTTGTATCGTAAAATCGGCAAAGGGCGCCTTCAAAAATTTACTCGGGGTACTTAGTGAACTCAGGCCAACCCTGACTATTACTTTACAAAGAAAAGAGATAATACGGAGGAAGTAAGAATCTAACCAAGCCATTTAGACCCATATGTTTTATTTATGAAACATTGACGTCCGGTCCGGTTTTCATCGAATTGTTATAATTTTCCGCGTGTTATATCATTGTACCTATTTAACAGCAGTAGGCATTTACTACTATTATTAATTCAAGACATATTTTATAAATATTTATATACACTAATTCTGGCATAATGCATATTTAACATTTGGTATGAGTCAATTTTATTATTGAATGAAGCAATTACTATAAGAGAACAACTGAAAATTCTGTTTTTAAAAATTTAAGTGATCGTTATTACATCACACACCTAGTGATACACTAATCCACAACCATGTCAACAGTAGGTATTAGTGCCCAAAAGATAAATTTAATTAAAAAGTCTCCTCTTATGTTATATTACTTTTATCCGCGTTAAAATTCAATTTGCAATATAATGTTAATTTTGTATAACATAAAATGGTTAAATATTTTGTGTTACTAACATATATATCATTTAAGTAAAGATAGTTACTCGTAAATCAACTTCACGTTACGAGTTATGACTTTGTGATAAATGGTAAGGTCGGTGGTAGAGGGATGGGGAGATTCGCCCGAGCGCCCGTCCTCTCCGGAATTGAATCAATTTCCTTTAATGCCACCATCTCGAGAAAATCCGACTCTCTGGAAAAGTGCCGTAGTTATCGAAATAAAAAGTCAATAGATAATGATTTATATTTTTATCGACAAAACTGACACGACAATAAAATTCAATAGAACTGAACAATTCAACGTACCTGCCTAATTCAATGATATTAAAAAATGTAACATAAATACATTCTTATTCAGTTTAGAATTTTTGTAATGTGTATTTAGTCATAAGTAGATAAATTCCTGCGGCTTACCCCGCATGAAAAATAAATGATACATACATAATACAATTATAAATACAGTGCATTTGTAACTACGACAAAAAAATCCATAATAAGCATGTTTACAGACTTATCAGTGTATAATATTAGTACATTTAGGTACTTTATATTAGAAGTAACGAGCAAGGGTTGAATAGAAGGGGAAATTATACTAATTGCTTATGTAATAACTACCCCAAAAATCTGCAATGCCAATAAGATAATGAAATGAAACGACCAATTAATAAATTGGTAATTGTTTGTGTAATTGTTCGGATATGATTAAAAGCCACTGCAATTTTTATAAGACACTTATTTGCAGGAATAATTTTCCGTGAATTTATTAGGTATGTAACCTATTTACACCTACAAACTCTAAGCACAAAATTTGACAGAATGGGTTAATTAATCAGATAGGTTACCTAATTCTACTACTCAGTCAAATTAAAACAAAAATAACTTATATGTGCATCGATCTAAGTTATAAATGATAATAGTATATTTAAAAAAATCTACTTGTTTTTATTATTATTTTATTAAATTTGCTGATGATATTATTTTTTGTTATGATCATTATGTCAAAATTGGTAAATTAAGATTATATGGCAATTTTATTATTAAATAACGTACGTCTTTTACTGTGTAATGTGTGGATACTGCAACTGTTATTTAGTATAAAATTATTTAAATTTGGTTATGACGTGGTTGGGAGCCTTGAGTAAGTCATGCTCACTTAAATGTCCTAGCAGGTGTTGGGCCGAGTTATTGGGTTCCCTTGTGGTTGAGGGCAATGACGGCTCACCCGTCATACTCGTGAACAGGTACTACCTATAGAGACTGGTCATTGCAACCGATTTATTTTAATGATTTAATTATAATCTATATATTTTAAATTTTATGATCTGATATTGCTTAGTAGTTTGTAATCACACAAATTCATTATTTATACGTATAGTTATTTTTTTTTAAAGCAACAGCTGAGTTGCTTGTCCGTTCAAGAAGAATGGAATGGAATGGCTGGAATTGTGTTCCGAATGAGCTGTAATAAAAAAATTACTCGTCAAAAATGTTTAAATCTAAGTTTATTTGAATAAAAATATTTCTTTCTTTCTTTCTTAATAAACAAAGTCGTGAGCGCTAGAACAATAAATAAATTTGTAAGAGATATCACAAAATCATTCCACCTACAATTTTCAGTCTAACTGTACAATCGTCTGTGAAAGCTTTAGATGTGTAATTACCCCAGTTATGCACGCTCACTCTCTGCTCTTGACTTCAGAAGAGCTGCCAAAGAGGGTGGGAATGGAGGTGGGAGAACAGTGGTCGCTCTGTCGTCATGGATACGATGAATAGGGGGAGGCGCTGCTGCAACAAGTGTTTTACTATATATATATATGAGAGTTTTACATCTACTTATGTTTAAAACTACCTGACCCAACTCTTTTTGTTTGATCCAATATTCATTTCTTCCTTCTCTAAAAATGTTTAATATAAACTAGGAAAATAGTTTCAATTGATCTTAAAATATGATTTGACTATTGTTTTGTCTATATGCATATCCAGTAAGAGCTTTTTTACTATTAGTTGCTATAATGACTATGTATGTCTCTATTTTTTTTTTGTTCCTTCAACTTAATCTTGTATATTTTTATATACTTTATTGTACACTATTTATAAATAAAAATATGAGAGAAGTAATCAAATATTGTACATTTGGTCATCTTAACTCTAAAAGAGTTCTCTTCCAGCAAATCCAAAGTGGAAATGAGCACAAATATCAGCGGGTAGAGCGGTGTACAATTTAGGCAATTTTCAAACAAAAGAACTAGACGAACTTAAGTTTGTACACAACTAATTAATTCATATTGAATCGTATACATATATACACATATATCTACGTACATACATAGTTTTAAATATATGTTCATAAAGATAGAAAATCTTATCTTATATTCTATTCGCGTATGGGATCAGCTAAGCCGTTGCACGTCGACCCATCGGTATCTTTGGTGCTTCCTCCTGCCTTATACCATCCTTTAAGATGGAAGATGCTCTTTAAGTCTATTTTAAAAAAAAATTAGGGATTGATTCTCACGAATAGACACGAAAAGATAATTCCACAATCTAGCAGCATGGAGGGTATAGTAACCGCTATAGCGCGTAGACGAGTGAGAAGGGATTTAGAGGATAAAGAGTTCAAACGAAAGAATACGCAATGGGAAACTAGAAAATCAAATCGTTCACGAAAATAGGACAGAGAAGAAGAATTATAAGGAACAGAATATAAAAACAACATTATATAAAAATCTCTCCTGTATTTGTTATTCTTTTAATAATATTAAACCACCGGTTAGTCTATTAGAATATTTAAATATTGTTCACACTTTTCACATATGGTATACAATATTCATTTAATTGTGCTAAGCTATGAACACAAAACAAAACCGAATGTCTCATATTACTTATATCGTTATATATATGTCAAAATATTAACTTATTAATAATACATAATACAAATTACAAATAACAGTCTACTTGCGTGCATGCAAGTCTATGAAAATATAATGTAAAAGTGCACCATACAAGTGGAGACGACTTCCGCCACCAGAACAACAGAATTTATTTTTTTCGGTTATACGGCCATATGACCCTATTAAATTCACATAGAACTTGCATACTTTCTACATAAACTGTGTCGAATATATAAAATAATAATCTAAATGGACAAAAATTTTACATACACATTTTCTGTACACTAACCTGCTATGAATAAAGAAAAATAGCACCTGATGGTATATCTTTCGTCCTCTTTAATAATTATATTTGCATAAGAAGAAAGGAAGCAACCACATGATTTAGTTTTTATTTTACTTTTCTTCTATGTAATTCCTTGTTTTTAGCTCCGTGACTATATTACCATCAGGTTGTCTGTAAGAGATTGCTTGTAGCGATAAGGCCGCCTTTTGTATATGCACGTTCTGTATAAATACTCCTTGTATACATCTTTACTGTGCGCAATAGAGTTTATTATTATTTTTTAAATTTCACTAAAATTCTCATCTCCCCTCTTAAGGAGAGGAGATGGCAACTAACCCCCGGCAGAAGCACAGTCGGCCGGGGTTCAGGGCCCCAGGGAGAGAAACCGGCGTACAATGCGGGCAGAATCTAAGAGCACCGCTTTCTGCATCTTTCCCGGGAGTGAGCCGCCTCGGAATCCCAACCGTCTGAGATGTTGTTCCAGACTGGTTGGGATAAGACCGTTCACCGACATAACGATTGGGATGATTTCGGTAGATGTCACCCCCACATTTCGGTCACCTCGTGAGCCAGGTCGAGATATTTTCTCTTCTTCTCGGTTTCGGCTTTAGGTTCTCGTCATGCGGTATGGTGACATCCACCAAAAACACCCTCGAGAGTGCCCGATCCATCACCACGATATCAGGTTTGTTCGCAAGAACGGTTCTGTCCGTGATGATGGATCGGTCCCAGTAGAGCCTTACGCTGTCGCTTTCGAGGACCGGCTGGGGCTCGTACTTTTACGGCAACCTCTCATTCGCGAGGCCGTATAGCTCTTGATGGAGTATTTTGGCTACCTGGTTGTGTCTGTGCAAGTACTCAGTGTTGGCAAGAGCTGAACAACCCGAAAGCACATGTCTGAGTGACTCTCCGGGATGGCGACATGCCCGACAGATGTCCTCAGTGCCATCCTTCAGAATGTGCTTTCGGTAATTGTTCGTCTTAACCACCTGATCCTGTATTGCACAGACAAAACCCTCGGTCTCTCCGAAGAGATCACCGAACTGTAGCCAGTGCACGGAGGTCTTCGTGTTTACGTACGGCCCGTGAAGGGCTTTGAAGAACCTTCCGTGCAACTCCTTCTCTTTCCATACGGCCTCCCGCTGAGAGGTACCCAAAACTTCGGGTTTTCGCCAGTCCTCTTTAGCCAGAGAAAGAGGGGTGAATCCTTTGTCGCATTCTATGACCTCTCTATGCAAACCCTCGTCTATTTTCTCCAGAAAATATGTCCTGAGGCTGTCAACCTCGCGGTTGTGCATGGTCTTAACACTTAACAAGCCTCGACCACCAGCCTTCCGCGGGATATACAGCCTCATGACTGACGATTTCGGGTGATGCATTCTATGGAGGGTCATAGTTGTGCGGACTTTCCGATCCAGGGCTTCGAGATCGGTTTGAGACCATCTGAGCACGCCAAAAGTGTAAAGGAGTACGGGTATGACCCAGCCGTTATAAGCTCGGATTTTATTGGCGCCCGACAAAGAACTTTTCAGTACTCTTGTAAGGCGCGCAAAAAATTCCTCGCGGACTGACTGTTTCATATCCGTCTCCTTCACACCGATGTTTTGTGACATGCCCAGATACCGGTATGTTTCAGCCTCGGAGAGGGTTTTAATATTAGAGGGATCTGTGGCGATCTCTTCAGTTTGAGTGACCCGTCCCCTCTGCACATGGGGGACCGCGCACTTGTCTATTCCGAGCGCCATCCTAATAGAGCTGCTATAATCGTTTACGATATTTAGCAGCTCCGTCAGGCGTTCGACGCTCGGAGCTAGCAGTTTCAAGTCATCCATGTACAGAAGGTGAGACACTCGTGTACCTCCTCTCCGATACTGAAATCCAGTCCCCGAATTCTCCAGTAAAGTACTGAGTGGATTCAGGGACAGGCAAAACAAAAGTGGACTCAAACAATCGCCCTGGAATATTCCCCTCTTTATCTCTATCCGGTCAGCGGTATCCGTCAATCGCTCGCCCTGGATAGTCAGGATCGTCGTCCTTGCCCCATGCATGCCTCCAAGAACACTCGAACTGTACCGTCGATCTTGTACAGCTCGAGTATCCTCCGGAGCCATGAATGGGGCACGGAATCGAACGCCTTTTTATAATCTATCCAGGCGGCGGAGAAATTCCGACGGTTCCGCTTGACCACGTGGCCAGCGACAGCATCAATGAGGAGCAGCTCCTTCGAATGCATCCGTTCTGAGCGCTAGATAGGATCTTATTCTCGTACACATGACGAGAGATCTTAGCGCTCAGAACGGATGTTAACGTCTTATATATTGTCGTAAGACAAGTGATGGGGCGATATTTAGATGGATCCGCGGTATCGTCCGTCTTAGGAGCTAATTGAGTGATCCCGGTTGTAAGGAAGTTCGGGAGCGTCCTGTTTTCGAGGGCACTCTGGAATTGCACGGCTAAGGTCGCATGGCTGGCCGAGAACGCCTTTAACCAGTAGTGCTGCAATCCGTCGATTCCCGGACTTTTCCAGTTCGGAGCCCGACGGATCGCGGCAACCACGTCTTCCTCCGTAATGGCAATGGCGTTCATCGGCGTTATTCGAGCACATGCTTCCTCAACATCGTGCATCCATGCGCCCTCCTCATGTTCCACAGGTTCAGACCACAGCTGTCTCCAGAAGGCGACGAAATTGGCTGTTTCGGGTCTTTGTCCTGTGGGCTGTAGTTTTGGGCGCTCCAAGTTCCTATAAAACTTCCGTTGATCACTCATAAAGAGGCGATTCTGTTGATACCTCTCAACCCTCTCAGAGTACCGTCGGAGTCGCTTCCCCCATGCAGCGATCTTCTGCTTCAGTTCATCTATGCGCTCCGTAAGTTTGTGCCCGAAAATTATTATTATTATTACCATCCGTATCCCTTATCATACCCAATTTCGAATCTTTGTTTTACCTTTAGCTGTTCAAAATAAATGCCAGAATAGCTTTTGATTAGCTCGAAAATATAAATTATTATCTACAATGTAATGATATTATAAATCACATTCGCTCTGTCTTCTTGCCCTATAATTGTAAACAACTCATAACCTCCGGAAATACTGCGTTAATAATTTTTCGTCTGATTGCTAATTGTCAGAAAAATGGTACTTCATAGTATAATTGCTTCTGAATCGCTAAATATGTTAAACACATTTTCTGTGACAAACAGCACCTTTACTATCTAGTGGCAAAAAAACTGAACTAATTTATAATAGTAATTTTAGTTCCTAAATCGCCACACAGAGGTACACTGTTATTCAGCGACTAATCACTTTAGGTAATATAAAAAAATATAATTTAAAATTAAATTTAACAGACAAGATGCAATATTCAAAAGTAACTACCATCTTGATTCCAGCAAACAATTAACAATATATCCAAACATTGTATAATATTTACTGTTAAACCTAATTTTTACATGTTAGCATAAATACAAATTTGACGCGTTATTTTAATACGTTTACGGTTAATTATCTGTCTTTTACATAATTTTTTTTAGTACGTTTGTTCCGTTTGGAACAGGCTAAGGTCGGAGACCATGCCTTTTACATAATTTGAAACATCAATCAATTGTCATTCATACGTCATTCACTCGGTACCCAATTACTTCCCGTCTCCACCCGCATTCCTTTTTCACCCCCTTTGATATCGTAATCTTCGACGAAAGTTTAGGTTCAAAGTCTGGGTTTCATATTATTCAATTCAATCGTTTTCAGTGTCTTTTTCTTATAAAAATATACAAACATGGCTAGTTCTAAAATACTACGAGCACTCAATTTCTTACGAAACCGTAAGGACACATCGCTTATAACAGGTACATTTGTTACAGGTGTTATAATTAACTTTGAAACTTCTAAAATATTCCAAATAATTATTAATCATATAAATTAATATTAATAAATATTCTAAATCATATTTTTGATTCTTTAGGTGTACATAGCAGAGGATATGCAGCATCAGCAGCCGGCGAAGGCCACACAAGATGTAGGATAGTTGATGGCGTTTATGTTATCACGTTGGACAGTCCAAATGCCAAGGTAACAGAACATAGTTACTTTTTTTCTATTTTGAAATTAAATTTGAAATTAATATACAAGTTCGAACCTAAGAAAGAAATGTTTGTCTCTGTAGAAACCTGCAAAATTCAATTTTATCCCCAAAAAAATAAACTGGTTAATTTAAGTTTTTTAAACAAAGTATTATTAGGCCTTGTTACAGTAAAGAATGTCCAAAAATAAAGTTGATGAGGTTGATAAGTAATCTAAATTTGTTAATATAAATAAAATATTTCTGACAGCAAGATTAAGAATTACTGTAAATCTATAAATATTTACAGCCATTTGTTGACTATCTGTACATTAGCTGTTTTCCGCTTGTACCAGTATATAAAATATTCTATGTGCTAAAGTTAAGGTATAATCTGCCTGTGTATCAAATTTCATTTAAATATGTTCAACCATGTAAGTGTGATTGAGTAACTCTCTAGCATCTTTCTTAATGTTCATATAATATTAGTATTATGACACAATTACTTGGTATATTATAACATGTAACAAGTAGTCTTAGCTTCATATTTAACTTACAATAATAAATTGCATAACTACACTGATAAGGTATAAAGTACATAAGTATATAAAAACATATTAATCATAACTTTTATCAATATAATTATTAAATTAGTAATTCCTGTATTACAAATAAAATTAAAAGTTTAACAAAAATAAATTGTTTTATTACATTTTAAAAAGTTAACATGTTCTTGGTATTATTTCCTAAAGTACACCATATCTTATTTTGAGAAATAAGGAAAAAGTATGATTAAGTGACACTTATTAGCAACATAATTTTAGGTAAATTCTCTAAATGCTGCTGTGATGGAAGAAGTAAGTAAAGTATTAGGAGAAGTTGAATCTAATCCAGCCATTCAAGCTGCTGTAATAATATCAGGAAAACCTGGATGCTTTATAGCTGGTGCTGACATTTCAATGCTTGAAAAATGTAAAACAAAAGATGAAGTTGTGGCACTGTCAAAACGAGGTATGTTAAAATGTGTAATAATATAATTCCTACTAAAATAATACAGGAGTGTTAATAAAATAACATAAAAATAAAAAAATATGTTTCTTTGGTCAAATTGCTTATCATTATTATTAAGTATAAAAAATATATTATAAACCAAATATAAAAGCATAATGTGATTTAAAATGTATATTCTTACTCAAAATTATCCTAAAAAATAACTATACATACATTTTGCTCTGCCTGAGTATCTAACTCATTTTTTTATATTATATTAGTTGCCATTAAAAATATACCCTGTCTGATATTAATTTCACAAACTACTAATATAAATTGGACTCTATGCCTGCATTAGGCCTCTCATTTGGACTGTTGTTCATGTGACAGTTAAACAAATGAATCAAACTAACTACTATTGCTATATTGTCTCCTCAGAATCAATAAATAAGGATATTTGTTATTATTAAGCACATACAATACAAAATTACTGAGTACCATGACATTCAGCTTGACCTCTCCTATGATGATCCAGTTAATTAAAAGATAATTATATCAAATGATATTATCATTATTTTTAACCCTTTATATGTTAGTATTTATGTCATTAATTTATTTACACACTTGTAAGGATGTATGTTTAATTTATTCTTCTATGATGTTTAAGGTCATGAAATATTTCGAAGACTGGAAGCATCTCGCAAACCTTTTGTGGCAGCAATACAAGGAAGTTGCCTTGGTGGCGGTTTAGAAACCGCTTTAGCTTGTCATTATCGCATAGCTGTCAAAGACAAAAAGACTGGATTTGGTTTACCTGAAGTAATGCTGGGACTTTTGCCTGGTGGTGGAGGCACACAGAGGTGAAATTTTATTGTTAATAAAAGTAGGATACATAGAATTTTTAAATCTACATCCATTCAACATTCATAGTAATCTGCAGACATTATATTTCTTGAGCACTAAGTTAACTGTCTTCATAACTTGTAATTTTACTATCTTACTAACCTTTAATCTAAGCCATAATAATGCAAGCACCACATTAGTTTGAGCTTGATGTCGAAAATACAAGTGGGAGAGAGATTACTATGGAGACATTTATAAAAATAAAAATTAAAAACATGTTATTATATGTCTATTAAATGTATGTTATTTTCAGATTACCAGCTCTTACTTCAGTACCCACAACTTTAGACCTGGCACTCACTGGCAAAACTGTGAAAGCTGATAAAGCTAAGAAATTAGGAATAGTAGATTTGCTTGTGTCTCCTCTTGGACCTGGTACCTATCTTAATATTATTTATTTAAATAATTTTATTGACTAAAAAAGATATGTTATGAAAAATTAACTAAATGCTAGTAGCATTCTCTATCAAACTTTGTATTTATATTTTTTATTTGTGATTTTTATTTATATGGTTTATTAACTTTGATTTTGTTCAATTTCTTTAAGGCAGTGGTCTACCTGAAGATAACACCTTGAAGTATTTAGAAACTGTTGCCATACAAATTGCGAGAGATATTGCTTCCGGAAAAATTAAAATAGATAGGTCAAAGAAAGGTCTAGTTGAAAAAATAACAGCAAATGTTATGAAATTTGATTTTGTTAAAAATTTCATTTTCAACAAAGCGAAGGAACAAGTTATGAAGGCTTCCCGCGGTCTTTATCCAGCACCACTGAAGGTTAATTTATCGAACCAATTCTCTTACAAATAATCCAGTCATTTGTTACTATGAATTTAATGACTTACTTTAGTGAATTTTTGGAAAATCCATGAACACCTTTATTAAATTGCATTATACTATATAGTATAATTTGCCTTTTTGCTTATACTAATTATAAAACTGATTGTTTATTTGCACCGTTAACATTCTTTGTATGAAAATAATAATTTATTATTAACTATACATATTTAACAGATTCTGGAAGTAGTAAGAGTTGGAGTTGACAAAGGTCCAGCTGCAGGTTACGAAGCAGAAGCACAAGGATTTGGAGAATTAGCGATGACACCACAAAGCAAGGGTCTTTTTGGTCTTTTTAGAGGACAGACGGAATGCAAAAAAAATAGATTTGGCAAATCCCAAGTTGATGTTAAAACGGTAAGACTTTTAACTTGTGTTCATATTATAGTATTATATTAATTACTACATATTATAAAACAAAATCCTCCACTGTATCTGTTTATCTGTATGTTCATGATGATCTCAAAAAATACTGAACGGATTTTTTATGCATATTTTATTTATCAACAGTGTTTCTCAAGGAAGGTGTATAATTTGATAAGGTTGTGTAAATTTGCTAATATATATTGTTTGATTGTTGAAAATGTCGGAGTGACTCAAGCTATTTGGAAATTTTCATCATAAACACTGCCCCAATCCGTTTGAGATATACAATTTATAGTGTTATGGTTTCTCTTTTATTGGACTATAAGAAAAGTCCGCGATGGCATGTCTATCCTTTAAGAATAGCTTAAGAATACTATACCCATTATGGTATTTGCAAAAACAATTTAGACGGATACATAATCATTATCAAATGTGTTAGTTACCTTGAGCATTTCATACACATTATAATAACCCTTTACACGATACAATCGCAAATTAAAAACTGCCCGAGAAAATAAATTCAAGCAGTCTCGCACTCTCGCAGCAATGCAACGTGACGATGAAACTCCCATGACACAAACATTCTCACCTGCGTTCCACCACCTGCTCTACTCGCCTACTGTGTTGTATAAGCCAAGTGATAATATGCTCGATTCCTCATACACATATATATATATATACACTCGACTACCTATGCGAAAACGACTATACTTTACTAAGTATAATTTCTAAATAGGCATAAAAAAGAGATTGTTATACTTTCATATGAGAATGTTACTTTATATCTCAAATATTTCTCAAATGAATGTATAAACTATTTTTTACAGATTGGTGTCCTAGGTGCCGGCTTAATGGGAGCTGGCATTGTTCAAGTATCTATTGATAAAGGTTACAATGTAGTCTTAAAAGATGCAACAAATGCTGGTCTCTTCAGAGGAGTGGGACAAATACAAAATGGGCTAGCTAATGCTGTCAAGAGGAAAAGAATCTCTTCGTGAGTCTATATAGTGTTCTGTTCTTTGTACAAGATGCGATGCTGTGATGCAATGTTGTATGCCCCCTAAAAAAGACTTCCAGATGAAGTCAAAACAACTGTTGATGTCTTGAAAAGATATAGAAATTCAGTAGGAATTGCAGTAGAATATTTAGTCAAATTTTATTTGGCAAATATGAGGAAATTTATAATCGAAAACAAATAAATTTAATAATATTGTAGTTTTAATATAGAAAATAGTAAATTAATACAAAAACAGCCAGGTGTTAATATTAAAATACTAAAAAGCTTTAACAATATATACCAATAAGACTTAATGGTATTTTCAATTATCTGAAAGGTAAATTGAAATTTAAATAGATATGATACTTGAAAAGCAAACACGAGCGATAATGTCACAATTAAAGTTTATAGAAAACTTCTTGTAAAATACGTCTATTTCAAATACAGTTTGTATTTAACTGTAGTAAATACCTTCATGCTAGGTTCGTTTATACTCACATATAAAGCTACTTCCTCCACTTGCATGATATTCAATTCTATGCAAAATGATATACAAATGTATTTTACAGGTTAGAAAAAGACAGATATTTATCAAGCCTGCAACCAACATTAGACTATAATAAGTTTAAGAATGTAGACTGTGTCATAGAAGCTGTTTTTGAAGATATTAACATTAAACACAAAGTAATCAAAGAACTAGAGGCTGTTGTTCCAAAACATTGCGTTATTGCTACAAATACGAGTGCTATTCCTATAACAAAAATCGCCGCTGGAAGTAGCAGGCCTGACAAGGTGATTGGTAAGTAAATTTATAAATACTGATAAATAAATATTGCTAGAAAAGTTGACAACAATTTTTGTATCATATGACCAACGCAGTAACAATTTAACATGTGAAAGCTCATAATTTATTATTACAAAAAAACGATATTTATAACACAACGACATAAATTGCAATACATCCAAGTCTGGCAACGCCAGAATTTTTTGTCAATATTCGAAAATAATTTCAAAATTTGCAATTTTTTATTATTTCTTTCTTAATATATTTATTTTCAGCGCATAAACCGAATTAACAAACATACCGTACACAGTATTTTGATTAATTATTAAAAAGTGTTCAGTTAATGAAGTAAAATGTTAATCATGCAAATAAAATCCTTATAAAACTCATGCGCAATTTGAATTTTGACAACAATAAAGTATTCAATACTTTATTGCCGACAAAATTCACTCACGAAACTAAATACGAAATAAGTACAAAAACTTTATTTGCAACATATTCCATGATTATTATTTAAGTTTGTTATCAGAACACTAACTAATCGATCAGAAATAATTAAAATTGTTCAATTGATATTGAAAATTCAAACATTGCCAGACTACGGTAAGATTCGATATGAACTCTCTTAATGAGCATAACATTAATTAATTCAAAAACCTATGGTTTGGAACATTAAATATTTTCGCATTTGTTTTTATATAATTTAATCAATATGAATGCTTTTAATCTTTTTCTAATGTGACATACACCCATAGATTTAATAAAATACTACTACCAACCTTTTTTCAAAAATTATTCAATCCTAAAAATCCATTATAGATAAATTTTATGATAACTGATGTTAATTTTACTAAAATTTAATTTTTTACAGGCATGCATTACTTTTCTCCTGTGGATAAAATGCAGTTATTGGAAATCATTCGCCACCCAGGAACAAGCGACGACACAGCCGCTGCGGCCGTGGCCGTGGGCTTACGTCAAGGCAAAGTAGTAATTACCGTCGGCGATGGACCAGGATTTTATACTACCCGCATTCTCTCAACTATGTTAAGTGAAGCTATAAGGTAAACTACCAAGCTAAATAAAATTGTATTCATATCATAAGAAGGTGAAATTAATTACCTATATAAATATATTATTCTAGACTCTAGAATGACATATAGTTTTAAATACAAAAATTCTTATGACTCTTGAAAAACGAATATCGGGTAATGCTAAGTTGCGTTACGAACACCACAAATCTTTCTTTATTTTTTACTACTGAGAATGATAATAAAATCAATAGCCCTCTTACACACCACCAAGAACATGATGAAGTGACTAAGCTGCAATGGCTGCGCTGCCACTCTTAATGACTAGAGTGGATGTACCTTCAAACCAAATTAATAACACAAATACAGTTTATAGCAAACATACAAAACTTTTAACAGTTTGTACAGTGCTGCATACAAAAATATAATTCTTTTATATATAGAATGTGTTACAAAAATTATGTTCAAGTTATTTTTTATTAGGTATAAGTATATATATATTAATGCTTCACGTCAGATATTAATAAAGTGGTTATCTCCACAGAGGCATGTTACACAAAGCTGTAAAGTAACTTTTAAGCATAATCTATTTGGTTTTACTTTATAAGGTTACTGCAAGAAGGTGTAGGTCCCAAGGAACTGGATAACATGACCACACAATTTGGATTCCCTGTTGGTGCAGCCACATTAGCAGATGAAGTGGGTATTGATGTCGGCGCTCATATTGCAGTAGATCTTGCTAAGGTTTGTGAATTATAAATACCTATATAAATAATACTTCAAAGAAACTTATTAATATCCTCAAGAGAGAGAATATTTAACAAAAATAAAAAGTAAACAAATTATTTCAAAAGAATTAGGTAATCACCCATATAATATATTATCACATGTGCGGTACTTCAAACATCTTTAAAAATTAATTTGTTGTGTCTAAGACCTTGCTGCTTGCTGCCTGCTTTTTAATATTAATTCGTAATGTATGCTTATTTTATTATTAATTAGTGACTCGTCGTGGATATGCATAGGTGCAATATGTAGTGCATACAAGTTTCCCATAACAAATATCAAATTAAATTAAAAACCCATATTAAAATGTTGTGTGGATTAGAAGTAAATAGAGAAACAAACATATATAGATAGCAACTACTTTTAATTGATTAATTGATTATTACTTACAGGCCTTTGGTGATCGTATCAGCGGTGGCGACTTAGGCATTATGCAAGACTTTGTAAAAGCTGGATTTTTGGGCCGAAAGTCAGGAAAAGGTGTTTATGTATATGAGAAAGGAACAAAGAACAGGGATGTAAATCAAGACGCTGTACAACTTTTGAAAGACAAATATTCATTGGAACCCCGTGGTGCTAACACAGTAGAAGATCAACAATTAAGGATGGTGTCAAGGTAAATGTTAACACAAACTCACAGTAAATATATGATACAGTATATTTTGTCACAAATTTGTATTTTGTTCTGTTATGTGGTCCTGGCATAGAATAGGCCACCCCTTCTTTTTCTGTGGATGTCGTAACATTCGACTAAGGGAAGGCGAGGGATGGGCACCAGTGTCCTTTTTAAAATATCTCTAAAGCCTAATTGCAGTTGCCAACCCACCTGCCAAGCGTAGCAACTACAGGCAAAACCCCCTAAAGGGGAGGCTTATGTTCAGCAGTGGACAGTTAAAAGCTGATATGATGATGATTATTATTATTATTATTTAGATTTCTACAAGATTCACATCTCCCCTCTTAAGGAGAAGAGATGGCAACTAACCCCCAGCAGAAGCATAGTCGGCTGAGGTTCAGGGCCCCAGGGAGAGAAACTGGTGTACAATGCCGTACAAATTAATATTATTATATTTTGTTATTGTCTATTCTTTCTCCAGATTTGTGAATGAAGCTGTTTTATCACTAGAAGAAAAAATCCTCCATAGTCCATTAGAAGGTGATGTTGGCGCTGTATTCGGTCTTGGATTTCCGCCATTTACTGGTGGCCCATTCAGGTGGGTAGACCAATTTGGTGCTGGCAAACTAGTGAAGAAAATGGAAGAATACCAAAGTCTTTATGGAGCTCCATTTAAGCCAGCTCAAACTCTTGTAGACATGGCTAAAGACAGCAGTAAGACCTTTTACAAAAATTGAAAAATATTTTATTCATTTATTACTACATAATATATTGTTATTTATATAAAGCTTGTGCTCTCAAAAAGAAGTTATATTTGTGTACTCTAGTGAACTTGGCATTTTATTTATTATAATAAAATGTACTTGTCTTCCACCCAATCGAATAATTAATTGGTCTAGTTAGGTGAAAGTATTTTAAATATCATCATGCATGTCAGTTGGAAGAATGATCGTCCTTTTATTTATTATTAATAGTGTAACTGAGATTGCTAATAAATTATGTTTTATTATATCTGTATTTCAATGATCATACATTATAGTTTATTATTAGCATAGAGAAATAAATTAGTATTAATGACATAACATTCAAGTATTTTAATATTTGATGTCCCATTAAATATAATTGAGTCTAGATTTATAACTTATTCTTTCTTACCTACAACCACAAAGATTATAATACTCTTCATCATCATCATTTCAGTCATTAATTATCCACTTCTGGACATAATCCTCCCATAGACTGTCATAGGGAATGGTCCTGAGCCACCTCTATCCACTGACTCCCTGCAATGCATTCGAGGTCGTCACTCCATCTAGTGAGGGGTCGTCCTACAATGCGTTAGCCCGTGCAGATTCGCCACTAAAGAACCCAGTCTTCCCCATCGGTTGTCAAGCTATGTGTCGATCAGTCCATTACCACTTCAGCTTGCTTGTCCTTCGGTCTATATCGGTTACTTTGTTTTTTTCTTGTGGATATCCTCGTTTCGAATTCTATCACGCAAAGAGACTTCGAGCATAGCCCTCTCCATATGGGGGAAAGGGATTGTTAGTAATGGAGACTGAGAATCCTATTGCTAGCAATATACCCAACCAGGTCGACCTCACGGTTCTCCCTGGAAATTTTTGTTAATTCATCATGATGGACTAACTGACCTGTTTTCATTCTCATCTATCACCTTTCATTGGTGCTCCGCCAGCTTATCCCGTTAGCGCAGGCGGGGTACCATACCATTTTCACCCATTAAAAAAAGCCCTCTCTGTATCCCGCTGAGTAATTTAAAGCTTTTGCATACGAACAATCGTACACGATTCGTACGAACCGAAACATGGTCCTACAGACCATATCTCAGTTCCATAGGTCATCACTGGCAACACGTACTGGTACCTTTGTCTTCAAACTGAGGTATTTTGAATAAAAAGATGCAGCGTAATTTTGCGAACGCTGCCTGATCGAGTTGGATTCGTCTCGAGAGGATTGACCTCACGGTAGAAGTTTTTTTTTCAGTGGCTGTTAATGGAATGTTTACCCCATCTATGCTACCGGTACACGCTGACGGGGCACCAGTGAGTGATAATAGGTGAGGATGAAAGCAGGTCAGTTGGCCCATCGTGACAAATTCAAAAATAATTAACCAAGATGGTATGGACTGGAAACTGCGTGAAACTCGATCTGATAGGGTATATTGCTAGTAATAGCTTGCTCATTACTAACAATTCCCTTCACCCCATTTATCGAAGTTGGACTTACCTAGTCGAACAATTTCACCTGTTAAAAAAGTCGGACAACTTATCCCAGGTATTCATACTCGTCGACAACTTCGAGCGTAGTGTTCTCAATCTTAACCAGTATAAGTGTGACAAACGTTACACATGATTTTAGTATTGTCCATGTACAATAATACTTAGTCATAGAATATTTGAATACCCATCCTAATACGGGGGGGAAGGGATCGTTAGTAATGCGGGCTACCTGTCCCATTGCTAGCAATATACCGTGTCAGGTCGACCTCCACGCGGTTCCCTCTGAAAACCATCGTGCTGAGTTCCATGTGTATTCATCACGATGGGCTAACTGACTTGCTTTTTTTCATTATTCACCTATCACCCCTCACTGGTGCCCCGCCAGCGTATACCGATAGCGCAGGCGGGGTTACCATTCCATTAATCATCCATTAAAAAAAAACCCATCCTAATACTCGAGTACGTATCCGAATTCTCAAACTCGAATCAGGATTCGAATCTTCAACAAAAATCAAAGAAGCAACTTTACATTACACAAATACCGTAGAACGGGGTGAATAGGAGAATTAAAACTTCGTTTTACTTTTCGTGTTTATTTAATTTATTAGTAGTAACATTTGATAATTCAACAGACAATCCGGGATCATAATCTTTGAAATTTAAATATATATAATTAACTAATCGCCTAGTTTTCTTCAAATTTTCCGAAATGTTCATTTTCTATATACCCTTAGGTTGGGGTGAAAAAAAAAACGAGAGAGGAATATTAATAGAAAAATTAGCAAGGATTGTAATTTTTATAGTAATTTTAAGTACGTATGTAGATATTCTTATTTATTATTCTTATACTGAGTATTAAATATACGTAGACATATGTTAACAGACTCAGCGTGTCTTTATATTTTAATAATAGTTATATGTCTGAAGTAACAGTGTAAAAAATGAAAAAGTAGTTAGCATTAAACAGTTTTACACAAAATAATTTCTCACTATTTAATAATGTAATTATATAGTAACGTTTTAAGTTGGTAAAAACAATTTTGATAAACCTAAACGACAAACTCTTTTTATCTTTTAAAAACACTTCATCGCCCCCTTTTTAATTTCTATCGACCTCTTTAGCGATTCAAATTACCTCATTTTTTACAAAAGTTTATACGATATAACTTACTTATTTTGTACAATAATAACAACCTACCTTTTATATATTCATTCGATTCAAAATATATACACTGTGAAAAATAAACAACGGCTAAGGTATAAAGAATATAAAAACATTTTAAAATTTAGGACTTTCGTACTAAAAGATTCAAAATACGTTTTCACATAGATTAAACATATTTGGCATTTGATAATAATTACTTTTTTATTTAGTTTTATGGGCTTTTGCCTTCTTCAGTATATATATATATATATATATATATATATATATATATATATATATATATATATATATATATATATATATATATATATATATATATATATATATATATATATATATATAATAAAGTTTTATTTACTTTCCTTAATCACGGAAAGAGAGAAATTAATAATTACCTTAGAACTATGAGGCCTCCGTTGCTAGCAACATACCCTATCTTTTTTTATTAGATGATAATGGAATGGTAATAACGGTATACGCCGGCGAGGCACCAGTAAGATTATTTTTAATGAGTGAAAATGCAACGCTTGCACTTATAATATACGTTGGCAGAGCACCAGTGAAAGATGATAGATGAGGGTGAAGGCAGGTCAGCTCATCGTGAAGAATTTAACAAGAATTAAGCACGATAGTTTGCAGGAGAAACCACGTAGATGTCTACCTGACAGTGTATATTGCTAGCAATGGCGCTGTTAGAACCCATTAACAATCCCTTTCCCACGGGTACCAGTGAGATATGATAGGTGACGATGAAAAGGCAGGTCTAAATTGGCAACATTACTGACAACTAATAAAAAGAACATTCCAGCGATCGAGTCGACTAGGCTACGTTCGTATCGTCTTGTGCATAAACAACTACTAATGAATGACTTTAGCAATTAGTACAAACGTATAATAATGGCAAATAAAATTAGTAGTCAAATTAATAAAATTAATAGATATATGATTTGAAAATATTCGAATAATTCGATAAATTGCTCACTCGAATATTTAATCGTATTAGTACATTTGAACATCACTATATTTGACAATTGATATTAAAAAATGGCAAAACAGTTTACAATTTTACATTTTCATAAATATATTTTTATCTGAAATATATTTTTTCGTTGAATTCCTTGTTTTTGCTATCATTATATCTAAAACTTATGCAACGATTAACAAATAATTTCATAAGTGAATGTTGTGATTATTGTCAATATATTGATAAGATTTTACTTTCTGATGACCATTTATCTTTCTAAAGTAAGTACTCATTTATTGTAGGTGCCGCAAGTTGAATTAAAATATTTTCGCCTTCACATATTGATAAAATAATTTGTAATTTCAGGAACTAGTGGTATTACTCTACATGAAACTAATTAGATACCTAAAGCCGATTACATTTATTTCCACCCTGGCTCCTATGTTACAATCAAATAATAATGTTGATAAAAGTAGGTTCAATAAAAAACAAACAATGGAAAAGAATATTAGAACATATTATTTACTTGGCAATAGTATTTATTTTGATTCCAGGCTTCTTTTACTTTGAACTCTGTATAGTTTTACCTGCTGTTGTGGAAGAATGGACATTTACTTACTTTGTCCACTTAATTAGTGCAACATTTTTATTACTGAACATTTTAGGCAATATGATCTATGGAATGTTTACTGACACCACAATCAAAGGAAGATATCTTGACGGCTTCAACAAGTGTAACTGGACAGTTTGTAGTGTATGTGAATGTATCCGACCACCACGTGCCTGGCACTGTAACACTTGTGATATTTGTATTTTAAAAAGAGATCACCATTGCACATTTTTTGCATGTTGTATAGGTTATTATAACCATAGATATTTTATATTATTTACACTGTATATATTTATATCTATGGTGTATGCATTTTATTATAATGTGAAATTTTTAGCACAATTTATTAAATGGAACCATGGATTAATTATTATAAAATTTATATTCCCCTTAGCTAGTTTTTTTATAGACTTTGGTAAAGAAAGCCTTTATGTATTTTTAGTTGTTATTAATGTTATTATTGGGGTGTTCTCAGGTTTTTTGTTCTTTTATCACTTTAATAATTTATTAAAAGGCAAAGTGGTCCCCGAAACAAAAAATGACAATAAAGGGTCATCATATGATAGAGGTTGGAAAGCTAATTTAATAGAGGTATTTGGTTCCAGGTGGTATTTAACTTGGATATCACCATTTGTACACAGTCCTTTACCAGGTAATGGGATTGAGTGGGTAGTTGAAGACAAGTATAGTTAAAATACACCAAATCATAGTTTAAATTTAAAAAAATATATAAATATTAATGTAAGTCTGAACTTTGTAAATAATGTGAAAAGTACAAACATTGCTATAAATCAGATTAAATTAATTTACACAATTTTGCTAATAACTGTAAAAGATTTTACAAGAAGGCATTTTTATATAGTTATAAAAATTGTATTACACATTTATAATATATATAAAATTTCAAATATACAATGTAGTATTATTACATTAAACTATATCAGTTAAATAAAAATCAAAATCATCAACTCTAAAATGTGTTATACTTCATTTATTTTATTCTGAATAATTTGATTCTAATAATTTACAAGTTATATATACTTCACTAATTATAATATTTATTTACATAAATATTGTTCATAAATAAGTACATTGGGATAAATTTTGAAATATCATTTCATAAATCACTAAATTTTTTTTTATAGTTAAATTTTTGATAATTTAGTGCAGTTTTCAATCTTTTTCATGATGCGACTCCCTTATTATGTAAAAATATCTTGCGACCCCCTTAGTATGTAAAAATATCTTGCGACCCCCTTAGTATGTAAAAATATCTTGCAACCCCCTTAGTACATAAAAATATCTTGCAACCCCTTTAGTATGTAAAAATATCTTGCGACCCCCTACCCTCCACGGTTTCGAATGTGTATGAATTTTATTATAGTACAATTATGAAATCCATACAGTTGTATTTATATTCACAGTTAGGTTTCGATAAAATAAATAATAATAAAGTATCTAAAACAGACATGTAATCGATGTCTGTTATAGATACTTCATTATGATTCTATCATGATGATATGATTCATTGATTGATGTATTGACGGAACTGTTGATTTTTCACTGCTTCGCGACCTTCCGCTGCCTTCCTTGTAGAGGCTTGGGGACTCTCCTAGGGATCGCAACCCACACTTTGAAAAACACTGGTTTAGTGAAAGTAATATGTATTAGGGGCCGTTCAAGTATTACGTAAGCACTATGGAGGGCGAGGGGTCTTTGCTTTGCTTATTTTGGATGACATGAGAGGTAGGGGAGTCTAGATGATGATTACGTCATCGGTAGTTATTTACTTTTTTACACGAATGTCAATCCTCACATTGTCTTTGCTTAAAAACGAAACGCATTGTCGAGGATTCCCGCAAATAATGCATACGTTTAGGCACTCGCTTTAGAACCGAGTAGGGGAATTATCGCGCGCTATTCACTTGTTTAAATTTTCTCTGTCTATGTATTGTTTCGTTTGGATACTATAGCGAGTAGACGTATCCATAAAAAAGTAAACACGCACACTGATAGGAAAGTTAGATCTGTAAGAGTCGCTGCTCATCGTGCTATTGAACTGATGTGCATTATTCAAAATTTAGAGCACCATGATATTGAATGACTCGATGAGAACGATTTAGAAATTCCAAATTAGAATGAAAGTGAGCAGACTCACAACACTAAGCAGCAATCCAATGTACTTAAAACTTAGAACTTAAAACTTAGAATCATGGATTCGGGTTTCATGGACTGAAAATTGTTAATTTGAATTTAAAATGTGTACCAAACATTTAAAAATAGTTTGTTATGTTTGTAAGATTATAATATTTTTGTTCCTTACTCTATGTTGAATACCGTATCAGTAAAATCTAATCTCTACCATAAATCCATTTTCTTATTTTTAAAATTATAATTATAACATAAAAAAATAATTCATTATTTAAAAAATGTTTACGTAAGCATAAGAGGGAGGGGGTAAGAGCTTTGCTTACTTTTGCTGACAAGGGGGATGGGTGGGGAGGGGGTTAATAATTGTAATAAATCTGCTTATACTTGAATGGCCCCTTATCAATAAAATAGTTGAGAATAAAATCCGTTTATAAATTTAGTTATTACTGGTCTTTGAAATAACAATTTTGCAATAATATCAAACTGAATTTCCCCATTTTCGGAATAGAGAATGATATTTCAGAACCAACCCATTATCCTATTGTCTGTCTGGAATGTTGGTGTTTGGCAATATTTGTGATAAATATCTACTGCGTATTCTATCAGAATGGGCTTGTGCAATATTACGTTGCATGACAGGAGAAGGAGATTCCAATGCATCTGTTTGTCTTGTTGAATCTGTTTCTTCCCTGTTCGTTTCCACTTCATTTTCCAATAAATTTGCAATTTCGTCAGAATCATTAGTCCTAAAATAAATTAAACAAATTATTCAAAGCTAGTATATATAGTAACAGCTGATAATTATCACTAAAACTAAATATATAACTTACTCTTTAATGGAATCTCTCATGCTTGGCGACATATTTAATATACCACTACCAGTGGAGTCAATGATGTATATAAGGACAGCAGCAATCAAAGAAACTACAAATATACAAACATTATTAAAGGTAAATCTCAAACATATGTTACTTCAAAATTACAAAATGTATAAAATCTTACCAAAAAGACAACCCAAAAAGAACATTTCCAACATTAAATAACCATATTTGTCAACGATAATGCCTGCTAATATTATAACAGTAGCCAGACCCAAGTTTTGAACAGCTTGGCAACTGAAAATAACAATTTAATAGTACTTTGTAATTAGTTGGTTACATTTTATCATATTTCCCATGTGGTCCCGGCATAGAATAGGCCCCTCCCTTCTTTCCCATTGGTGTTGTAAGAGGGGACTGAGGGAAGACAAGAAATGGATAGCAGCATAATTTTTAAAATATCTCCAAAGCCTAACTGTGGTTGCTAGTCCGCCTGCCAAGCGTTGTAGCTCCTGGTAAAACCTCCCTAGGGGAGGAGTCTTATGTTCAGCAATGAATAACGGCTGAGGTGCTGTTAATTTTATCATATTATTATACTAATATAGTCAGTCTATCTATTTTTCACATTTTTCTTGATGAACTACAGGATTAATTTGTTAATTGTGGCGAGCCACAGATTTTACGTTGCGATCTATCGCTATTTGGCGAAAAAAAAAATTTTTAGAATATAAGTTTCTTAGTAAATACTTTTCTAAAATATATAGTTACATATGTACGTGATTTTCTTGGTTCTGACAATTAAATGGATGTATAAAATAATAACTTACATTCCATAAGCTGTTCCCAATTGATTTTGTGCTACGATTAAGGCCACCAGTGGCCACAAACCACTTGCTAATAATGAATATGATATTCCTAATGAGATCTGAAAATTAAACAACCTGTGATAATAATGTGTGTAATAGTATTACCTATGTACATACACATATAACCTAAATGCATATTAAAAAAAGGCTATTGGGGTCGACTCTGAGGCATCATTTCTTTAGAGAAATGGTGCGAGTTCATTCAGTTGCGTTTTAATGATGGATCTAAACCTAAATCCATAAAACAACACATGTAAGGTATTATGGGCGACAGTATACTTTGTATATATATTGAAATTTAAATCATATGTTCATCTATTGAAAAGTATTCATCTTTTAATTCCACTGCCGTATCTTTATTTTTGACATCGAGCCCCTTACAAATTAAGCTGAAATTACTGAATATCAAAAACCTATACTATCCTTCTATTTATTACATACTTAAATGGAAATAAATTATTTAAAGAATATCTTACCACTCCTATATATGGGTTACAAAATGTGAAAGCGAGCATAAAGTGTGCACCAATAGTAGTCAGAATACTTATAATAACCCACATAACATTTCTTCCAGTCTTGTCAATTAAAATACCAAAGAAAGGACTTAACGCTGCTGATAACAAATAAACCATTGAATTTGCAGTGTTAGCATCTTGAGGCAAGAAGTCAAATTTTCGTTCAAAAAATAATCTAAAACAAATTTAATTTTATTATAGTTATATTAAAAAAACTTAAATCATATATAAAATATGTATGTATATTAATAAAAATACTACTTACTTTCCCAAAGCAATAAATGGAAATATAGCCAAGTAATATGCAACACAGATCACAGAAACAAGCCAAAACACAGATTTGAAATTTAAAATATCCTTAAGATGAAATGGTTCTTCATTGGCTTGTTCATCTTGTCTCCCAAGAATCTTTTCAGCTCTATAGTCCATCCATCCCAGAATTAAACCGCAAACCAAAGATATAAGACAAGTAAGAGCGGCTAAAAAAATAAAAAAGTGTTACCGCAGAAAGTAATAAATCTCAAAACTGAGAAACGAATTTTTGAAACCTACCAATAAATAATGCAATGCCTAGCCTTTCGTAACCCCCATAGTAATTAGCAACCCATCTATAAATAGGTTCCATAACCCAAAAATTGACTGTGCTTCCAAATCTAGAAAAGGACAATTGTAGTCCAAAAACCATGTTCAGTTCCTTTCCTTTAAACCAAAGAACAACATAGTTGTTCACGGCTACTTGTAGTGATTCTCCTCCAATTCTGAAAAAAAAAAATGTATACCAGTCTATTTTTTTATTTTTACTGTTTAATAATAGTAATAGTTTGAACAACTTCACTCATAAGTCTCATATATTGAAATATATTACAAAAAGTTGTATATTTAAGGAATGGTAGTAAATCGTTCGATAGACACCAAATCGATAGTTGGTTATTTATTAGGTATATAATTATATTGATTATAGTGATTTTGGGAACAAAATACAATATCACATCGACTATTCAAATTCCTAAAATCTAATGAATGGAAAGTAGATGATAATAAAAATATTAAATATATATCATTAAACAATAGATAATGTTCTCTTGTAGATAGATACTTCTTCATTGACCCAATTCAATGTATTATATTTACATCTATAAATGGAACGTAATTATTAGATAACGATTACAAAGTACCGACCAAGCATACTTATGCAAACGATAGGTACTATTATTTCTAAGCACTATATATTGCCTGCAATTTAACTTCACAGAATTTCAAATGAGCTTCTTTTTAATTTTGTAAATTCCCATTTCAGAAAATTATCAAAGTATTATGAGTAGGTAAATTATTAAAAATAATTTCAAGATAGTCCCTATAAATGGTCATAATAGTAAGTAGGCTGGATTGTGTCACAATAAACCATTGTGTTGTGTTGCTAAGCCAATATTGGTTTTAATAAAGAATGAAACACAGTAGGCCATGTTTTAGTAAATAAATAATTAACAAAATATAACCAGTGGTGCCAATTAACCATTGCCATTTCAGAGTGTTGAAGTACAAGTACAGTATGTATGATATATACACTACACTAATAAAATACGAAACTGACCCAAGCGAGCACAGGCCATACACATGTGTGAGGGTGTCGCCTTCTGGTGATGAATGTTTCTGGACCATATACACACATTCATTATACACAAAATTCCCCGAATTAGCTAACCGAACGACGACTTCATGCCTTCCGCCGTACGAATCAAGTAACAGTTATTTGTAAATGATTCAAAAACAATTTGCAATTTCACTAAAATTCTATAAATAATTCTGGACTATAAAATTTATGTATACATAATACATAAATTTTTCAGATCAGAATGTTTCGGTAATCGTGAGTTCAACCCTTGCTTAATAATTTTTTTATCATGAATGTCTGCTTGTATTGTTCTGTTTATCGTAAATTGTCTTCATTATAAATGATGATATTTACATAACAAACAATTATTTGGGTATATAATATTTAGCCAGGTACTTAATAGGTATTTAATATTATTTTGGCAACATTCTATATAAAATATAACATATTTTAAAACTAGCTTCATACATAGTATGTACCTAGTTTAATATACAACAATGAATTTGATAAAATAAAAATCTTACCCAAAAATAAATCTGCCCAGAATCATTACCCAAAATGCATTGACATATACTCCAAAGGCAAATATTACAGCTCCAATTAGAACTATTGTCATATATATTATAGTGCCTAATCGAACACCGAAATATCTGAAAAGAAAAGCATATTAACCTCTAAAACATAATTTTTAATGTCGATTTTTCCCCCTGATTACCCAATCATTGATATTAAAGTTAATATTTTATATTATTACATAGTTACGTACAATACAATGCATGTTCCAGTGACGAATTTAAACATTTGCCGCCAGTAGGCTATACAAATTTTGCCGACCCTACCGACGTTTACATTAAGATACCCTAGTTCACAATCATATTTATTACAATTTATTTTTCCAATAAAACTGTAACTTTTAGCCTCATATTTGCCGCTCTAGCTTACACAGTCTGCTGGTAAATCTGATACTGGCATGTACCAAACCCATGGCGTTTACGCTGCGCTAGTTGACTTATAGTAATCTCGTGTTACATAAAGAGAGTAATATTTTTTTTATTATTAGAAGTGATAATTTATTTTCGTGACGCACTATATTCAATTTTTTAAGTGGTGAAAGCCTTCGTCACACTTTTATGATTTGAAAAATCTAACGAAGAGACCTAATCATCCTTGTACAGATGGAGGGATCTCTTGTGGAAACGGATTTCTATTTTCTCAAATAATTTATAAAGTATTAGTTTTTGCATCACAATTTTTCTGATTTTTGGAAGTAAGATAAATAATGAATAGACCACTTCTATATGGTGTATCACAATAAAACAAACAACAGAGTTTAACCTTCAGCAACAACTATGAAAACCGCATCCAATGTGATGCAACTATTTGCCAGAACAAACATACAGACAGATAAAATTTTTAAAATTATTGTTTTCTATTTAACACCTTTATTAAGACCCATCATATCAATTTTGCCTAAAATATCACCCATGTGCAGATACCATTTAGTTAAAACATGTTATGACATATTATGTTAATAGTCTAACCAAATGTGTGTCTTACATCAATACAATATTTCAGGACAGTTGATATCAGAGGTACAATCTGTAAAATATCTATCCTGAGGCTATAAATATTTCCTTAAATAATAGTAGTAACTAGTATCCACAATACTCTATTAAAGTTTATCTAAGTTTTTAAGATATCAAGAACAGTTTATAAGTTTGCTCTATTTTATAGATAAACTGTCAAGACTTTATAAATGGTGCTGCATTGCATTGGTCCATATGTTAAATACATTAGAATTATCATGAACTTATTTAATTAATATAACAAACGATTTCTGAGGATATACAAACCTATCAATTAGATAACCACCAATGAAACATAATATTACATTAGGCCATGAGTAAATAGAGTACAACAATGCAAACTGAGATGTGTTTAAATGTGAGTCATCCTTGAAATTATCTACCAGAGCTCCGGGTGTGTCATAACAGAAATAGGAACCTGAAACCAAATGTTTTTTAAATAATGAATACTGGTGAACAATTGCATTATTTTGCTAAAATAGAAAAAAAAAATTATGCAACTTAGAATTGCAAACAAGCTGACAGCCCACTTGATGGAATCGTCTGACCGATTATCTATTACCCGTCACCTATAGACATAAGTAGTACCATGGACATAACAGAGTATTCTGTTTCGCCCATGATACCCCCCCCTCCCCATGTATTGCTATTCCTGAGGACTCAGGTCTTATTCCTCTGTATTCTGTAAATTCACTGCCATATCCCACCCTTCAAGTTGAAATACAGCCACACAAACATACAAGAAACACAAATAGGACAAGGTGCCCAAGCATCAATATATATTTAATTATATATTTATTTACTCTTTGTTGCACCACTTAAAAAATAATAGAAAGATAAATATACATTATGAAATAAAAAAAATATATAAAATATAAAAGGTGGTATATATACTTATGAAATATAAAAGGTGGTTTTATCACTAAAGTAATCTCTTCCAGATGTCCAGTGAAGAGAGGAGAAATATATATTGTTTTGACAAGAAATATTTGAAATGTTGATTAAATAATGGGATGTTAATGGTATTAGTATAAAAATTCAGAAAACTGTAAAAATGGACATGAACAGATGAAATCATAAATAAAGTTAAGTATGGCAGAAATTTAAATAAATAAGTTGTTATTGTTTTAAGCTATAAATTGTAAGCTGTTGGTTTTCCAATAAATAAATAAATAAATAAAATGTACCGAATTACATGTACATAAATGTAAGGATGGTACTCACCAAAACAAAGAAAACACATCAATAACAATGCAATAAACCGATGTACTTTGTGTGCAGGGTGGCACCATGATGTTGGTGCTATGTGAGTGGACACACTAGTACTTAAACCAGGATCCTCCATATTCTTGAAAAACAATAGTCAAAATTTTATGGAAGTCACAGGTATCTGTGGATATTAACAAACGCATAAGTATGTTAAATTAGTTACAATGTATCAATAAACTTACAAATAAAAGGGCGTTTGATAATAATATTCTCCACCTAAATCTTCTGTCAGTGAGTACTTTATTTAAATCTCACTTCGGTAATTTTAGACTTTAATTATAATATAAAATGATAATTTTAACACTTACTTGTATCACTTTCTTATTTTATCTTCTTATATAGTCAAAAATTCACACTCAAAACCAACAAACAATATCACATTATTGAGGTTCATTTGCTAGATAGTCGATAAAAACAAAAAATAATTAGTAAATAACATTATTATATTAGCAAATAAATAATGTTAAACTATTTTAAACTGTCTACACTTCTGAAGAAATAAGTTCTTTGTGAGATAAATAATAATAGGTAGGTAATGTTTTGATTTTTAATTTATCCACAGATCATATAAAACACAACAGAGTAACTTTTGACGCAATCAATTTGGTATCCAAACGAATAAATGTTAATTCCACTATCTTAGGTTCTTCCTTAATCTACTTTATGTGTCTAAACAGTGCACAGATCAGGTAATCACTATTATAAGAATTGTTAACAGCCTTATTTCCACGAAACCTAGAAAATAAAATGTATGTAATCGTTTTAAAGTATCAATGAATATTATAAAATAAAGCAAAATAAGTAAATATCCATAATGTTATACCACTATTTATATATGCCTTCATCCTTAATATCAATATCGAATGTTATTATAAAGGTCTAGCTATTTGATAATATAAAATTTTTATATTTTAGGAAAATTGTCATCAAAATAAATAAGTATGTTTAGTTACTTTGTTTTGTTCAATTTCAATTTTAAATTCAATTTTTTTGACAGGTGCTTAATGCAAGGTCTCTTTGCGCATTAAATAATAGTTACAACTGTTGTGCCGACTTAAACAGCATCTAAAAAAATAAAGCACGTATTCATTTCTAAAGAGCATATAAATACGTACTATACCATGTACATATAAGAGAAACAATCCTATTTGTATTTACAATATTATTACAAATACATATAACTATAATGTGACTGAAATTATTTTTATTTTAAAAAGTGTCCTTTTAATAAGAAACCGCATACTATACATATAATTAATTAATTAAACAATACTTAATTTTAAGTACTACTTATCTTCGTAATATATTAATATTTATTAACTTTAATTATACCACAGTATAAGTAATACTACTCAAATAATAGTATGGTCAATCCCCTCTGCCCGCTGCAATCTGACCTCACCCCCTAACAAATGCGCGTCAGCCAAATTGTCTTTTCTGCGACCAACAACAAATACACTACGAAAAAGATCTATGTATTAGTTGCCTTCAATGTCAAAGAAGAGTAGAGGCTGATAGAGCTAACTGTAATAACTAGCTAGTCTTAATTTTGATAGAAATACAGAATTATTTAAAATTTGAAGTCGGCAATCGTTGTATCACATTAACTTTGTAATTTTTTTAGAAATAATCATTTAGACAACTAACAAAATAATAAAGTTATCCATCTTTTAAAAAATATAACTATATTTTATTTGAACAAAAAGCACTATGTATCCCCTAGAATTTAAAGCCTTCTTCTATATAAAAATATTTATAATAGTGAATAGTAACAAAGAAAATGAAATACTGGTGATAATGTTTAATATCATGATAACAACTTATTTTACTAATCATATTTAAATCTGTATTAATAACTATCATCATTATCATATTAGCCATTAACTGTCCATTGCTGTACCTAGGCCTCCCCCCGAAAGAATGGTTTTGCCAGTAATCGCCATGCTTGGCTAGTGGTTCGGCAAGCGCAGTTATTGTTTGGTAATCCGTCTCCGGGTTAAAATCTAAGAACACTTCGAATTTTCACCATTAAGAGTAAAAAAGTCTTAAGAATGGCAGTAATTCGGGCTTTTACAGTAACATATACATGATTACCAGTTTGATGAATAATATATTTTCGATAAATGGGCACTATATAACTAATCTTGTACTTTTTTTAATGGTTGAAGATGGAATGGTAACTCCGCCTGCGCTACCGGTATATGCTGATGGGGCACCAGTGAAGGGTGACAGATGAGGATGAAGGCAGGTCAGTTGGCCCATAGTAACCAATTGAACAAGAATTAACCACTATTGTTTCCAGAGAGAACTGCGTGGAGGTCGACCTGATAGGGTGTATTATTTGTAATGGGGCTGTTAAATATCATTACTAGCAATCCCTTCCCTCTCTAATCTTGTATTCACAATGGCTATAATTTAAATATAGAAATAGAAAGGATATATTATTATAGAATATCTTAGTGACAAATGATATGATAGGGTGGCTTGAGCGCTACCTTATTTAAAAGGTGAAAATGTAGGCGGCATAGAGGAGGTTCCCAAATTACTCATATCTTTTGTGTACCTAATAATTAATAGTGAAATCACACACATACACACACGCACGCACGCACGCACGCACGCACGCACGCACGTACGCAAACACGCACGCACGCTCGCACGCACGCACACGCACACACACACGCACATACACGCACACACGCACATGTGTTATCATGTACCTATTTTTGTAACCCAATTTACATTTTTTAACATTACCTTAAAAATAGAAAATCCAAACACATTAATATATTATTCTTTCTACATAAACTACGTTTCTGACACCAAATATAATATAATATTTTAGAATTTTTTATTTTTTTCAAATGTTTAGTAAATATTATATTCACATGTACCAAAGCTCTCCCTTGGTTTCCAAGATATCTACTTTTTTTTTAATGGATGATAATGGAATGGTTACCCCGTCTGCGCTAACGGTATACACTGGCGGGGCACCAGTAACGGATGATTGGTGAGGATGAAAAGGCAAGTTAGTTAACCCATCGGGATAAATACACATGGAATTCAGTACGATGGTTTCCAGGGAGGGCCACGTGGAGATCGACCTAATGGGATATATTGCTAGCAAAGGGACTGATATTCCGCATTAATAACAATAAACGTACGTACGGTATATTACATTATAATAATAATGCTGTAATTATGAGTGGCATGGTCATTAGTTACGGATAAATTTATAATTTTAATACGGTTAAATATATAGGAACTTGATTATGCGCTAATTTGATATTTGTGTAAAGCATATTATACTGATTGCCATCCCTCTAAGATTTTTTGTTATATAAACAGCCATTGTTTGCATGAGTGTCAATAGGAAGGCCTTATGGGCGATTGGGACGGCGGCAACGCGGCGGCGGTTCTGTCTCCGTAGTTTGTGGAGTACGCAGTGCGCAGGGCGGGCGGGGTGCGGAGGGCGGGCGGACTCGAACGTCGGTAGAGCGCGCAGTGCTCCTCGCGCAGGACCGGAGTGGTGTTCACTCGGCGGCGCGCCACGGCGCGACATGCCCAGCTGATGTTTATTTATACCGCGAGCTCGGAGGAGGGTGTGCGCGGAGGGCCCTCCCCGCGGCATCTCGGTGTCGCGTGATGCAGCCGAGCGAGCTAGCCGACACCGCGCACGCCGCTAGCGGAAACCCCCCGCAGCGTGGCCTCAACGGCGGCCGTTTCGACTTTGACGATGGTGGTACATATTGTGGTGGATGGGAGGATGGCAAAGCCCACGGCCATGGTGTTTGTACTGGACCAAAAGGACAGGGCGCCTACGCCGGCTCCTGGCACTTCGGCTTTGAAGTTTCCGGTGTCTACACCTGGCCCAGGTGAGAAAGTGACTTCGCCCGGGCCTCACACATGCCCGAGCGCAAATCCGCGTCCGAAGCCGCTCCAAAAATAGGCTGCTATTAATAATTGAGTTCGGTGTTTCGCTAGAAAACGTGTGTAAAGACGGTGAAAGTGCCTCATGGCCCAATCGTGACGAAAATATTCCTATCGATCTGTAGGCACTGATAACGACACGTGATAACAGTATGATACTCTCTATGTCAATTGACTTGTCATTGCTACACGCAGATTCATTAAGATTCAATAACGCCATCTAAAGCACGCCATGATTGTATTAAATTGTAATTGAGAACAATATGATGCAGCTGTTAAATGCCCTTGTTCCGAGGCGAGACGACATATAGAATCATTCTGCTGATCATTTGAACGAGCTGCCGTAGGTAGTTAAATTAGGTAACGTGACGAAAATTAGAGAGCAAAGTATTAACAATGGTTTCCCAAGATAGTTACGGCGTTCTTTAATTACAAAGAACCAAAGAGTGACCGACCGCACAATTTTAATTCAGTGAATCATTTTAAACCGTGCAGATGCCAGGCAAATACTCAGTTTATTACTTCTAAGAAATTCTATGAATATATTAGTTACTATCAACATTCAACAGTTATTAGATATTATTTGCAAATATTCATAGATTATTCCGTAACACTTTCAGAGTTCATAAATCAGTCTATCATCATCGCAGGTTTAACAACTTACACCCTTATTCATAAAAACGAAAACGGCCTACATTTGTAGGCTATATTTCAGTAAGGCACAATGTTTTTTTTTTTTTAATATTTATTAAAAAAAAACGAACATTATGCCTTACTGAAATATGTTCCATAGCATAAAATACCATTGAACGTTGCTTTTCTATTAGTAACTATAATACTTCACACCTTAATAATTCGGTTGAGTAGCCGAATGTAGATTTGTTTAACTGACTATAGTTCAGTATATTAAATTAAAAACCATAACGTTTTTTTATTCTTGGAATGGAATAGCAAAAAAATCATATTGCTTTTTTACGTCACGAATTTCAGTTTCTAGTTCTTGTACCTATATTCAGATTTCTATTTTATGATGAAGAATTACGAGTATTAAAAATTAAGTCCATTATTTGTTCTACATTTTAGCTTAGAAAGCTTTATGCTCTTTTAGTATAATGAATTTACGATAGTTAGACGCAGATGTCCATCTCAATGTCAATGCAGATCAAGGCCGGTCGGCGACGGCGGTAATTGAAAATAAATTTATACAATAAATTACAAAAGATAAATAAATGAGATAAAATAAATTAATAATTCCAAAATAAATATTGAGTACAAGATGAACTAACTGCAAAAGTTTTTAAATATATATTTACATATTTGGATTTTAAGTCACTGTTGCAGCATGAATTAGTAACTGATTCAAAATAGTGACGTATAACATTGTAAACTTATAGAAGAGATCAACAAAGCACATTTCTTTTTATAGCGTCTATATATAAAAAAATTTTAGGAATTTGCTGTCAAAAGGCTAATTTTGCGCATATAACATAGATACGAGTAAGGAGTAGATAATAAATAACTGAATCGTAATGATGGGTTATGAAGTAACAAAATTGTTTCCATAGTAAGAAACACAAATTATTTTAATACCGCGAAAATATTAAATGTATTACATCTAGTAATTACGTGTTTTACCATACGCCGAACACTGAGTATATGCATGATACTATATGGTGTTGATAAACTATCTGGAATCATGCTTATAATATTCATCTGGTCTGCTTCTTACCTGTTATATTGATTGCTTCTGCTACTGGGACTTCTGTATTATTCTCCCTCTCCATATATGCTTCTTTTCTGTACCAATATAATGCTCGTTTGATACAAACTTATTCCATAACCTACCATGTTTATTGCCTATCAGCATCAGTTCTTTAGTTATTTCTAATTCATTTGTATTATTTAGATTATTTACTATGCTAAGTATAATAATTCCCAAAGAGGGTTAACGTCAGGCAGGTGGCCAGTCGTAAAACTAAAAACCAAATCTTTTTGTAATATGGATACAATCATATTACGCCGACCCCAAATGATTGGGATAAGGGTAGGAAGATGATGATGATGACTATGCTATTCAGATATATATATTTATATAATTATAAATATATTTTTGTAACGTTAAATTCACATGGGTTATTAAGGCAATTTTCAGTTGAGATGTTTTAAGGATATTAGGTACTCTTCATACTGTTTATTGACCTTTTGCATTAGTTAACGAACTGGCAATGAACCTCTATTCTTGTTACGGTGTATCATATCAGTAAAAACAGTTGTTTAAGCTGTTTTCAAAAGTTTTTTAATTTAAATTACTGATCCTGAAGTCCTCGAAATAGTTTTTTATTTTTTTTTTTTTATTTTTGCATAATAAATACTAAATATAATGAACACTGTTGGGTTTTTATTAAGTCATCTTTTTTCTTAGAACAATTTAGTATGAAAATACACTAGGTTTTCTGGAAATTAATAAATTATATTATAAACTAACTGCCCGCCCCGGCCTTACATGGGCATACACATTACACTAATAAAGAAAAAGACAACCAATGTTCTCTTTACAATACAATCATAAAATGAAATAAAATAAATTTTTGCTACAATTAAAAGGATTCAAAATAATTATAATGTTAAACAAAAAGTTTAGATATTAACATATTCGCAAAATTCAATAAATTTCAATCTGCTGTTTTGGAACATTTTAATAAAAAAATAATACAAAGGGTAGTGGTAACCAGTAATTAAGCCAACACACTATACCTGAACTGTTTACATAAGATAAAAATAGTAATTAATCATCCTGGATGTCTTGTTGGTCACTCCTATAAATAAATTAATTAATAATAACAATGGCACTTTTTATATTGACATTTTTTAACCCAGTTTTTTCAGTTTTTCGTATAGTTTTTTAAACATTTAAGTACTTCATCCTATCCTGACAACTATAAACTAAATAAAAAACACAATTAACTAATTAGGTACAGCCGTACTGAATTGATGTGTTTACATACATTTACAATTGATTTTTATTTATGTAAAATAAAGTCATATATCTAGGTATAAAAATTAGACAAAGATATTTATTTATTTATTTATAAATTACTCACCACACTTACAATATCCCAAAACGTGTAGTGAGCCATAGGTTTATTTTACGAACTTTAAAATTTTGAACAACATTTTAAAAATTTATCTATTTTGTCATTAAATATATCATACATCCGGCTGCTGAGCAATCAGAGAATTGAGCAGAGAAATAGCCTGATAAGTGGGAGCAAACTGAGCAGTACAGGTGCGAACCGGCGGTGCCGATAGTAATCGACAAGCACGCAATCGCATGCAGCGTTGGGATGCGTACAAAGAACAACGGCTGAGAGTTGCAGGATTGTCTATTCCGCCGTTGAGCAACCGATAATAGTGCATCATCAAATTACACTTTCGCCTTACCTCGAGCGTTTCTAGACCTACCATACCGGATACGAACAGCGATGGATACAAATAAGGATAGTAGCCGTAAAGTTTACTATATAGAACACGTGCAAATTTCCTCTGAACTCTTTCTATAATTATCTTGTATTTTGTTTCATGAGGGTTCCAAATGATTGAATTGAATTCTAAAATGCTTCGTACAAATGAGTAATATAATAATAATATTGCACCTTTATCTTGTAGTTGCGCCGACTGTCTTAACACAAAACCTAACGATTTATATGCACGACTACAAACTAAAAGCGCAAGCAATGATCCAATAAAACACTACAATATCGATAGTTGTATTTTTTTAATTAATGCACTGGTGATTCACACTCATTGTGTGAGGGATAGAAAAAAGATGAGGACGGCAAGTTGGCTCTTCGTGACAAATTAACAGGAGTTAACCATGATAGTTAGCAGGGGGACCACGTGAAGGTCAATCAGACAGAGTATAATTCTCCCGCTAGTTCCCGTTTCTATGAATCTTTTTCTCCCAGACAGATGGTGTTAGCGGCAAATGAACCGAGTTATAGGGCTCTCTAAAATATGATTCACTGCAATGCCGATTACTACTTGTTGTGAGCAGCCCAAAAAGTCTGGGCTAAAAAGAGCAACAGTAGACTTTTAAGTCTATTGAGTTGCCAATTAAGCATGTAATTTCTTATGTGTGAAATCTTTTTTTTTATTTTAAATCTTAACTGATTTTAATAATCTTTTAACAATAAGTAGATTATACTCTTGTGTTGGTTGTATACATATTTTTTATTGAAATTACTTTTATTTCTTTTTGCTTTATGTGGAACTAATTCTTAAATTGTTAAGGTATTTAGTTAAAAATTTACTTGTTTACGTTTAGAAAATTTTTTATTTGATGGGTGAAAATGGAAGGTAACCCCGCCTGCACTAACGAGAAACGCTGGCAGAGCACTAGTGAAAAGTAATCGATGAGAATGAAAACAGGCCAGTTAGCCCATCATGACGAATTTATAAGGAATTAATCATGATAATTTCCAGGGAGACCCGCGAGGAGGTCAACCTGGCTGGGTATATTGATAGCAATGGGATTATCAGTCTCTATTACTAACAATCCCTTTCCCCTCTTCCCCGCTTAGGACATTTAGCTATGTAAACTACTCCCATTTATCATAACAATCATCTATTTAATTAAACGAGAATGGCACAATAAAGTAAATTAACCTACGACAGTAGATAGAAACCACTAAACTTAATATAACAACATATCCTTGACCTGCTTTATTATAATGAACTTGATAATTCTGAAATTTGTTTGTGCCACAGATAATATAGTACTATAGTAGTAATTTGTACACATAATTATATCTAAGCACATTTCACATCATTTTATATAAGATTTATATACATCGTTAATTAATGTAGTTTCTACTCCATTTCAATACAGATATTATGTATGAAAGATTTTATTTCTTATCTATACTTATAATAAATCTGTAGAGAG